CGACTTTCGCGTCTACGATCCTTTCCGAATCTACGGATGGGAAATTACAGTCCGAGTCGAATGGCACGAAAGCGACTAGTAGTCCATCTGCGACTTCCCCTGACCAAGACAAGCCTAGCTGGAAACCTTTTGAGTTCAAGAACGATACAGAGATCCAGGACTTCAATAATGCTAGGCCGTTTGGTGACGATGAACCCTCATTAAAGAAGCAGCACAATAAGAGCCTTTCTGCTACAGCTCAGCCGTTCGTGCCTGGGGGCTTTACTTTTGGTACTACGACTGATTCTGCGTCCGCTTCCTTTGACCCTGTTCTCAAGACCCAACCGGCGCAGATGGTGGAACCTGAAGACGAGTCTGAGGATGACCGTGCCGGTTCTCCAACCCCTGGACCAGATTTCAAGTCCATTGCCGAGCCCGAACCTGAACCGATCAAGGTGCAGCAAACTCCGACGGAACGAACTGCTCCACCCACCAAGGGTCTTGGTTCTTCACGATTTGCGTCACCACCACCTGCTCCAAGGGGCTTGAACGCGTCGAGATTTGCAGCTTCTCCATCGCCACAACCGAAATCGGCTGGATTGTCCGCTTCTCGATTTGCCGCTACTCCGTCTCCAGTATCTGAAGATAACCCTTCGCAACTTGCTGAAGAAAGCATCAACGAACAAACTAGCGAGGTATCCGAATTGCATAGCTTTGAACCTCTGCCTGTCAGCCCGCCATCGGAACCAGCTGAATCGAGAGAGGATAATACCCATGAGCCCACATTCGAAGAAATCGACGCGGTTATGCAACATCTCAACAAAAACGATCCGACGATGGGTGTCAAGAGAACGATGGAGTCTCCTAAATGGCGTCAACCCAGCCCTATGCAGAATGTCCCGGGTGCTACTATCACGAACTCGCCACCTGTGCACTTGCCACCTCAAGTACCATTTCGAAGTGATGCACCGAGTCCAAGTCCACCTCGGCAGTACCTTCCCTTACCTAGGCAGGCTGTGGCCCCGAGACCTTCAACTGAGCTTGAAGATCCCTTCGTTGACCCTCCACTAAGCGGCGTTTCGCACTCGTTTGATGGTCCTGTACATCGACTCAATATCGGAGAGAGTCTACCGGAGAGTGAATGGGATGATGCATTCAGCGCCAGTGAGCAGGAGAAACTAGAACAACGTGTCCAATACTTCGATGGTCATGTCAACGACTTGGTTGGTACCGTCCTTGCTTCTAGACTCGACCCTCTCGAGAAAACGCTTGGCGATATTCAACATGCCTTGGGTTCTTTAGCTCGTAGAGCGCCGTCCAGCCGACGTGATAGACGCAGTGTTTCCGCCGAACTCCAAGAGAGCGATGCAGACGATGAAGATGACGAAACGCCTATCCGCCGGTCAATGAGTCCCAGAAGAGACAGAAGACTAGAGCAAATTCGGATTGCTGTTGTGGATGCTCTAAATCAGCAGCAATCAATGCGTGCACTCCAGCCTGATCCCGTTGATCAGGGTCCAAACAAGGAAGATATAGCCGTCATAAAGGCATTGCAGCAAATGAAAGAGGAACTCAGCCAAACCTTACGATTAGACTTCCGTGGCGAAGATATTCGGACTATCGTAGAAGAGGCAGTGGAGCGTCGCATGCCTCCAACTCCTCAACCAGTAATTAAGGACGATGACGCGGTGAACGCGAGGTTTTCTGAGATGCAATCGAGGATACAGGAACTTGAGCAGCGCCTACATACTGAAGCAAGCAGAACCGAGAGCGAGCGCTTTAGAGTCCTTGAACTTGAACAGCGCCTACATACTGAAGCGAGCAGAACCGAGAGCGAGCGCTCTAGAGTCCTGGAACTTGAAGATCGACTGCGAGCCGAGGAGGCTAGAGGAGAGAACGAGACAACAATTAGGCGCGGTGCTGAGGATCGTGCTGCTGAGCTTCGACGACAGCTGGAACAAGCGGAGACGAAGGTGGAAGTCGAAATTATGAACCGTAGTATTTTCGATCAGAGGATACATGACCTGGAAGAGCGCGTCAGGCATGCAGAAAGCAAGACTGAGCAAGAATTGGCGGGTCGTAGGGACGCCGAAGATAGGCTCTCGGAGATCCAACGACTTCTTCGTATCTCTTCCGAAGAGGAAGATCGCCTACGGGCTGTACTTGAAGAACGTGAACAGAAGATCAAGGGTATGGAGCAGTTATCGAGCAAAGCCTCCATGCGTCTTACCCTCCTGGAAGCAGCTCAGACAAATGCCGAGCACACCCAGGCAGAGCTCAAGAACCGTCTTAACACTGCAGAAGTTGAACTCCGCGATGCTCGACAAGAGACGCGACACTGGCGTTCTGAAGCTGAACAGGCAAGGGAGACAGCTCATCGACAGACGGATGATCTTATGGAGGCCATTAATGAGAACAAGCACATGCATAAGCTTATCGATACACTCGGCGTCCAGCTTGAAGAAAACGAGCAAATCCGGAATAGCTGGCGAGCCAAGTTCATGTCCTTGCAAGACGACATGGCCCATGCAGCTCGCGAAATTACGGAAGAGAATGCCCGCCGCCAGAAGAGAGAGCAAGCCCTTATCGCACGGCAAGAAGTACTTGATGCTAGGCTACAAGCTGAAGCACGAACTCGTGAACGCCTCGAAACCGAAATTGAAAGGTTGGAGAATGGTGAGCGTGCTGGCCTAAGGGCTGTTAGCGAATGCAAACGGCTCGAAGCATTGCTATCTGAACTCCGTGACGACAATCATAATCTCCAGCAGAATATTCTACGTTACCAGAGAGAAATCCACGAAGCAAGAGAATCGGCAGCTGCTGAAGTTCAGCGCACACAGACTTCCGTACAAGCTGAGCTAGAAGCTGCTAATAACGAAGTTAACGCCATGCGTGAGGAGCTCGAGGAAGATATTAATAAGCTAAGAGCTCAGCTGGACCAGGTCAGGATGGATGCAGACACCGCGAAGGCACACCATGAGATGATGCTTGAGGAAGCCCAAACAACTAAGCAGACCGAGCTTGAAGAAGCCGAGAGTAAGCGGCGTGCCGAAATTAGCGAACTCATTAGTAAACACCAAAATGAGATGGAGGATCTTCAAGCACGGTATGAGCGACAGATCAGCAATGCTGCTGAAGATGCGCAACGTACAGAACAGAACCTCTTGGAGCGACTCAGCCTATCAACTTCAAAGACCGAACATCTCCAAGACCGTGTCGCTCATCTGGAAGACAAGGTACAGCTTGCGCAGGAAGCCGCGCGGGCGGCGGCCCAAGCAGCACAAGCTTCCAAGTCTGTCGGTGCACCTGGACCTGTTGCCCAGACAAAGCAGCTAGCAGAGGCTATGCAACTCCCCGAGAAGGTTTCGCCACAGGCCTTGCGTGAGTCTATTATGGTCCTGCAAGAGCAATTACAGGCCCGTGAGCAGCGGATTGAAGAGCTCGAGCAAACTGTTGCCAAGCTTGATCCTGACGCCGCCTCTAAGATTTCCAAGCGAGATGATGAAATCACGTGGCTACGTGAACTCCTGGCTGTGAGACATGGGGATCTCCAAGATATTATTAACGCGCTATCCTCAGATCATTTAGATCGAGAATCTGTGAGGGATGCGGCTATACGTCTGAAGGCAAATCTTCAAATGGAAGAACAAGAACGAGAGCGTGCCATGAATGGTGGTTCGGCCATCAGCTTGCCAAACATTGCCGCTACGATTAGAGGAGCTGCAACTCCTCGAGTTGCACAAGCTGTTGGGCCTCTCGCAGCCGCTTGGGGTAGCTGGCGAAAGTCGAACCAGCCTGCGCTTAACAGTCTCTCCAATGTCTTGTCTTCGTCTCCAGCGTCAGCTAGAAGCTCTACGCCTTCGAAATCGAACGTCACATCTCAGAATAATTATCTCTCCGGTCTCATGACTCCTCCGGCTTCTGGTATTAGGAATACCCCGCCGGCACAGCAGAACCAGATACAACCTACCGCGTTCGGTACTACCGGCCGTCGGTTTACCGCCGAACAATTTGCTGCTAGATCTCAAGGCCAGTCAATAACAGCGCGGCAAGCCGAGAAGATGCCTAGGATAAGCACCCCGCCTCAACAAGAGCGTCGTCAACCAATTACTCCCCCAATGATGCGATCTGGCGCATACGATTCAGATGCGCACGTTGAGGAGTTTGACGATGCTTCCTTCTTCGATGATTGAAGAGGTGTTTAATGGATCAGGACTCGACTGATAGCCAGACCATTTCCAGATTTTCTACTTTCTTTTGGGCGACATTATTATGCTTGTCGCATAAATCATCAAGGCATTTTGGGGAAGTTGACGTTATATACCAAATGCGCGCTTTTTTATACCATTTGCCTTTTTCCTCTTCTGCCGCTGCCGCGATGTCTAGATTGATACCCCTTTACTCTCTGTTTTCCCACCCTTCTCGCACACTATCTGCACTTGAAATGTAATGAAACGAAACACAACAAATAACCATCTACATTCATTCTCTTGACGGATCAGATTGGCAATTGGTTTCTCAAATTTCCCATTCGAGAAGAAGATTGATAATCAGAAAAGTTACCTATTTTTTCATCTTTTTTTAAGCAATTTGTTTCCTTTGTTGTTCTGCCACTTTGCATAGCCGGTTAATTGGAGACGAGAAAAGGAGAAGTTTTCGCTCATTTCGCTCATGAGAAGGAAGCACAAGAGAAGAGAAGAGAAGAGATGGAAGAAGCAGAGAAGTTGGAATCTTCGATGCATACGCGTGACGTCGTTTCTGGGGAGGTCTGCAGATAAATTAGTACTACTACTACTGCTACTGTATGAAGACGATCGTCGTTGGGATCGTGTCGTGTCGAGGAGATATCAGACAGATAGAATTAATACTTTCGTCACGTTTTTTAAGTCAAAGTTTTCCCCTATTTTATTTGCGTGATAATGATTGGATCAAAATGAACGATTAAATTCAAAATCAAAGTCAAGTTCATTGTAGAGATGTTACTCCTTAGGAATGCTATCATAGTTTCGAGCAAAGTCCTTACAATAGTAGGCAATAAAGCCCGCGACATCCAAATGATGCCATGGTATAACAATTATTTCGAAGTATGCGTGATTAAGGAATGAACATTAAGTACCTGAGGTAGGTAGTAGGTAGTAGGTGTATATACATATACGTCAGTCAGTGCGCGTTATATAAAATAAAACGAAATAAAAACTCCGATCCGTAACCAAACACCGGGTCCTTTCGCCATGCGCTCCCGTCACCGAAAATAAACTCCGTCTTTTTTCTTCTTCATCATAAGAATATGCGTGAACGTGGTGATGAGTGAATGAGTGGGGTGGCAGCTTAGACGCCGCAGGCGCTGACGTCGACCTGGCGGGAAGTAGCTTCGACGCGGCCGAGGGCAACGGCTTGGCCGTTTGTCAGGGCGTTCATGGCGTCGAGGGCGATGTTGAAGCCGGCGGCGGCGTGGTCGATGGCGTAGACGTTGATGGTCTTGCCGTTGTAGCTTAGTTCCCAGCAGGTGCCGCACTATTTATTCAGTTTTGTTAGCATTGTTGCCTTGTTTTGCTTAGGGAGGTACCTTAGGTAGGTATGCTTTAGGTTACCGAATGAGGGAGGGAGGGAGGAGAAAGAACATACGGAAGGAGAGTTCCAGCCGGCGATGGCCTCGGCGGCGCCGATGTACGTGCTTGGGATGTTGCCCTGCGTCTGCCAGCCGTAGCGCGTGATCAAGCCGTTGGGGCCGTCGGAGCAGGAGACGACCGTTAGGGAGCGGGATCCGTCATCGTAGCCGGTGTCGTAGGAGACTGTTGCGTGTGTTAGTTATCGGTTATCGTCAGAAGATCAATACCCTATTTAAGTTCCTTGTATGTAAGAGGGGAGGAGGGGGTCGTACCTGTGGTAGCCGAGGAGGCGACGGCAAGGGAAAGGAGCTGGATGAGCTTGGAGAACTGCATTTTCGTATGTGGTTGAAAGGCTGAAGGTTGGAATTTGAGGAGCGACTGTTATGTCTCGGGTATTATTATTATTATGTCTAGTGCGGAGAGGAAGAGAGAAGCGAGGATGAAGTTGGTCGTAGAGTTGATGAGGATGTATTAGTATTTAAGTTGTAAATGCTGCTGTTGATGGTGATTATAAGATGACTGTGGAAAGACGAGTAGACGTTGTTCTTATATACATTTGCCTGATTGCCCAACTTGGTCGTATCATATTCTAAGTGTCTCTCGTATATCGTGGCTCCCGCTACTTGCGCTACGCTGCTTTGTCTCTACGGTACGTTACTTACGAAGCTGAAGTTCGATGCTATCATACGTTGGTGACATGCTGCACCTCAGTGGAACCCGGGTTGGTAAGCTGTAGGTATTGTATTGTACCTAAACTGACAATTGATATTGTGGCCGACTCTTTACATAGCTGTTAGCTTAAGGTACCTACCTAGTAATCGGTTGTCTGCTAAGTAAACAGAGGCTGCGTACACTAAGAACAGGCAATAAACACATATGATGCTAAGTCGAAAGCATTGTACCAGTATCGTGCAACATGCAACATCGGCGGGTCTTGAATCCTCGTGTTTGTGCTGCTTGGCAGCTTGGAGGTTATGTGGGGAGTAGTTAATGCCGATCTCACTCGTATTTGGTGGTGCGGCTTGATTCTCTGCTGGGGCCGCAAGTCCGTGACTGGCTGGACGCTGGCTGGACCATCTTCACTGACTCGGAGGAATACCATTAATAGCAGGCATGAGCACTGCCCAGCCCAGCCCTGCAGTCTGCAGCGCAGTTTGAGGCCCCGTGCATCTGGGGCAACGCTAACGGCAGTTGGGTAAATGAGGAGATACACTATGCGGCTTGCCAGCTCTTCGTTGATTCTAGAAACTTGCCTAGAATCTAGATGTTCAAAGTTGTTGACAATTGGGGCTCAGGAATTTGTGCCAATGTAGGTACATTCTCCGAGAGCAACTTACATCATTAGAAGTGGTGTAAATAGTAAGACCGTATCTCCGGTCTGCTGATGCGGAAACGAGCTTCCAAGACAAAGAATCTACATAAACGGACCTATGGCGGGGGCTGAGAATCGTGTGTGACCACAAGTGGTTTGCGCAGGAGATCGAATGCCAACCCTTACTTGCGGCTCGGTATTAGCCTTAGCTAAAGATTGGCGAAGACTTGTTCGAATGATGCAGCTATGGCCGGCCCTACGGCTACCCGACGACCGCAATAGCCTATCTCAACCTATTCATAGTATTCTTGTCAAATTATCTGAATGCTTAACCTTGACTGAGCTGAGAAGGATTATTCCCCGCATAACACGTCGTATAGCGGCTGTTGCGATTCGCGATGTAATGAATGGAGTTGGTAGGTCAACCCCGTCCACCCCAGTATCGCTGCCATGTCATGGCCCACCAGCGCCCATTCCCAGGTCGATTACATCGAGGACCAGTTCAAAAATGATCGAATCTGATGATAAACTTGTAGGGGAACACGATATTCCGTAAATGGATCCCGGAGCTACCGATATCCCTTTGGACACCGATAACCATGTACTACTCAGTACTGTGCTGTGAAACTTCACTAAGACATTGACAACAGGTGCCCTTGACCGATAGTTGGAGTCATACTAGGGCGGAGAGAATACGAGGCGACATACGAGGCCCTCCATGGGCATGTTTGAAAGTGTTAACATAGTGTACGGGAATGGGGTATAAGAGTCGAGGTCAGTCCAAAAGACAAAGTGACGTTGGTCCCCCTCGTGTTGATTGACAGTCAGAACCAAGAAGCAAAGCCGAGTGCTTTAATCATAGGCCGCACAGAAGCTCATCAGAAGGCTTCTTAACCCAGTCTTCAGTGCTCGGTTTGGCATGAACTGTCGATATCTTCCGACTTCTTTGTTAGAATGTTAGTTGCTGTCCCTCAGAAGTTCTTAGAGCTACTATGCTCATGTCAACTACTCCCTTGTCTTACCATCCGCGCCCGATTCTTGATGAGAACTGCGCGAAGATTTGGTGGATTTGGTAGCTCCTTGGACACAAAATTCGGCTATGGATCTTGTGCCACTAAGTATGGCAATATCCATATTGATTTATCCCATTTTCTTTGAGTTTACACATAGCTTTACACCGAGGCTTTCATCTCTCAAGATAGCATGTATCCCATATGCCGTATGGTGATCGGATACCTATACATATTCTACCTGGACCTCCAGCTGGGATGAAGCACTTGGAGTAAGGATGAGAATACTATTCAAGTACTGCGGCCTCTCTACACGATGATAACCGGTCCCGTGGGCCGTACCGGTATGACGACATAGCAGATCGAATGGAAAGGTAAAACGTGGATCATTCCTTTTTGCTGAGGCTCTGCGTAGTATCTTGAGGTAACGGGACGGGGTCCGGGGTCGACTAATAGACCGGTAACCCCCACGATATTTATGTCGCTTGGTGGATGATAAATTGTTTTCGGACAGGTCGATCCAAACCAACCGATTTTTTTTTACTCTTTGCGGCCGACTGGTATATTAATTGGGTAAGCTGTAACCCTGATCTCGCTCGAAAAGTTTGATCCTTTTCAATAATCCGATTTGGTTATTCGGGGACTTGGGTAAAAAGAATTATCATATGCGGAAAGGGCCATACAAAATTATACGACTTATGCGTGTAAGCTGCGGAATAACCGGCAAAGACCCGCCCGCGATAAGGTAAAGTTCCTGGTCCTGTGGGGCCGCAGGGCCGTTTGGTGGTGGTCGCACCACTGAATGACCACTCAAATGTTATCGAATAATCCATAATCCTTATTGAGGATACGTATTACGTATGTAGCTGCACGGGAACGGAACTTACACTGTACAGCATCCGTTAGCTCCCCCGCTTGTGTTTCGTTTCGTTTCGTCCCGTTGCTTCAACAATTTGGCTTTCTATAATCCAATCTGTACGCGCCCCGTCGAATCCCATGTCGTTGTAATTTTTGTTTCGTGATTTTCTTTAAATAGTCTCTTCATCGATCGGCTGGTCCGTTACGACAATTTCGTGCATTTCTGCATTTCGTAACCAAACAATATTTTTATCTCATCATGACAGCTGTCGAGCCAAGTACCCGAAAAAGGGTGCTCAAGGTCATTTTCATATCGTTGCTTTTGGATCTGGTACGTCACACAAATGCGGCCAAGTACATGAGACAATTAGACAATTACGTATGCTAACAACGGATATTTGCAGATATCCTTCACATTTATCCTCCCTCTCTTCCCTAAACTCCTCGAGTTCTACAGAAATAGCGAGGTAGGCGACGACTCGCAGACGACACTGCTCGCCCGGATTCTAGGCGGTCTCAACGCATACAAATCTGCCTTCGCGAGACCAATCGACTCGAGATATGATATCGTCCTCCTGGGAGGAGCCTTGGGGAGCTTATTCTCTCTGCTCCAGGCCGTAGCGTCCCCCGTTATTGGACACCTGTCCGACAAGTATGGCAGAAGGGCCGCGCTTCTTGCCAGCATGGCTGGAAATATCGTGTCGGTTCTCCTCTGGGTGGTGGCAGTGGATTTCAGAACCTTTCTTGCCTCGCGTGTTGTGGGTGGTTTATCGGAGGGCAACGTACAACTGGCCACAGCCATCGCAACCGATATCTCGGACGAGAGTAGCCGTGGCTCGACTATGGCCCTCATAGGTGCTTGCTTTTCGATCGCTTTCACCTTTGGTCCGGCCCTTGGCGCATACTTAAGCTCCATTGCAACCGTGGCCGCCAACCCTTTCGCAACAGCCGCCGGCGTATCTTTATCCCTGATTGTGGTCGAGACGATTTACCTATATTTCGCGTTACCCGAGACTCTGCCAAGTCAGACAGAAAAGAAGACTTCCAAAACAGCCACGAAGCCGATAGCAGTGACGCGTACAAACTCTCACTTTTTGCTGAACTTGGTGCACTTCTCCTTTCTGCTATTCTTCTCGGGAATGGAATTTTCCCTACCGTTCATGACGTACGACCTCTTCCAGTACAACTCGGCTCAGAACGGCCGACTGCTGGGGTTTGTGGGTCTAATTGCCTCGATCCTACAAGGCGGAGTCACCCGCCGACTTCCACCGCTTCTCACCGTGAGGATCGGTGTCACTGCATGCTTACTAGCGTTCATCATGCTCGGGCGCATCAGCACAGTCGGATCGCTGTATCTAGCCGCTACTTGCTTAGCGACTACCTCAGCCACAGTCGTCAGCGGTCTCAACACGTTAAGCAGCTTCGAGGCTAGCGAAGGCGAGCGAGGAGGCAAGTTAGGTGTACTTCGAAGCTACGGCCAGCTCGGGCGAGGCTTGGGCCCCATTCTGTTCACCAGCGTGTACTGGTGGGCGGGCAGAGAGGTTGCCTACGCCGGCGGGGCTTTAGGTATCTTGGGTGTTACATTACTGGTGTTCGCCGGGCTTAAGTCACCGCCCGGTTCGCTAAGGAAAGCTAAGTCGGAGAAGAAAGAATTATGAGGGGTTATCGTTGTTTCAAATGCGTTGGATTGTACAAAAACACCCTCAGCTCTTTTACCGGATGATGGTAGAAATTTCAGATGAGACTCACTAGAATAGCGTTGTATACAATGATAGTACCTTGCTTGGCAACCGACAGCCCACTTCTACATGAGCAGACCATGGGCATGCAGGAATTTGCTGGTGGCTTAAAAGTTCATGGTCTTATCTTGGCAGCTTAGAGGTACCTAATTATAACACCTATCCCCAGTTGCACGTTGATCATCGAGGCTAAATGTAGATCTATGACCGTACAAGTCGATGAGCGACAATCGAGCCTCACCGCCGTCTTTTAGGTACTCGGAAATGTGGAGAGTAGCTGAAATACTGTGGAGAGGGATCGTTCGTCAGCTGAGTTAAGAATATCTAGGACTTAGACAGTATGTATATGAAATCTTGGAGTCATGGCAAGGCGCCTCACGCGGCATTTTTAGAGGCCCGACGAACGTATCAAAATACGCCGTATAGAAAATTATCCATTAAAAAAGTATTAGGTCATGCACGGTTCTCTATAGTCCTATATGTAAAAACGTCGAATTGAAGCTTTGTAACTACAGTGGGGTGGTACTATAGCTGCCGTATTAGGCAATAGTCAAGAGCTTGTCGGGCTGTGATTGGCTAATAGGTTTAGGTAAGTTTAGTTTAGTTAGTTTTCTTCATGACTTGGATTTTCTTAGACTTCCTTTCAAACACATTAAAAGTCCGAATTACATACGATGGGATGGCTCTGCAAATCTTAGCTGGAGATATCTTCTCCGCTCAAGATACTTTCTCCAATAGCAACGACAAACAGCTAATACAACCCAAGCCTGAAAGTGAGGCTAAGCAAATCCTACAACAACCCCCAGAGTAGCTATCATTACGTAGGATTGCAGGCTGCTTGGTCAATGCTGTCATAGCTTGCCGGCTACAAGAAGAACGGCCAGTCTTCTATTCCGCATGTTGAAAAATAAAGTCAATTCCAAGCTTTTTCCTTTTCTTATAAACTTCTTAGGTAAGTCCGCTCCCGTAGACTCGACAATACTTAAACGCTAATAAGTTGTGCCTCGACTGTAGTTGAGCAAGGTTTGGCTGGTGCACGATGAAGTCGGCAGCACTTTTCACCGGCCTCTTGGTCTCATCCGGCCAATACGCTACGGCCCAAAGCACTTCGAGCTTCGACTGGACCAAGCTCAGGCCGTCCACATCACTGGAGTACTCAGAATGCTATGGCTCTCTTAAGTGTGCCAAGCTAGGAGTTCCTATGGACTGGCTTAGCGACTCGAACCACAATGCGACCGAAGTCTCCTTGGCCATTATTGCACTTCCGGCTACCGTCCCCGATGACGATCCCTCTTTTGGCGGTACCATCATCGTCAACCCCGGCGGTCCCGGCGGATCTGGAGTAGAGTTTGTGCTCGCGGATGGCGAGCTTCTCCAGGGTGTTGCTGATGGTAACAAGCACTATGAGATCCTATCCTTCGACCCTCGCGGTGTCGGATACTCGGAACCCAAGGCGGACTGTTACAACGATGAGCTCGCCCGAGATGTCACTGCGCTCTCGCTTCGTGGCATGGGCCCCTTGAGTGGTGGTGAAAACGTCGTTAGACGCCAGGCCGCTCTACTCAGCGCGTATGGAAGTCTTTGCGAGGGCGAAAAGATTCACAAGTTCATGTCTACAGCTAGCGTTGCGCGAGACATGGTTCAGATCGTAGACAAGATCGATGAGCTACGTAGCAGCAACGGAACTTCTAGCGCCAAGTTGCGCATGCGTGGCGGCCCGCGACGAATGCAATCGCGCCAGGAGAAAGACCTCCCTCGTATCCAGTATTGGGGCTTCTCTTATGGTACGGTTCTTGGGAACTATTTCGCCTCCATGTTCCCTGGCCGTGTTGATCGCATGCTTCTCGAGGGCGTTGTGGATATCCATGATTACAACGCAGCCGTAAGTGTCGTGCTCCAACATAGTTATCCCTATGCAAAGCTGACTTTTACATATAGGCGTGGTCCAAGAACCTTCAAGACACTCAGAAGGATTATGACCAGCTTTTCATCAATTGCTTCGAAGTTGGTTCTCACTGCGCCCTTCACAAGCCAGGCGACTCGGGTCCGAGTGATATCCGCGCCCGCGTCGATGCTTTCTTGAAGCAACTCGACGAGTCTCCGGCTCAGATCGTGACGAACAGCAGCATCGAGGAGATCACACGGGCCGACGTCTCCGCCATCATATTCCAGGCTCTGTACCAGCCCCAGGAGTACTTCTCACTAGCCGCTCAGGTCCTGGCCAAGGGAATGGAAGGTGACTTTAGTGCTGTGTATGCCAGCCTTGGCACTCCTAAATCGACCGAGTACTGCCCCACGACTATCCCCAAGACGTACACATGGACGCAGGATGCAGAAATCGCCGTCGGATGCGGGGATGCAGAGCCGGCGAACGACCAAACCATCTCCGACTTCCAATCCTACCTCACCGACATCCAAGAGCAATCTCCCGACTTCGGCCCGGCCTGGGCCCAACTCCGCCTCGCCTGCAGGGGCTGGCGTGTACGCCCCAAGTACCGCTTCACAGGGCCATTCACGTCTCCCGCCGCGGACCCGAGCGGCGCCCCCGGCAAGCCCAAGGCCCCGATTTTATTCGTATCTAGCCGGTACGACCCGGTGACTCCTTACGAGAACGCCATCGCCATGGCGAAGGAGCACACGGGGGCGCGTGTCCTGCTGCAGGAGAGCCCCGGCCACGGCGCGCTGTTCTCGCCTGGGAAGTGCCGCGAGGACTACGTCAAGAAGTACTTCGAAACCGGGGAGCTGCCGCCCGAGGGTACGGTCTGCCAGCCTGATTGTAAGCCCTTCCGGGACTGCCCTTCGGCTCCTACCAGCAAGCGCAGCGTGGGTGGTGCGGTTGAGAAGATTTTCCCTCCGCCGAACCGCGGACCTTTAGGGATTGCTTGGTAGGATATCTACCTACCTATGTATATAATTTCCGTAGTATTATTTATTTATTTATTTATTTAGTTACCAAATCAGTTTGCCGCGGCTTGTTAGTATACAGGAACAGGTTTATAGTAATGGCGGGTTTGTACGATAGGAAAGTGGATTTACTGATGATATGGGGTTTATTAATGATGTGAATGAGAAACAACTACCACGGAAAAAAAGAAACATCGCCCTTGTCGTGATGTAACCGTTCAGGTCGAATTGGGTTTGGGCTCTGTTCATCGTTAAATCAAACTACATACTGGTTGAGAGGAGATGCCGGGTTGGTTCGGACTGGCGGGATTGCCTGTGGTCTGTTTATTACAGGTTAACTCGTGCGTGAACAGAGGAAATGCCTCTCAGTTCTGGAGCATAGACATGACCTCCTCGGGGGTTACAACTGGCCATAGTGGAATTGTGCTAGTTGAGGCACTAGTTCGGGAACTGCAGTCTTGATTAGCACATACGTAAAGATATTGATTGAATAAGAAGAAGAGGGTGTAAAGAAACACTTACATCACCCTCACCCTCGGGTCAGTTCCGTCGAGTTTAATGCCAGGTATAAATACCTTAAGGAGATCGGGGTAGCTGGAGGGATTGTACGGGGGACCACAACCAATTAACATGTCACGGCACCAGTGGTAGATCTCATCCATCGCCTCTTCGCACTCCCAGAGGCAGATGTCGTTCTTCCTAACGCATTCCACAGCTACGTTTTCGACGGGCTCGTGGAAGACAGTCCAGCCGTCGGATCTGCGGCGTATGAAGATCAGCCTACCACCGTTGGGTATGGAGACGAGCTCGTCCTTGTTGTTGATATAGTCCAATTTTAGGCTTGAGCTCTGCGGTCGTGGCATCCTCGCTGCTTCCCATGCTGCTTCCCTGACCGCAGGGTCCTCGTACTTCTGGATTTGGCGTGTGTAGTGCTCAAGCGGGCAGTCGGGGTTCTCGCTGCGGTGGCGCAGCACCGCGTCGCACTTCTGGCCAAGCAGGTAGTTTAACGCTCTGAGCAAGATGTTCATGTTCGTGGTATTCGGAGCAATAACCTTGCTGTGGCGAGGAGGCCAGAAGGTGTCTATGGTTACCATGATTACCTTATGAGTTGAGCGATAGGGGGGTCTGTATCTTCCCCTGCGGTCGTTTCCACAGCCTAGAAGCTCAACTATGCGCTTCCCATTAACGATTCTGACGCTGACCTCGGGTTTGACGGGACATGCGGCGCTAGGGATTGAAGGGACGACAAGGCTTTTATCGGGACCCTATGTTGATTTGAAGTTAGTAGGTAGAATGTTTCCGGCTTGGATATAGAGAACTTGCAGTCGTTTCGCAGACAGGGTTTATCTCGCGGGCATCTGTCTGTGTACTAGCATCACGCATACGAGGAACATCCGTCTGGACATCAACGTCGGGCATACCAGCGACAGGATCTCCTGAGGTAGACATGATCTAAAAAGCTAATTAGAATAAGTCGGTCATACAATTTTCGAAGATGAAATACCTACCTTGTTGGTGGTAAGTTGCGTCCTAAGAACCAAACGCAAATCGGACTGCTAAGTAAATCCCTCGTAGACGGGAAAATGATGGCTTAACAGCACAAATGAGTACGTGACCGGGAGAAGAAGCTGTTAAACTGTAGATGCTCAGGTACTCGAGCACGTACAATTACTACTTCGACCCAGTTTGCGTTGTGTTGTGAAGGGGGAGAAAATAGAAATAAATTCTGGAATGGGCTGGCTGCGAATTTATTTGTGGCAGGTCCAAGCTCAAGACAGCCTGATAACCCTGAGTCAGTGCTGGTTGCTCTAAAACTGAGGGGATCGTGAGCTTCCTAGTGGCCAATAAGCTTAGGGGGTTTGGGACCCGCGAGGGGGACCTTTAGGATGAGTTTGTACCTAGGTAGGAACAAGCTGTTACAGCTGGTGATAAACACAACTAGACGAGTGGGAGAACCTTAGGATGGCCTAGGCATAGCTACCTCCTAAGTGCTGAAAGAACTACAAGAAGCATGGTAGGGTCTAACGTTCAGCTGCAGGTACTTTACTATCCTAAGATGGACGACAATATGCTTGTGGCACGTCAACATACGTATAATCAATATGATCAACGCAGTTATTCCCAAAGAGATCATTGTTTCTTCAGGCCCAGACACTCGTGGCCTAAACGGGACCACAAAGTTTCACCGTCGAGGACAGTGAACAAGCATTCATGCGTGTTCGAAGTCACAAGCCGTGCTGCTGTTAACGGAAACAACACCTTAAGCCTTTATATTGAATTAAATATTTCCCAAGGAACCTCCCCTGTTTTCAGCCATAGTGATGCCTTAGCGATACCTAAAGCATAAACGTGAAGATGTTGCAGGAACGTAGTATGAGAGGATAAGCGGTAATAAATCCAGGGATGGTAAAGGACCATTAAATTCCTGACTTGCATTTCCTGAACTTGAATATACCCAAAGTATTAAATATGCACAAAAGTTAAGCTTTTATTAAAGGCCTAAGGGCTCAATGGGAGTGGTGTAGAGAAAGGTCTGACCTATGGGTCCAAGAACTGAAATAAGTATAAATGCCTGGCCTTTCGTTGTATAACGTGCTGTAAAGCTTAGAAGTTTTATGTTCATTGTTGTAAAATTCATTTTGATCATGTTTTTAGCGTTACCACGGGTAAATCATATCATCATTACTGCAAGCAGGGGGGATTATTTATAACGAACTCTACCCAGTTGTCTTGTCCCGCTGCTAACAATGAGATCTGAGCTTTGCAAGTTGTTCGGGCGTCTTATAAGACAAACACCTTTGATAATTACGGTATTCTGGATGATAGACGGTATTGGATTGTATAAAAGAGTCCATTCCGGATCTTGGACAAGGCCCCAGCTCCGTGCGGTTCAACAGACAGGTTGGCAATTTGGTCGAACAAAGTTTACAGCAGGATGAATGAACTTCCTCGGTGGGTGGGAATATAAACCTATTAGAATGGACTGGATCAATCGACTGATATGAGTTAGGACCTACAAAACATACCTAAAGTGAAATAACTCCCGAATAGAATATTCTTACTTCTAAATCGTGCCTAGGATAATTAGCAACTGAATTTTCCTCGTGCCATATAATACGTTCTGATCACTCATAAGACATCAAACAACCTTACTATCGGTTAACTAACTCAATTCGATAATCCGAATCATCTTTTCACTCAGCTGACTTGATCTTAATAGTCTCATACAGGATAGGATTAACTAACAGTCAACATACATCTTTTAGAAAGTTCACTGAGACATTATCTCTTGTCTAGGAATTAGAACATTATCAAGACTACAATAATCCAAGTGCCAAGACAGCATCGTTTGCGAATATCACTTTTCCTATGCAAGTCTTAGCTCACTCTACGTTCGCGAAAGCGTGTTTGCTCAATTATGAAATTAGACAGGAACCTATAATAGTATTGCTATGAATATAACTAACTAGATATATAAAGCTAGGTAACTACCTAAAATATCTTCATTAGTTATCACATAAGTAGCTTACGCCAAGCAAGAAAGTTCACAAGAGTACTTGCGCATAGTGTGAAAGCTTAGACCCAACACTTGGAGAAGGTGCTACGGCCACCGTTTGCTTTTTGCTTTTTTTCTGAGGAATCAGATATATTCGATCGGACGTTTCGAAAACCAAGCTGAGGTCTAGCAAGGGCGTCTCATTGGAAGCCGGCCAGCCAAGGTGGAGCAGTTGTGTGCGGGTAGGTGCAGATAGGCAGGTACCCCTTAGATATTTTCTGTTGTGGTAGGGAATGTGACCTGGCACTTCCGCTCTTCATTCACCTCGTAAGTTCGTAGGTAGGTAGGTAGCTTGTCGTTGCTTCCTGTAGTAGTTGTTGCGTTGTTTATCGTTTCTGGATTAATGACGTGTTACCTACCTACCTCCTTTCTTGAAGCTAGGTACCTAAGGTAGGAAGTAGGTACCTAATATATCTCAATAATGGCAACTGCTGCCATCATCGCCGCGATAGCCAAGTGGTAAACACACTTGATTTTCACGCAGCCGCACTAGAGAAATGGTTAACTCGTCGGCCTCCTACTTGTCAAGGATGAAATAAAGCCGAAGATTCCCGGTTCGAGTCCGGGGTGTGGTGTATTCTTTTTTTTCTTTTTTTTTTTCTCTTCCTATTATTTTCATCTAGCCCCTTATTTTTATCATCCATCACATCATCTTGACTTATTCCTTCGGTCTATTTTATCGTGAACTACCTACGAGATGACTGACATGAAGGCCAACACCTAACAGCATTACTTCCATAAATTTATACACTTGGTATTATCACAGGTAGGTATAGATGATTATTAAAATTTGTATTCGTATACACGTCCCGGATGAACAAACAGCAGGCAAACGGGCACCTTCTTCGAATAGATTTAGGTGCTGACTGCTACCAAAATTGTGGTAGGCGGCATCGTACTCTCATAAAGAATGCTAGAATCTCCTTAATCACAGTCTCAGGCTGTTCCTGTTGTACCCAATGCCCAGCACCATCCACAAGGTTTTCACCCCAATAACAGTACTCCCTAACAGTCTTTGGGTCCTTATACCCCTCAAGCGCACCCGGCTGCTGGTAATTACCCCAGTCCTGTTTCCCACTAATAAAAAGGCACGGGACCTCGATTGTGCGCCCCGAGAACAGAAGTACGTCTCGCGCCGACTGCTTGGTCGACGCCGTCTGCGCACGGTACCAGTTCAGCGCCCCTTGGAAGCCCGTCCGCGCCCACTCGTTGCAATACACCTGCAGGTCGTCCCGCGAGAGCCACCGCTCCGTCTTGGAATAGTCCTCGCCCGCCATGTTGGAAGCCACCGTCTCGGGCATCGAGTGCTCTGCTCGCATGATATAATACTCGGGCATTTGTGCCAGTTCCTCAGCGCCCCACTTCGTCAGGGGTTGCGGCTTGTTGGCGTCCCAATCTGCCGACTTTAGATGGAAATATCCCCGGAGGAATGTTTCGAGGCCTTGGGATGGGTTCTCCCAGTCCTGGGCGGCGTTCGGGCTCGAGTTGTACCACTTGTAGTGCTTCCGGGGCGGGTCAAGTTTCGCCAGCTCGGCCTGGATGTCTACTTTCTTCTCTTCCCCCTTTTCTTGGGGAGAGATAGGTTCCGCGGGTCGGTGGTGCGGATGGCTCATTTGAATGGTGGAAAGAAACATGTCTGGACGCATGAGTGCGGCCATGGCGGAGCTTACGCTGCCGAAGTCGTGGCCAACGATGCTGTACACCTGTTTATACCCCAGCCCATATACCAGACACACCAGGTCGCGCACTAGATTCGTGAAGACGTAGTCATTAAGGTCGACCGCTTCGAAGGGCTGTTTTAGCGGCCACCCCGTGGTTCGCCCATAACCGCGTTGGTCCATGGCGACGCAAAAGTATCCCGCTTCAGCGATTGCGGGTAGCACTTTGCGCCATGAGTACGCGAGCTCCGGGTATCCGTGGCAGAAGAGTACCAGAGGCTTTCCGGGCTCGCCGGCCTTTAGGATATGCCATTTAAGACCGCACGATGTGGAGCAGTCGACGTAGTCCTCGACGATACCTTCTGGTAGAGGTAAGTCCGGGAGCACCTCGTTCGGCTGACCTACAGTACTCATAATGTTTTTTATATTATTCACCAAATTATTCTAATAAAAGTTGTATGATAGTGTTTTAGGTAGTAATGTTGTCTACGAAGTAAAAGGGACCGAGATGATCATTAAACCCCGCAAATACCGGGAAAGGGAAAGGGAAAGGGAAAGGGAAAGGAAAGGGTATCTGTTGAAATCAAACGTCAATTTACGTCAGCACGTAACATCGTATTATGTTTACCTATCAAGACCTGCATATGTGTGGCCTATGATATATGGGTAACGCGCGTCAAAGCTATACGGATTCAAAGCCTCATGAAGTAGTTGAAGTGTTATTGGGCTCACAATCCGGAAGACCTCCGATAAAATTAATAAACTTGGCTTTTTTAAGGAGTAACTACGTCATTCTCGTCATAGGTACGGATCCGTAACCAACTTTCCAATTAAAGCCAATGAATCTAGGTTACATACCTGCTTTGAATCTTTTGAAAATGGGTAATGGGGTCATTACTATGGAGGGACTTCCAAGTAAATAACCAAGTAAATAATTCCCCTTGACTATAAATCGAGGCCCACGAAAGTCTTGGCTTTCAGTTCCTCTAACTTATTAACTTATTATCAACTAACAATTAGGTTACTTGTAGTTATAATATAAGCTACTATGACTTTAGCCCGCCATGTTAGTAGAGTTGAATCCTTTCCATATAAATAACAGTATTAATCATCATTTAACTAACCATTTATCAGATCGACCCGGAGGAGCTTGTTGAGCGCCTCCACGATGCCAACCTCACCGAGAATGGCCGACAGCTGCGCCAGATGATGACTACTTCTCATCTAACACCTTACGGTACCAAATTTGCAAGCGAATCAGCAGTGCCCAAGTATACGATTCCCAAGGAGGGAACGCCGACGGATACCGCCTACCAGCTAATTCATGATGAACTAGACCTCGATGGCAAACCAAATCTGAACCTTGCCAGGTATGTACTACCTTACCCCTTAAAGTCGACTGTCGGAAATGCTTAACTAGTACTCTCTAGTTTCGTAGGGACTTACATGGAACCAAACGCCATCCAACTGATGGCGGAGAATTCATCTAAGAATCTGGCTGACAATGACGAGTATCCGGCCATGATGTCTCTTCATGAGCGTTGCGTTAGCATCCTCGCCAACCTCTGGGGCGCCAAGAAGAGCGAGAAAGCCGTTGGGACAGCGACCACCGGCTCCTCGGAGGCCATTCACCTGGGAGGCTTGGCAATGAAGCGTCGCTGGCAGGAACATCGCAAGGCAAAGGGCTTGGACACTTATCATCCAAATATCATCATGGGTGCCAACGCGCAGGTCGCCCTCGAGAAGTTCGCGCGCTACTTCGACGTCGAGCCGCGTATTCTCCCGGTCTCTAAGGAGAGCAATTACCGACTAGACCCGAATCTTGTCCGGAAGAATATCGACGAGAACACGATTGGCGTGTTCGTCATTCTAGGAAGCACTTATACCGGTCACTATGAACCGGTAGAAGAGATCTCGAAAATTCTCGACGAGTACGAGGAGAAGACAGGCATCGATATCCCGATCCACGTCGATGCAGCATCCGGGGGTTTTGTTGCGCCATTTACTCACGCCCAAGCCGGCGGGCCGAAGTGGTGAGTGAAACTCTTAAGGTCCCTTATGAAAACGTCGTGCTAATATCTATTTTAAGGAATTTCGAGCTCCCGCGAGTCAAGTCCATTAACGTGTCGGGTCATAAATACGGTCTCGTCTATGCTGGCGTCGGTTGGATCGTCTGGCGGGACGAAGCCTACCTACCACAGCACCTAATTTTCGAGCTGCATTATTTAGGAGGCACCGAGAAGTCTTACACGCTCAATTTCTCGCGTCCGGGTGCACAAGTCATCGTACAGTATTACAACCTAATCCACCTCGGATTCGACGGGTACCGCGAGATAATGGAGAATTGCCTCCGGAATGCACGCCTCTTGTCCAAGAGTCTCGAAGCCACCGGATGGTACACGTGCGTCTCCGACATCCACCGCCGGGCGTCTACCTCATCGAGCGTAATTTCAGATGCGAAACACGCCGTCCTCGGCGAGGAGGGCGAAACATCAGCCGACTACGTGGCCGGGCTACCAGTTGTGTCGTTCCGATTGACAGACGAGTTCAAACGGGAGTTCCCGCACATCAAGCAGGAATGGGTATCGCTACTCATGCGCGCGCGCCAGTGGATAATACCCAACTACGCGCTCCCCCCCAGCGAGGATAAGATTGAAATCTTACGTGTGGTCATCCGCGAATCCATGAGTCTGGATCTGCTGGACCGCCTGATTGCGGACTTGGTGTCTGTGACGCAGACCCTGATCGAAAACGACGAGGTAGACCTGTCAATCCTCCAGAAGCAGAAGCCAGCTGGAGATAGCCGGCCGCGCAAGGACGCAAGTAAAGGGGGTCGTTCAGAGGAGTCTGCTAAGGTACTCGAAGGGAAGGTGGCACGACTGGCGGGCGGTATTCACAGGAGCGTCTGCTGATATCGATGCCCCTAGTTGGTAATATGGGTTACGTTCTTAAGAGGTAGTAGGTAGGTAGGTACCTTAGATAGATAGATGTCCCACGGAAGAATACACCTTCATGCGCAACACACCTGCATCATGTACCTGACTTAATAAATAAGGATTGATAAAAAGCTTCGACGCGATCTGCAAAAACGACAGCGATAGGACAGCGTCCCATCTATGTTACGACCCCGAATACCTAAACTAGCATGGCGGACGTCCGCTGCAACACCGCTTCCAGGCTCCCGGTTAAAGTGAATATATCCCCTATCCCAATTTACGGATACCACGGTTCGCTGCACAACATATCCAAAGGTAACTAAAGTATAGTAAAATAGAGTACAGCAGCCTAGAGTGTTCCAGAGAGCAATAGAATGATTAGGTACCTAATCTACCACTTACTCCCTTACCACCTTGGACCGATTTCCCGGCGCGGCGCTGTATACTCCAGACACGACGGCCACGGGGCGAGCACAGATATACATACTTCATACCGGACCATTGCGTACTTACTACCACGTAGGTATACACGCCAGGGATTGGCAAGTTAATATACATAGATATTTAGAGTGCCGAAGGATAAGCTTCATTCGTATATTTATTATTAACCCGCGCAGAGAGTTAATCTAGACGTCGATCTTCATTTATAAGTGCATTTTCGCGGTCTATCGTGACGTGATGCGACTCTGTTTGATTTCATACCTACCTACGTATGACATGACATGACAAGATATGACATGATACGACATGACTCGCTGGGTTTAGGTAGGTAGCTTTGTGTCGAGGAGGAGTATATATAAATAGGTGTATAAACTACCAGCGAGGAGCGCCTCGAGGAGCCGCACAGCACGCCATAGAATCTACACTAACTACCACCTAACCAAACTTACAACTTCTCACGATTTCTTATCACTCAGGTGTGAGCAAGTGCAGTATAAAATCTCAAGATGAAGGTACTTATTATTATTACCTATCCATAGCCATACTTACCGCAATCAAGTCTAACACAGCCCCATACACAGTACACACTCACCGCCATCCTCCCCCTCCTCCTCGCCGCTTCCGTCTCCGGCGCCAGCCTACCCTTAACAAAGCGCATGACCTGCAGCGCGGGCCTAGACAACCCGTGTCAAGACCTGTACGTACCGTACCGCCTCGTTAACTTCTTTCCTGCCTGCCTGCCTTTCTCGTCGACTAGACTCTTGGGTGGGGTGGCTGGCTACCTAGGTACCTAACTAACCGCGCATAGATGTCAATGCTCCAGCGGCAACGTCGCTTGCCACTACGACCCCACGTCCCGGTGCGTGCAGATGTGCACGTGCTAGGCATATAATCAATTCTACGAGGCCTTGGGAGGCGCCAGTTAAATTATACATGAGTCTTAAATTAGGTGCTTCATTCTCTGTTTCGATGGAACGGGAAAAGGGGTAGGGGATGGTTTATTGGCGTGGTGTCAAAAAGGTCCAGTCACGCTAAAGTTCGCGGGAGTGAGCTGGGTTTAATGTGGACAAGACTATTAATTGAGTTACGAATTTATTACTTGGCAGGCTTGTATTTAACTTTTAGGTTGGGTCTTTAGTTTAGAGTTAAGGGGAAGATTATGTACTTCTGAGTTGAATACTCGAAAATACCGTGATAACACACCTAGAAGCCTACCTCACAGCTTAATATCCCTTATGAAGAACACATTATAGAAAGTTTCATAACTTTCTCAATTCCCCCCTCCTTTTAAAATCAATTATAGCCTCCCTCGTATACTCATACACCATATCTATACAAATATCCGACATGTACACTTATCGTCTACTAGTCGGTCCTGAAGCCGACTTTCTCCTTAACGACGTCGTGCTTCCCCAATTGCCTGCGGATTTCTTCAGCTTATTACCAAGGCTGATCCTAGCAGCCGACATTGGGTTTGGTGACTGCGGTCGGGTTAGAGGCTTGCCCTGCCCGTCCGCAAGGGGTATATGTGCACCGCTGGCAATCTTTTCCCAGTCGTGCCTATCGATCGAGCCGTGCTTGTAAATGTCATATTTATCCTCCACCTCAACATCTGATAACTTCTGGTTCCTTGTACGATCTACGAATCCCTTAATCGAGGCCCATGTTTCGACTTGGCCCTGGCTTGCTTCCTCGATGCAGTTGCACTCGTCACCAGCAGGGCACTCGGTCTCGCCGGCGTCATGCCATTGCGCTATACAAGCCTCGTGGCTGGCGCAACCGCATGATAGGCAAGGGGGATAGAGGGCATCGATAGGCTCGTTACAAAATACGCACAGCAGTTGCATCTGCGTGCGTTTACAACGATCGCAAGTACCAACTGCACCTCCAAGTAATGTGCTAGCATGTGTCGACCGTATTGGATCTAGGTGGGTCTCATGTATGCGGCAGATGCCAGTTACATCAATGCCTTTATCAGATGCAATCAACGACTGCAGCAGCTCTTTCTTGCCCAATATAATAGGCGAGTTGGCACCGTGATGTGAAGGAGAGCCGTGACTCACATTCTCCACGCTGTGATACTCGTGGAAGCTAGCAGCTCCCGAACTTGCAAAACTAATAGCCTGAGGCCCAAGGGGGTCTTCCTTAAGCACGTTGAATTTCAAGATCTCGAGTCGAGCCAACGGTTGGTTCCACATCTGTAGCATTTCTGCGTACGCATGACGGTAGCTCGCATATATAGCGTGACGGGAAGGCTCGAGGAAAGGAACGCCAAGCCAGCCGTCGTCATCGAATATCGACTGATCTTCTATTTCTGTAGATATACCATAGCATAATAGGGGTATAGTATCGTCACTCCGTGCGTCATCATCAGAATACGAGTTGCGTGCGGTGCCTGACGGTTCGGCCGTAGGACCTAGAATTGTTGAACTACCCCAAGTGATATTAGTTGGGGCAAGGTTGGACAGGAATGTCTCTCCAGGGCTAGGGCGTTTCCGACTAGGGGGCGATGTTGATGCAACGCTCGCGAACGGCCTAGGGAAACTAGCTAAGCCCGCAGTCAGAGCAGTATTTGCACGGCTCAGTAACCTGTTATCTGGCGACGCGGCCAAGCTTTGGGTTGGATCGCCATTCGGCTCATGAGGTGTCATCGTCGTCGGCGGCGTCTCACCACAGGAATAAGAATTGGATTTTGGATCACCGCCCCATGTTACTTCCTCTGAACCGTACGAGCCGACAAGGTTAACAGGTGTGTGTAATGTCTTAGGGGTAGAAATTGCCGAGTTAACTTGGCTCTTGTGGTTGTAGATACTAGAGTGCCAAAGCGACGCATCTGTGGGGAAGTAATCTAAAGAGAACGACGGTGCTTTCATGGGGAGAGGCGTTTCCGGTTGAGTGAGGTGTGATTCTGCGTACGCAACGCCATCCTCGGCCGACGACTCGCTGAATATGCACGAGAGCATAGCAAGCATCTGAACATCGGCCATCTTCTCGAAGTAATAGAAAAGGTCGTCGATCAAACTTCTTGCGAGAGGATGATGTCCCCATTTGACCCGGCCGTTTAGCGTGGTAGTATTAGAGCCTGGAGATGATGAACTGTTATCGCCGAAACGGGCGACAGCATTTTTCGCGATAACGAGTATTGACTCCCTGCCTTGGCCATCGCCCAAAAGCTCAAGAGGGATGTCCTTTCGAAGTAATAATGACGAGTAATTCCAAACGTCTACAAGATCGGACCGTCCATATTTCTCTGCTACAGTCGCATTGTGGGCGCACACGTCCGATCCATCCCCAAATATGCAATATTCCTGAGCAAACTCTTGCATGGAAGGCAACTCATTGGCAACATTATATATAGATATAATGTTCTTAGGCTTAGCTGGACGACGTTTACTGGTACCAGTGCCAGTACCCGTGCCTATGCCCGTGCCCCCACCACTTGAGTGCATGGAATAACTGCCGCTGAATGTCTTTCTGAAACGATGACCCGGTAAATACCACATATTAATCTTGTGCATATACGTAGTTTCTGAGTCGCTTGAGCTCGAGGAATCGTCCCCGTCCTCTGAATCGGACTGATCCTCCGTCGCTGAGACATCGTCGTTTATATATCTATTTCTCGGGGCGGTCGACTCCTGTTGAAGTCTACCAAAGCCCGCGAAGCTAGGCTCCCCTTTAGGACGCTCCTTAAAAGAGTCTGCGGTAGGGAAAAAGGAAATCTTGGCCTTTTCTTCCTTAGTAGGGAAAAAACAGACTAATCTTCCATCATTCGAGAAGCGGCAGCCGCACAAGCGTGGCATTGGTGGTATAGTGGGCCTATTAGTAGGAGCAAGAGTAGCATCAAGCTCAGTGCTCGCGGTCAACTCTTGGGACATAGTCGCAGAGCCGCCAGCGGGAATATAGCTATCCTCTTCTTCACTTGAGCTCTCATCGGCGAGCCCACCGAAGTCGTCGTCTAGGTCTTTAACATTTTTAAAGAGCGAATCGCTACTAGAGAGATCAACCTCTCCAAGAAGGTAACTAAAAGCCACCTCGAGACAATTTTGTCGCTTCTTCGAGAACCGGCTTACCAACTGGTGGATTTCCTGTTCAAGTTTCTTATGCGTCTGGTCTGACATCAAGGCTGTCTTCTCAACCATGAATTTCGGGGCCCTTGATTTCGGGTAGTTCTTAGGGATGTCTACTTTGACTTTGATGAAAATGCTATCGCCGTCTGCGCCCCAGGGACCTTTGAGAGAAGCCCTGAGGCTAAGAGAGTCTATATCTACGCTGTCCCATTTAACGTTTGGCATTTGCTGGTTGACGCGAACAATCTCTTCCTGTAGCGTTTCTGGTTCGGCCCAATGCTCGTCATGAAAGCCATGCCCAAACATGCCAGAGTCTCTGGATTCCTTTCTCTGGGACGCTCTGATGATCCCCGACTTCTTGCTCATCGTGATGCCTTTCATCCAACCAAGCTGGTCTAGGCTTCGATCGATTACCTTACCAGCGACAGTTTTTGCTCTCATTGAAGGGCCCTTCCAACTTGGGATCGTGCCACCGGACCGAGGATAGTTTGATGACATCGTCTGCATTCCCATAGTAAGAGCGCTGCGGCGAATTTGGCTTCCGCCGCTTCCGGGGCGAGGATCGCTCATAGTAGCTGATCTCTTCTCTCTATTAGCGTGGTCGTCAACGGATCTATAAGTCTTATACGCTGCTCCTTTTCTCGTAATATTGATTTTTTGAGCTAGACAACCCTTTACATGCCCGACAGACTCCAGGGTTGACTGTTCGACTCTGTGAAGACGCAATTCATTGTCTTCACCCCAAGATACAAGCTGAAATTCCCGATTGTCTATCCCGTCATCCGAGATTGATCCACGGGCCCTCCACAGGAATTCCTTTACCTTGTGGTTTCCGTGCCCAGGAAAAATGTTGCGTGGGTCAACGGCATCATCCAATGCCTCCCCTTCGCCACGCCGGCCATCGTATAAGTAAAGGTTTCCCGGGTCATTCTGAGGCATAGCTAGTAGACCATAACCGAAAGGGGTATGACGAGCACGCCATACAGGAAAATCTGTGCGGATTATCCTCTCCGGTTCTTCGGATACGCTATAATCCCAGAATTTGATACTTTTATCCAAGGAACAAGTAACAATGCTGGTCGCCTTGCTACGATTCCAATCAAGGCCATAGATCTTAGAGGTATGCGCACTAATAGACCTAAGAGGAGTAGATGGCTTCCTTTCGTCCCAAATGTGTAGCCACCTGTCATGTGACGAGGCGAGCACGTTGGGGTCTTGTCGATTGTACTTAACTTGGGTAGCTCCAGCGAACCAATCGCAGAAAGTTAAGACGGGCTGCTTAGGTCTCCGCAAGTCCCAACAATGCACATAACCATCGACCGCGCAAGTGGCGAGCATGTCAGGGTGGTGGGCCGAGAAGTTGATATCTGTGATTGCCCTACTATGGCCTTGGAGGGAGTGCTCTATAGCCCCCGTCGCAGAGTCTTCCCTCAGGTTCAAATTCCAAACCAGACAGCGATGATTGGCGGTCGAGGCCACCCAGTAATCCCGGGCCGCGAAAGGCGACCACTGCACGTCGACCACCAGCCACGGGTGTCCATGACTGCTCAACCGACGGGGCGGATTATAGGGGGCATCAAGGTCGATGATGGCTAGACCTTCGGGGCTTTAAATATCATGAGCATATACAAATTATAAAGCGGATACAATACTCCTTTAACTTACGATGCAAGGGCAACATCGCGGCCACTTGGTGATATGGTGGCTGATCCGACTAGTCCATCGACATGAATAGTTACATTGGCATCGAAACTCTCACTGTCGTAAGCGGACTTGGGAGCGTTCTCTTTGGACGTATCCAAGATGCGATCCAAATTCGAAGGCATGGCTGTTTAATTTATAGAGCGCATGAGCCCACTGACGGAACATCGAATTCTCGATGGATTTCGGATGACGCTACCGCCCATCCTCCATTCATGTGCACACGATCTCTCAATTAATAAATCTCGCTTTGATCTTCCATTAGGTCAATAAGATACGCCGGGCGCGTTTCTAAGTAACGAATAAGATTGAACTACTGTAAGGCATCGTTATGACTTTTTAGAAAGACCGATGACATTGATACGATATCTCATGTAGGCGAAAAGATAGGCATGCATGATGCACGTAAAGTGATATTGTAAGTAACCTTGAAGACCAACTGGTGGTGTCAGCGCGCAGGACGTCGCGATTTGTTATCGATATAGCAATCACAGGTTTAATATTAAGCCTGGATTAGGTAAGGTATGCATAATTGTTAGCATGTCACTAAGGTTGCCCCTCATCTCATCTACTGTAACCAACTGGAATTTACATATTTCGGTGTGGAAATACCAACGTCCGACTAATGAGGGGCAGCAACCTTCCATGGAACCTTACCTTAATAAGACCGTTAAGATACAAAGTTACAAACGCCTTCACTGGCCACCGGTTCCTTATCGCAGGTGACATCCCACTTGATTTAGTCGCTACCTGTACCTAGTCGTCTGGTCGTCAGTCTTAGTTCTTTTGTCCGCGACGTCGGATCAGCCACGAACTTTCTTGAACTTATACGCAGTTTAAAGGTAACTATTTTATTTAACTATTTGTTTCCTTACCCATACAACCTGGTCGTCTGCTTTCCCCGGAATTCCTTCCAAAGCAGCAAACTAACTACCTAGGTACCTGCAGAGCACTAATAAACAAATAAGTGCTTCCCCGCCGTCGCCGATATAAACGGGCGATTGCAAATCTTACCTACTTTCCCCTGAGCTGCTACCACCGGTACGGTACGCCTTGTGAAGCCGTGGCGCTCTTTAGCTTTCCCGCTCGTAATACTACCTCTACCAGCCTCGTTAGCATTCGCCCGGTCCCTTCTGCTCCTCCTCCTCTTCTTCTTCTAACAGTTCAAGGAGTTTCCCGTGGAGAATAGATAAAGCGACGTTCTTCTCATTAAGGTTCTCCCCGTCACCATACCATACCGACCAGAATAACAGGATGGCGTTACCTAAGCGTATCGTTAAAGAGACGGAACGTCTGATGACCGAACCGTAAGATCTAACCTAGATGCCCCGGGTCCGTGCTGCGTGTTTGCTGAGGTCTTGATACCTAACCGAGCCGTTCGCAGTGTTCCTGGTATCAGCGCCGTTCCCCACGAAGATAACCTTAGATATTTCGATGTTGAGATCCACGGCCCCTCGGGATCGCCGTACGAGGGTTCGTGCACACCTCCCATTTCCCGTCCCGTGCAACTGATAGATCTGTTCGCTGACCATTCCCCAAAATTCAGGAGGCGTCTTCAAGCTCGAGCTGTTCCTGACAGACGACTACCCGATGGTCCCACCTAAGATCCGCTTCTTGACCAAGATCTATCACCCCAACGTCGACAAGCTTGGACGTATTTGCCTGGATGTGCTAAAGAGTCAGACACCTTTTACACCTTTTCCACTCCCATCCATCATAAAAGTTGGATCTATTTATTAACGCCTTCTCCCCAGACAACTGGTCGCCCGCTCTCCAGATCCGAACGATCCTCCTCTCGATCCAAGCTCTCCTCGGCGCCCCCAACCCCGACGATCCCCTAGCCGCCGACGTCGCCAAGAGCTGGAAGGAAGATGAGAACAAGGCCATCGCGACTGCCAAAGAGTGGACCAAAACATACGCCACCCCTCAGCCGAAGTAGAAGCGTAGGCTGCTGAAGGCTGCTCGTAATATCCGCGAGTGCCTCAGGCGTATTTCGAGACGCATCGCCTGTTGTATTCCTCGTCGTAAGGCTCGATGGTCATCTAGAGACGCTCTAGGAGTCAATATTTTCGAGGCTACGACATGCGTTTAGTAACCGTTAGATAGGAAGAGTTGAAAGTACTACCTACTCAGTCATCATCCAGTTAGTTAGCCAGTCAAGAATCTCTTACTTCAGGGGTCGAGGAACCCCTTCTCTTTCAAATTTTCATTAGCATGGAACTACACTGGCGTTCAGCGAGTTGACCGGAAGGTAGACGGTGGAGGACTGTAGACATGCACCTAGCAATAGCGCAGTTAAGCAAATAAAAAAAAATATGACTCGGAATTGTTGCTTGCTTTTAGCAAGTCATGGTGATGCATAGATATTCAGTCCCAGATATTTCTAGAGTGCCGTGGGGATGGAACACTATATCAACTACATAGTATACCACGATAGCATTACGATAGCCCAATATCTTAAGTACAAGCCGATGCCATACCTACCATTCAGCAAACACCCCCCCTCCATCTAGGTTAGCCTCTCCCTCCGCTCTCTCGCTACGTATCACGGAACACAAAAACCCCCTTCCCAGACCTATACCCCTGCAGCGTGCCCTGCACCGCATCCCTGAGGGTCTGCACATCCGTCTCCCAATGCCACGGCACCTCGACGACGGGCGTATCGCGGAACTTGCCCTCGCGCACCAGCCCCAGGATCTCCGCCACCGTGCGCGCCTTGGACCCCGGGTCCCCGTCCGCCCACCGGCTCAGCCAGAACCCCACGAATCGGATATCCTTGAAGATGAGCAGCCCCGTCGGCAGCACGACCGGCTGCCGCGCCATGCCCCCGTACGTCACCATCGTGCCCCCGTTACCCAGGCTCTTGGCGACGGTAGACGCGCTCTTCCCGCCGACGCAGTTGAGGCCTAGACGCACGCCCTCGCGCGCCCCGCGCGTCCACTCCGCCAGCTGGTCCCTGAACTCGCGGGCCTGGAACTCGTCTTCCGTGACGACGTGCGTGGCGCCGAGAGCAGCGAGCTCGTCCTTCAATTTCTGCGTGTCCTCGGGCGTCTCGCGCGCGCGCACGACGTTAATGCTGCGATACCCCCATAACCTACCCAGCTGGATCGCGGCGCGGCCGACGCCGCTGTTCGCGCCGTTCTGGATGAACCAGTCGCCTTCGCGCAGGGGGCCCGGGTCCTTAACGTAGTCCCTTAGCATGCGGTATGCGGAGCACGGGTTTACAGCGACCGTGGCGACTTGCAGTGGATTAAGGCCGTCTTTCTCGACTTTGATGACGGTGTCGGCGGGGGCGAGGGCGTGCGTGCGCCAGGTGCCGAATTGGGTCTTCTTGGGGATGACCCAGTCGCCGCGTTGCAGGTCGGGGGATGACGAGGAGACTACTTCGAAGGCGCCTTCATTGCCGGGGACGACGGAGGGTTCGGCGGTTCCGAGAAGAGTGCTGAAGGAGGGCTTGGCACCGTAGGTGCCCTGGATGATATTTACGTCTGCGGGGTTGATTGGTGAGGCAAGGGAGCGTAGGAGGACGGAGGAGGAGGGGAGGCTCGGGGAAATGGAGTGTGTATGTAATCTATGAACAAAGCAATGGGGAATTTGTTAGTCTATATGAAACCATTGCAAGATGTTAAGTATAAGTAGGACTTACTTTAAAACGTCCTTCGGTTCACCATATTCGCTAAAGACGAGAGCCTTCGCTTGCGTGTAGCCATATGGTCCAGATTTATACCGAACTTGTGTCTGCGACGCCGGTACCAATTTCACATTGACTCTGCATTGGCCTGGTCGAATCAAGCCCTTAGCTAAGGAATCAGCTATTCCTTGCGCCCTAAGCGGTCGGATACTAGCCATATTGCCGTAGACGTTGCGAGTTTAATCGTGGGACAAACATTGAAGTCTCCCAAGTTTCGAATGGAGCTGCTGATAACAAAAATTCGGAGCTCTGGAAGCTGAACTCGGCAATGACGTTATATCTTATCATAGCATTGCCGAACCGCTTTACGATTGGCCTAAGCTAGAGCTACCTTTTTCTAGGGCTTACCAAAAGCATGCTCCCCTTTTTATGTGGACGTTAAAAAGTTCAGCCTCTATACTTGCATGTACATGCATGTACCTAAGCTACCATGATCACTTCGAGAGAAAACATATCATAGTCATATAATAACAACCCGAAGGCGAGGCCATATGATCTGATTTGCCTAGTCGTCTTTGGACTTAAATGCTAAAGAACAAGAGGATTAAGTAAATGCCCACGTACGTACGTAGGGAATATCAGAAACTCAGAAATTCGATACCTTCGCGCCAAAGATGCACTATTTCACAAAAAATGGTGTAATACTCTCCAACCGGAAGGTAAATATGAACTCTCCCACTATCGTGACACATAAGCACATAGCCGTAAATATTAACCGTTAGATGATTGAAGAAATCGCTCCGTAACTTCTTTGCCGCCATCTGCCAACTCTAAGATATTTTCAATCCTCCGCTGTCCTTCTAGGAGCGATCGTCTTCCGCGTCCATTAAGAATCGAATCGTTGGTAGTCTCCTTTTACCATGAGAATAGTAGGACAAAAAAGTACCCCCAAACCAAAGAAATAAGCGGGGGCGAGGGAGCAACACACATAACATACATCGGTCCTTTTCCAGATGCTCTTGATGTAACGCACTTATATGACGCGCGTGGGAAGATTTGAGAAGGGGAAGAATAATAATATCGAGTAAAAATAAACCGATGGGGAAAGAATTGACAAGGTATGTCGATGAATGAGCTCGCGCAGGAGCTGGGTATCTAATATTCCACCCTCCAAAAGGCTTTTTTTCGCAAAAGCAACGCCTCCTCCGCTCGCCTCGAAAGAATCTCCATGCCAAATGTCAAAAAATTACTTTGCCGTAAAACAATGACGGCTGTTTTGAAGTTAATCTCCAAAGCTCATGAAATGCAAACGCAGGCAACCAAAACACGGCCGTAGATGGGGTATCATATGTTGCGAAACAATTCCCTAGGTTATTTGATTCCCTTAAATAGGTCATCGCCGAGATGAGTATCGACTTTAGTTTTAAGGGCGCTCAGCTCCGGAATCATCGGCGGCGGGGGGCCGGCCGGCTTCTTGGGTTCCTCGATCGGGTGTTCGAATACTTGACTGGCCCTCTTGGCAGTGTCGTTCGACCGTAACCGTTTGAACCAACCGCTGGCGCGTTTCGACTTTTTCTCTTCCGCAATCGTACTTGTTGTCCGGCTCGGAGGTCTCGAGTTACCAGGGCTAAGAAGTGATCCTTGTTCATCGTAAGCATTGTTCAATAATGTTCTGCTAAGCAGGCGTCTAAGGCTTCCACGATTTGACGGCACGGGGGACACGGGACCATCTTCTGCTGGGCGCTTTGTGCCGGCATTGGCCGTGATAGTGTCAAGTTCGGGTTTATTAGGGAATGTACCGTGACCATTAGCAGCACCATTTGTTTCCTGCTTCTTTTCGACTTCTTCACGGAGTGGTGTCTTCGGCGGCGATGGAACCTCTTCCTTGGGCAATGGTACCTCTACCTTGGGTGACGGTACCTCTTCCTTAGGCGACGGAGGGGACGGAGGTGGCGGTGGAATATCGGTTCCGTCGGTTAGGGAGCCAAATTTGAAATCCAGAGCTGGAAGCTCGAAACGTTTGGCAGACGACGTTGCCGCAGCGCCATTACTTGTGACGGACATGATTAGAGAGCTAGAGGGAATGCGCTGACGAAGTATGTCAGGACCGTTACGGAGTCGGACACGGTTCGCTATCGACTGTGGAGTGATCTGAACGTCTTGAGTCAGAAGGAGTGTGTCGAGAACGAAACGACCAAAACAAAACCTAGCGCACGAGCTGGTAAGGGGGGTGAAAAGAAAATACTAGTACGAACCGTAAACGCACGGGGCTCGAGAACTAAGTGGCCCCCAGAGATTCGACCGGCTCGGAGATGATCGCAAGTTTTCAATAGTAAAAAAGTACGGAGTTTTGTTTACTAGGCGTCTTCAGCGAGGGGGAAGTCAAAAGCATCCCGACGCAATGCGATTGGTAGGGTCAAAAAAATAACCTCCAAGTCAAAGGCAATTGAGAGAGTAGCGAGAGGTCCAAAGCAGTAGGAGAAACAAAGCCAGCGGCGCGGTGGGTTCTGTTTTCTGGGTGGAGAGACAGAAAGAGAGAGGGAGGTCAGGCCAGACCTAGGATTGCTAGGATCAAGGGTGTCGAGCCAGAGAGCGAGCGAAGTTGTGGCTGGGATACTTAGTGTACTTCGGAAGCTTCGTAGTCACTCTTTAAAATGAAATGATGTGCCTCGAGACCGTGCACAAAAAAAAAGCCTGAAGATTGTATTTGTGCGAGATGGAAATGCGATTTTATTCACGTCGATTAATTCGGATCAGGTCGGCTCGCTAGGTAAACGATGTTAAATATGCGAACTCGGGGGGATACAAGCTCGAGGATAAGTATTTCGTTCTCAATGGCTGATCAATACTTAACGTGCCGTGATGTTGAAGGGTTGAAAGGTCCCTGGATTTCTCTACAATGGCTTAGATGTGGATTTGTGGATTTTAGTCTAAAAGCTAGATCAGAATCGGTACCTTCTTGGACAGATTTACCGACTAAGCCTGCTAAGCTAGGTGGGGATAACCCCGATAAGGAAAAGTCGTATTGACCTATTTTGGATTGAACCAGTGAACTTGGATTGAACTTGGGATTCAACTTACACGACTCTTGGTGGTAACTCTTGGTGGTACGAGGTACACGTACAGTACACGTACAAGAAACAACATCAGGCCATTGAACGGTCTTTAATAAAGGTTAATTCGTTCGTGGATTTCTGATCTTCCCAATATTTAACCTTAAACTTACTTTATTTGAAAGATAATACGAGGTGTCCACGTATGGAGTTCCAAGTATGAAATATCACGACCAGCCCCCGCTTTACGTACCGGTAGTCAACTGCGCCTCAGATAAATATGGTACCCAAGGTACCTCATACCTCTATATCCGAAAAATACGAGCGATATATATTCTATATTCTTATAGATTTCTACTTTACTTTATCAAGAAAGAGATCAAATCCAAATCAATATACTCAATTTTTATTTCGTACCTATATAAGATGCGACGTGTAACTAGCTTAAGGAGGCCACATGTCGACGAAGTAAGGTATTCTATTGTTAGATACCTTCAAGACACTGGGGGTGGAAAAGAAAAAAGAAAAATAAAGGGGGAGAAGTGCTTACGGCGGCTCCAAAGACTTGGAGAAGTGATGCCAAGACTCCACATCCGCAAGCACCGATCGTTCAATACGTATGACGGTAGCGGGGCTGACGATGGCTTCTAGAAGCAATGCTGATAGGCTGAACAACATGTTCAGTTCAATACGTGAGCTAGTCTGCAAGGTGATGTAGGTACATATAAGACAGACCGCTTCTCAGACGCCCAAGCCCAAGACCTTCAGCAAACCGATTTGCTTTTTCACGTTGTAGCTGCAGCGTTCCGCATGTATGTTTCACATAAGAGCTTTACATATCCTGCTGTTTGTATTGCGTGTTTACGCTGGGTATCTTGTATCGGATGGAACCGACATAACTTGGACACTGGGCAAACCCCGCTGGCACCCGCTTGAGAAAATCAACGTAAACCCAATGAATAAACCATACATACCTAGTGTAAATAACCCTTAAGCGACTCTAAGGTCTAAAAGCTTGGACCCAATCATGCAGTCGATCAATAACGACGGGCATGATACCGTTAAGACTGTCCTCCATAATCCGATCCAAGTGTCTAATCGCATCCTCTTCATTCAATTCTAAATGGAAACGCTCCTTTACCTTGAATACCGCCTTGTCCGGCTCAGCCTTGATGTCCGGGATATTAGCATGGACCATTAGACTAAACAGGTTCAGAATTAGGTTCGACGATTTCCGCAGCGCTGCGAACGCTAGGAAGCAGTATTGTTTAAACTGCAGATACTGCTCGCTCGGGGGATTTGAACCGCCCATCGCGTCGGCCATCTCCTTGCTGAGCTTGACTGCCGGTGCAAACGGTTTAGGGTCCCGACCGAGGATAAACCCGAAATCAGCGTGAAAGAAATGTCCGTCTGGTGTTAGAAGAAGGTTGTCGAGATGTCGGTCGCCCACTCCCAATATATAAGTGATTACACAGTAGCCCGCGCACGATTTTACAAACGTGTCAAGGGTTTCCTTCCGTACTCCCAAATATGCTCGCTCATCAGGATTGTGCTGTTTGAGGTAGGCAAGAGCAGGGTTGTTACGATATTTATAAGAGATTGCAGCAAATGTCTGGGACGGGATAAACTGAGAAGCTCCAGCAGTTGTACTGGTTGCGAGAATTTTGTAAGGCGTCAATTTGAGATCCAAGTTCTCCTTTTGGAGGAGTTGATCCATGAGGGTAATGATCTGGATAACGAGCTGATCCTGACGCAGGTCGTCGCCAGTCTTGAAGATGATAGGGTATTTGCTTCCTGATATTGTCTTGAATGTGACCATGATTGGCGAAAGTGACGATTTAAAGACCCGCGTCTCTTCCGGAATGACTCCTGTGACCATGACCGACGGGTCGAGGGGTATAGGTACGGCCGGATCAATAGATAAGAGTTCGTTTTTCGGATCAGCTAGGAAATTTTTGACTTTATCGACCTTGCGAGCGACTGACTCATTAGAGGCCTGGATTTCGGCCGAAATTTTGGATAAGACTGTAACAAGCTCGGCTTGTCTTCTAATGGTTACTCTCGTTTCGCGGCCACCGGGACGGCCCTCAAGTTCCTTCATGAAGTCATACTGAACCTTTGCGTACATGGTACGGACTTCCTCGCCTTGCTCATTGCTCTTGTCGTCATATTCAACCCCGAGGTACCAGTAAAAGTAGTTTCCAAGGGTGAAGTTCTGGACAGCTCGAGAAATTAAGAAATTTGCTAGGGAAGATGCTCGTACAGTAGCTTCGTTGGAGTCAGCTGATATATGTTCGAACTTCAAAGCCTGAACTAGTTGTAGTAAGTAAAGGAGCAACTCATGGTCATCGGCCTTCCTCAGTCGGTCCACAGCATACGCTCTTACAGCCCGGTTATCAAAGGTAGGACCGAGCAGCTCAAGCGCATCGTCCACATCAATATCAGTCCATTTACCAAGGACTTGAATCGCTTGCTTAGATTCGCTCTGGTCCTGCCAGTTAACGGACTTGACGAACTTCGTGAGAGCCCGCTTATCCTTAGTCAAGTGGTAACGAAACTTCCAGACAAGATCCTTTTCTTCTGGGGACAGAACGTGTGTGGGCGAATATGACATAATCATATTAAGCTCGTCACGAACCTTTGCATTAGGTCTCAAGTCTTTGTCTAGTATTCCATGGCGATGCTGACTCCTGACAAGGCGTCTATGCTTGCTTTCTGCGGGATTATCCCGTGCACCAACTTCGGGATCATAAATCCTGACTATGCGGCTATCCATCCTGTTTCCTGCGTCACCAGGGCCGTTGATCCCAGGGCCATACGAAACCTCGGGAGGAGGTTTTAGAATAATATTTGATTGGGAAGCTGAAAGGTGCTGGAAAGATGAGATGGGCGGTGGGGGATATTCGTGATCTGCGAATACAACAGGAAAATCAAAGCGAGGTAGTTCGACATTTAGCATGAATCTCGATGGGCCAGGTCTTGGCGGATTTTCAGCCGCGGAGTCGGTCGTTTTATCTTCGCCCCCGTCCTTCCCAGCACCATCCGTGGTCAGTGTTGCTTGGAGTTGAAATGATTTGACTGAGTTCTTTGCTGCTTTCAAACCACGCTTCTCGGTTTCTCGAAATACAAGCTGATCGAGCCATTCAACCCTAGGTATCTCATTCATCTCATGCTTCTTAAATAATTTCTCTAGACGCTCAAGCTCCTCGGTTTCCTTGTCCACGAGATTATCATCTTTTTTTGAGGCACCTCTCGTCTTCGCTATGCTCGACGGCGTAGTAGTATTATCGTTTCCATCTGCCTGTTTGTGGCGGTGAACTAGGCACTTCTGTCTGCCCTTCTGGAGCTGGTTATCCTGGTCGAAGAGTGGGAGTGTCGTCCCGCCGAATGGAATGGCGTGGCCCTGAGCTTGTTTCCCGCCGGTGGGGGAGAGGTCCCATATCGTTATTGCGAGATACGAATTAATCGGGAGAGATTTGATTGGTATTGGGAGATCAAGCCATTCGTTCCATCTAGGATGTGTTAGTCAACGTATCGATCCGCTTAAAGGCATCTACTTGATCGATCACACCTTCTTTCATTGCGAAATGGCTTATACGATGTCTGTATCGGGACGGTTAGGGGCTTCGAGCCAGCCCATACTTGGACAGTAACATAGAGATCGGAATGTGGGCTATATGAGCTTCAAGTTAGCATGGCGCTGTAAGGTAAGTACTGTTTAGCTACTCGGAATGCACACGCCTCAGATTAGAGCCTATATGTCTAAGCTCAGGCCTTGACAGCAATGTCGAGTACAGATGTGGTGTTTCGTCGCCCTCTAGATTTATTCTATACGATACGTGTTAGTTGTCGATAGCTGGTCGCAACCAGGAAGCGATCCTCATACATGCGTATGCTGACTTGACGGTCTAGCGACTCCGAGCTGGCAAAAGAAAAGGGTTCCATTATGGGAATTCTTATTCCATAATAGCTTCGAGACGGTGGGTATGGGAAGTACGATATATCGTCGCGATATACAGAATACAATACAGAATATGTTATGTTACCTAAGGTTAAGTATGCAAATGGTGGGCGCATGTGCTTAGCTTTAAGTATGTAGAGTACTGACCCTGCCGTCATACCAGATGGCTTATCTTATCAGACAGCTTAAACCAGTGCCCCTCTCCACTTAGCAGTTTCCTGTAAGTACAATATGTACTATACCGGGAAAATACGCTGAGGCGAAACCGTTATAATATTGAAATGTTTGTTCTATATAATGATCTTTGATTAGATATTGATGTTTTGGGAGGGGACTAATTTTAGGAAGGAGTAATGATTAAAGTTTGCAATAATAATTGTTGAGAGTATAACGCTAATAATAATAATTTTTTTAAAAAAAATTTAAAAAAATTAAAAAAATTCCTTTTTATTTTTAAAAATAATTTTGGGATGCGCACTATATTTAAATATACCATTTTATTTATTAAAACTGTAAATAATTAAAGTTTATATATTAAAAATTTTTAATTTTTTTATTAAAATTATTAGCGTTGTGTTCTTAATAATTATTGTTGCATGTTTAAGTATTGGCCTTTGATTAAGGATTATTATATAGAGTAAGTATTTTAATATTATAACGGTTTCGCCTTAGTGTATTTTCCCGCTATGGTAGGTACCTAATGTATGTACTCCTGCCACCCCTGCGCCCTAACATTGCACTTTACTCCAGACCCACAATATTTCCAGATCTTTGGAAACCTTAACAACTCTTGCGTTTGCGATTCAGCATTGGAACTTTAACCAATTCATATAAACTTTTGAACAGACGTATGAGGAATTAATTCTCTTTTCGTAAAACCGGGCTGTATACATTTAATTAATCTTCTCTAGTCAGGTTTCATACTACCTAAAGTTCCCTCACATCCTCAAACAGGAGATCTTGGACTCAGCAAGTTTTATACCTATCCAAATATTCACATCAGCCACGGTACGAGCCACACAAACAGTTCATCATTCAATTTATTTCAAGTCGCGTTGAGGCTTGCCAGGGACGCGACTTTACGCGTCTCATTATCGCGAAGAGTGTGATCGCGTATGGAGTCATGACATATGCCAGCAATAGACATCTCCGAAACTGACTAGAATTCTTCACGGATAAGACATCCATATTCTAACCCTTTACTCAAACATATTACCGGGTCCTGCTCCTTTCAAGCACCTAGTCAACTATGTCATCCAGGGGCTCCTCTCCCGCTTCAAGATCATCCGGCTCTTCGCCAGATCCTGATAGTCGCCATAGTTCATTAGTTATCCGAGATAAAGGAAAAGCGACCGAGAGCACCTCCAAAAGAAAGCGGGAATCAACTAATGGCGCAGAACACGCTAATTCGCGGCAGCGTACGCGTGAGCCGGATGCTGAGGGCGGAGTTGCGGGGGAAGATTTCGACCCAGATCAACCCGCGGAAGAGAGACGCGAAATTCATAGCGGTTATCGGCATCTCCACCGGGATCTATACGAGAACAATGATGAGTATCTAAAAGGAGATTCAACGGGTATACACGATACCGTACGGAAAGCAAATATACAATTTGCAGGTGTGAAGCAGCCTGCAGAAGCAGCCATGGACTCCAAGCTTCTAGTGAGCGCGGCGGATGCATCGTACCGCAAAACAATCCGCCTAACTGCGGGCAATATTGCTCAAGGTGTTGATGTAGATGAGTTCGTCTCAAAGTGTATCACTTACATGAGACTGGGATCTGGGATTGCGGAAGACGATGCAGCAGAACTGACTGCTACTCAACAGCATCGTCGGAGGCCGGGTCGGGGAGCCCTAGGGGACGAAGGAGACGACGATGATGATATCGGTGACGAGGGTGATATGTTCAATTGGGAGCATATTGGTCGATTCGCTTGTCTTCCAAATATTAAACGCCCGGCAACACCAGGTTTTCTCCTCGGTCCCCTCTCCGCGGAGGTGAAGAAACGAAAAATCGTCAAACGTAGTGCCCCATTCAGACCCAACAATCTACAGGAAACGCGGCCCGAGGTTCTAGATGCTGAAGCTGTACAAAGATCGGAAAAGAACGATCTTACTACCATCTGCTCCAAGATTCTTCAAAGGCTGAAACAGGTGCAGGAAACGGCCCAGGATGCCGTAGAGGATGCCGTTAACCGCGGCGCAACCGATGAAGACGCACAAAGACTGATGGACCGCTACGGTCTAAGAGATACTGGCGGCATAGATCTCTTGAGATTCGTGGTAAATCCACGATCCTTTGGGCAAACCGTGGAAAATATGTTCTATGTGAGCTTTCTGATTCGAGACGGCCGTATTAAAATCGACTTCGACAAGAACAAGTTACCAACTCTGAGTAAGTTAAGACATGTTCTAGATGATTCTATCAATACGCTAACCCCATTCAAGACCCAGTCGGTCGTGAGGATGAAACAGCCGCCTCCAAGCATCGAGCTCAGAAACAGCAAGCTGTGTTCTCCATTGATATGAAGACATGGCGTGATATCATCAGCGCGTTCAACATCACCGAATCTATCATAGAGCACCGCAAAGAAGAAACTTCTCAAGGACCCGGGTCTCGAGGTTGGTACAATTAGTGCTAGTTTTGTTGCCAGTCGCATTTATCGTAATGTGTTTCTGGACCTCCTAGTACGGGTTCCAGTGGTTGGTTCGACTGAAGCAAAGCCCACACGAAACAGACTCTAGTTGATGTGTATAAATAATAGATAGATACCCCTAAACCGGTGGAAACCCCAATTGCAATAAAATCAAGCTTGTACACTTGATTAGTCGTGAACTGCTCCGTAACAAGCTCCGATCCTTGAGCATGTCTATTTTGAAAGGTACGATTGCGAGGCTTCACACCGAGGCACTTTTTATGGCGCTTTCAAGTGAATTAAGCCTATATATACCTATATATACCTAATATAGGTATATACGAATAAAATCCCAGCAGTAAAAACCTAGGATGACATATAGATTACATTTTATATTTACTAGGTGACTGCTAACCCAAGCGTATAGGCTATTGTCGAGGGTACTCCGGTAGCTCGACGACTTTATGAAAAATGCGGTCTTCGCGCAAAGCTTGAAGAAATGCGCTTCGATGTCGGAGATGAATTTGCTAGCACAAGGAAGCCAAAGCTTATATTCATGGCACGAGAGCCTACGAAGTAAGACTGGGCGCTTGGACGCGAAGACCATACGGCTTGTTTCTACGCAGAGTCGTAGCTCCTCCAGTATCACCTTGAGATATTGTGAAATAACTGTTGTTCACGAGTCAAGCTTTCTAATGCATAGTACAGGCGCATCGGCAGTTCTATTGCGTCTAGAAACGATCTAGGGTATCAACCTAAATATGTTCCCTACTACTAATCTTACAACTCGCTCCTGATACCTAAAAGGATTACTGAATACTATAATGTTTCTCTATTGAGATAAATCAGGGGCTAAACTTGACCGCAGTACTTTCAACATCCAATTCCTGCGTCTCTGGTCCTGTATTCTTTTCTCATACGCATTGTGCCTGGGTACCTAAATCATGTCGGGGAACTCTGGCAAACGAACATCGTTAACAAGTTCGCTCAAATGCCTTACGAGTAGGTATTTAAATTAGGCGAGCGTCAACGTAATGGCTTATTGTTCGATGTCGACTGATATGCAATCGTTAATTATTGGTATGTCGTATATGAAGAGATGATAAAGGGAAATATTGCGAATACGTCCGGAGGCCAGAGTTTTCGGATGAGTGTTGAAATTTAAGCCTTCACTTAGGTACTTATCCACGAAGCTGACGCCAGAATTTAAACCTGGCGTGCATCGCGGATATAATCGGCGTGTTTGGCGGGTATCGTCGTATGGAATAGGAAAAGAGCCCACAGTGATATGTAATTATTGGAGACTTGGGACAAGTCCAACTCGAGCCGCGAGATACCAGTGTGAATCGGTCTTCATTGGATCCATCAAGGGCTGGTGCTGAAGTAATAATTATCCCACAGATACTGGTAGTCTTCCAATATGCCAGCGACCAGGCTAGGCATACGACGACGCACTCCATCTATAAGGCCCTTGGTGAAATGCTCATAGAAAGCACCCCTCATAATCCACCAACCGGCTGCCCAATACCTCTTACCCCATTCTTCGTTCTCTAGAGCAGTGCTGCGTAAACCCCGATCACGTAACTGTCGCGCTGCGTATTCCATACTAAACCCGAGTATCCAAGGCGTCCAAGATTTCTTATTTTTGGACCTTGATAATGCAATGGCGTATACCAAGGGGGCGAGAATGTGTAATATCTCGGCGGTCTGCCCAGAGCGAGATAGCGTGTTTAGAAGCTTTGCCGCGGGCTTGATATCGTCTGCTGTCAAGACCCGGCTCATCAAATAAGAGCTGATATCTCCAGGATTTGGTAGACTTGGAAGACTGGCGCCGGTTCGTGGCATCGTCCATTCTTTCTCGTGGGCACTCTTTGCAGATTCATCCATCTCTACGGAGGAAGTGTCTTCGCCCATTAGCTCTTTTAGGGCTGCATCGTCGTTTTCGTCTATTTCTGGGGGAATCGGCTCTCGCTCCGGTAGTGGTGGTGTAACGAGCGGTCTTGAATTGGTGACTCTCATTAATAACAGGCGACAGAAGGCTTTAATAGCCTCCAAGAGGATGATGACACGCCAACGAACTTTCTCCCCTTTGCGTTTGGCGGCCATCTCCCATAATAGCTCAGTATACTGAACGATCTGTAGCAACAGGGCTATTCTGCGATACAACCTGCTCTTTCCTGTCCAAAATCTGGTGTAGCGGGTATGCGGGCTTGGTATTTTGGAAGCCAGCGCGGGGATTTTCGTTACAGCGCCTCGGAGGACGGCATCGTGATAGAGGGACAGTAGTTGGATACCCGAGTGTAGGGTCTCCGAGGCGATCTCAGCGTCACGAAATCGGCCGGGTATAATATACGTCAGGGATCGTAATGCGCTCTCGATCTGGGAAACTTGATGGGCGTTCTTCGTGATAAAGTCGCCATAGATATTTAGCCATTGCGGAGGTGTCGAGGGTTTACTCTGGGCCGGTTTTTGAGGTTTACCGGGTGGTCGTGATGCGTCACCTTTGAAATGATCAATAGATCGCGGCATGATGAGAGTATATTATTACACTATACAGATGGGGTGAGATTCAAATTAAGACATGTGATAAAAGTAAGGAAGAAAGAAGAAAAAGACGAATGAATCAACATGTAGTTATTTCGCGACTGCACTATTGATTGGACTATGATTGTAATTGTGATGTCGTAATAATTTGTGATAAGAGAGGGAGTTGTAGTTGTGGGAAGGGCAAAAGCAACTATGAGTTGTTTGACCGCATTTAATTGACAGGTTCCATCGCGTCGTTACTTCCTGCGCTTCTGTCATTACATAGTACCTCTCCGCCTTGCAGTTGCCTCGGTTCGGCCCAGCTTCTGAATTTCAGCTGGGGAAATACACTACATAAGCTCAGACCACTTCCCCAGTCTGTTTCTGTTTACGTACTTGGGCCCTCCCCAGCGCTTACCTAATAACCAAACTCAAAAATACCTAATGTACCTCTGTTACGGCACAGCGCTTAAGCTGACATCTTCTACATAATTTTTTTGAAGTAATATTGGAAATCAACTAACATACAGCTGCCCTAGGTATTGCTTCCATCCCTCTCCCTTCCCAACATAACCAATATACATATCCGGCCTTACTACCACAGTGAAGTTATCCTGGGTAGTAACAACATCTGAAGAGAAGATTCGCGCTTCATCTTGGGAACCATCACTATGACTATTAACTGGAGCTTGTTCCGAATCACTGGTGCGTAGGATGAGATTTGTGCAAACATCTCTGAACGACTGAGGAACCCCGGACTCTCCTACGAAGAGGACAAGATACTTTCCGTACGAAGTGATCGAATACAGGCGTATCGCCTCATCGGTTCCAACGCCGACGAGCTGAATATCTGGACATCTTTTACCAGCCTTCCAGATGTTTTGTTCAGAGTCTTCGATTAATTCGGATCCAATCCCATCATACGAGACACCCATTCCTATTTGAACCTTAGCATATTTTTACTATTGGGGAATATTATACGATTATTCTTACTAGTGATATATCCCGCATTCTTCTCAATCGTGGAAACATACTGTTTTGCAGTATGGTTTGTGTCTCGGACTAAAGCCGCTGCAACATCAATAACTTCCCATGCTACTGTACGGCGCTCAGTATCATAGCTGCGTATCAATTTTACTGCGGCACCAGAGGTCAAGTTGGTTTTCTTGACTGCAGCTGCGAGACGCCAGCCAAGGCTAAAGGCATCTGCAATACTAGTGTTTAGACCTTGGCCGCCGTTTACCGAGTGAACATGGGCCGCATCCCCTGCCAAGATGATACGACCTGTTCCTTGGTTCGAGACAAACGTAGAAGCGATGCGTTCTTTGACTAAATACCAGGGGACACCATTAGTACGTTATTCTCCATCATGTCTGGGATTACAAGGGAAAATGGGATCGCTTATGGTAAATCTGCCTACCATCGAAAGTTGAAAACCACTCCGTCTTGACAAAGTCAATCCTATGCGGCGCTATGTGTTCCCTAATCGGGGTTTCCGCCCTTTTCTGCGTGATTTCTCCATCGAGAAGAACATAAAACCTCGCCATGCCTCGCTCCCGAGGGATCCATGATACTCGGGACTGACCTCTAAGTTGGAAAGTAATGATTTCTGAGCATAGAGGGAAGTCGGTATCAATAAACGTGTCGAGCACTGCCCACATCATCTCAGGCTTCGTTCCGGTGAAGCTAATATTCAGCGCTTGGCGAACTGTTGAGCGCGCACCATCGGCGGCGATTGCATATTTACTATGGACTTTACGTCCACGGTCCGTATTCAGGGTGACTCCATCTTTAGTCTCGGATATAGAGACAACTTTTTCTTGGTAGCACACAGGTAAGTCTAGGTCATCCTTGAGCACTTGCTCTACGGTAGACTGGCCGATCATCAAAAAGTTAGGATGAGCACAATGTTCGAGCGACGTCCACCAGTGGCTCTGGCGAGACTTAAAGTCGCCCTCTGAGAATATCGAGCTAGCTATACATCGTGAGTTATCAAGGCCTATCAAGAGTTGACCTAACTTACTATTGCACTTGATTCCAAGTGGGAGCAGTTTGTCTAGGACCCCTACTATCTCGAGGTATTGTTGTGTGCGTGCATTCAGGGCATCTGCTCGGCCCACCTCCAAGGGTCCAGATTTACCGTCTAGGACGTCATCAGAGAACGGAAGACTATCTTTTGTTATAGAATTCTAAAACATCTATGATCCTTACGGACAAGCCTAGGCGAGTTGCGAGAAGCGCGGAGAGGAGTCCGGTAGGAACCCCTTATTCCAACATTAGCCCTCAGGTACGCGGCACCTAAAGTTGAACTTGGTAGCAAATCTCCAATAATTGCCAACTCAATCTCTTCCTCAGACCGTAAGTTCGGTTCATTCTTTGCCATGGTCGGAATATTATAACGGCGCATTAACGGCTTGAAAGGTCGTTCCGATGTTATGAGGGAATGTTGATTCTTGATGAGGTACCCATCGGGAATGACATGGAATTAAAGAATGTTGAATTAGAAATATTCTAAATTGGGAAAATTACAAATATAAGCCGTATTCGAATCGGTACACCGGAGAGGTGTCACTGCCAAGTCTATCATTTTTTTTTCATTGCGCCAGCCTCTAACCAACGAACTTCAGGGTTATTGAGGAGAAAAGAGTCTCACCGATGGGCCTGTCCGCATGAACCCTTCTGAACTTCAAGGTCGATACTGTCTCTCTCTTGACTCGGGACTCGGGACTCGGTATGCCCGTTGCATTTATGTTATATTCATGCATTTCCTGCGGAGACAGTACGAAGGAAAACTACTCTACAGCCCGGGTCCAACTTATTAAAAATCCTCTTTAGGAAGGAGTGTGAGCTTCTCGGTTCTACAAAGAGCTTCATGAAGCATAGTCTAGGCTTGGGGAACATCACATGCGCATATGATGGCGTCGAAATCTATGAATAATGCGAAAGCATCACGCTGGCCAACGTTATATTGAAGCTGAATTTCCTGAACACTGGTTCGCTTTAGCCGTGTTGCCGGAAGAACATACTATGGAGTAGCACCGGCTATTGGCCTGCTATAAAGCTTAGTTCGTTAATGTGCAACGTTGCGGCATCGCCAAGTCGGCTCTTTCTGTAATAGTTCTACCAGACCAGGGGGATAAAGAACTCGTTGTATCGCCACCGAGACCTATAGACGCCTCGGCGTTCGAGCCCCAATGTATCTATCCTATGTATCATGCAAAGGGTCTGCATTCTCCTGCAAAGATAGATTTAAGTTCATAGGTTCGACCATATCCGACCATCAACATGTTGTTGAATCCTACTCACAATATGCCGTCCGTTTTGAAGCTCGATACTGCCGATGACTTGGCATGCCCGACAATTCTGGCTGATAAGCTGGGAGATATAGATCCCTCCCATGTTGAAACCGCATCGCGTATCTTAAGTGTTATCTCGCGATATAAGCTTGCAGGTGATGCGTTCTTAGCTAAGAGTCACGATGGAATCAACTTTCTGGCCCAAATCTACTCTAAGGTCGTGGCCAGTCAGACTATCCACATGTGCCTTCCTGCTTTCCCCTTCAAGTCGCCAAACAGAAGCACCAAGGTACTTGGACGTCTCCCTGACAAGGCTGAAGAGTTTGCGCTCGCACATCTTAACGGCTTATGCGCCGCCATAGGCGATATTTACGCACCAGGTGCAAGGCTAATGATTGTTTCGGATGGGCTTGTTTACAACGGTATCTAACCCTTACGACATTTATACATGTTACTTAATACTAACAAGAGTCAAGACCTCCTTGGGGTGCCAGATAAGGACGTCTGGGCATATGGTGAAGCTCTCCGAGCGTTAAGGGCGAAAAAGGGGTTCCGCCATATCGAGTTCTGCCGTCTTAAAGATATTGTAAACGTAGACGTGCCCAATGAGCTGGATGAAATAAGATGTAAGCAGAAGGTTTCGATCTATTCGTATATACTAGAAGTTGATATCCTTCTCGAAGTTACATCACTATCCCTTTATCTACGGGCAGATGCTGACGCCGACAATTTAGATGTTGCCAACGCTACCAACTTCCGTCACGCTCTACTACAACAGTTCGGCAAGCCCGGATATAATGTATCACTCAGAATATCAGAGGACGAGGACACTTGCTTAACGTATAGGGGGTATATCAAATTCCTAGAGACGGACCTTCAAAACGTGTACCCGGTTGGCGAAGGGCGGAGCAAGTCGAAGTACAAAAGGGGCGTCGAGTATATTGCCAAGCAGATGCTCACTCGAGGAGATGTAAGCTCTGTCATTTCTTTTTCTTTTCCTACCCCTAGCACGCATTCGACCACTAGCTAAGTCGAGAACAAAGCCACGAAAATAACTAACGTCACCATGTAGGCCTTTGCTCGAGCTGTGCGTGAGAGGTTCCCCGATCGGTTGAGGCTCTCGATCCATGCCTCGACGGGTGAAAGCAAACTCTCTATCAACCTGTTACCGACAGATACGACATTCACAACGCCTTGGCATTGCAGCATCGCGTTTAGACTTGACGGTACTACCATTACAGGCCCCAGGTCTGAATTCGACGCCAACGACTCCTTTGAGCTCGTCTACGAAGACAATCGGCCAAGCTACTTTCGAGAAAAGAGTGACTTGCTATCATGGGCTATTGATAAAGGCGGTATTGTCTGCGAGCCACTATATCCCGCCGGAGTCTTAATCCGACCGGCGGCAGGTCGGGGAGCCCTATCTATAAGGGATGTGGACGGCCCTAAGGTACGCGCTCTAGCACAGCGCAACTCTCCTGTCGTACTACGTGGCTTTTCACAGACCAGAAGCCGAGATCTTTTCGTAGACAAATCAGGAGATCTTGGCGAGCCGACAGGGTGGAAATTTGGTCTCGTCCTGGAAGTCAAGGATCGCGGAGCGGATACACGCGGCTTAGATAATGTTCTATCAGCTGAATGGATGCCTTTCCACTACGACGGACTATTCAAGACAGAGAAGAGAGTACGGGAGGACGGAAGTGAGGTGTTGGTATCTACGCCACCTGGGTAGGTTCTCACTCCGTACCTATGCTCTAAGTATCTCCCTTTAGCTAATTCAGTTAACTAGATTTCAGTTCTTCACTGCCGTAACAGAGTCACCCAAAGACACAGGTTTCACGCTCTTCTCATCATCAACACTACTGTTTAAATATCTCCCCACACACCTACCCCTATCTTCGCTCCGTCCTCTAACCTGGACCGTGTCGACATCCTCCTTCAACTCCACCGTCATCCACGGTCTACCTATGGTAATAGACCATCCGGTCACAGGCCGTCCTTGCCTACGCTACCACGAACCGTGGCCCCAATCCAAGACGCGATTCGAAGCAACAAATATCACCATTGAAAACGCGGCCGACTATGGTCTAAATCCCGCGGGCGTTAGCGATGCGCTCGTTGGCTTGCTGCATGATCGCCGTGTCGCGTATTACCACTCGTGGGATAAGGGCGACCTACTCGTAAATGATAACGTTCTGACGATGCATACGCGGAGTGACTTTACGGCAGGATGTGTTTGCGAATTATGGAGGATAAATTTTGACTAGGTAATTTCTTTAGGACTCGAAGCTCTCGTCTCGAGTTTCCCGTCATATGATAATACCCTTGCCTTTACCTAGCCTATGTTATGATTAATGGGGATGTTTTTGTATAAGTAACTCTTGGGCTAGTCATTATGCCGTATTTCCAATATAGCGAGGTTAATATAGCAATGCTGGCCATGGCTCTGGCAGCTTCTGACGGTTGTAAAGACCATATTGTCGGGCGCCAGCCCAGCTAGCGACCCCTTTATAACATATACTTACATATAAGGTATCTAAGACATTAATTGAAGTACTACATATGGTAAAAGAATATTTCTTAGCATGCCTAACTGTAGGGAAGCAAACCCTTTTTATTAGATATCTTACTGGAAACCCATTAAGCTGACAACTACTATATGTTTCAATCCTTGAGATGCCACTTATGTCCGTATCATCAGTCTCAATTGTGAATTTTCCGACGAATAGTCTGCAGACATGTCCTTCCTGGCCGTCCCCATTAGAATCGTCTGAAACTGTAAGAAGCATGATCGCCCAAAATCCTATCATCTTGCTTTAAGCCGCACTCTTTGTCATTTGTAATATCAGGCAATGGCCTATATGAAGAAAATGCCGCTGGTAGACGATCCCCGCCGACGAGGTTCTGTGGCTTTCCAATACCACGCCAGAGAGAAATCTTCGTGTTAGGGAAATCAGAGGCTGGCTTCAAGGCTCCGCCAAGCTCTACAAACTTCCAATGAAGATTGGCTGCCAGATAATCTCTCACCTCTTGCTGCTTCATCGATCGAAGAGGCCCATTGGGATTTCCCAGAACCAAGACCATGATAGGAACTGTAAGTGGAACTTGAGCCCGGGACAACACCTTGTTGTCCCTCTGTGACCCGCAGTTTGCACAGCCGCCTGACTCGGCCGAGCCAGGCGCTAGGCCGGCAAAAGCGTACACTTGACCAACCATGTTGTCCCCGAGCCAGAACTGGATAGCATATGAAAGACCGTCGAGAGCATAGCGATCATAAATGACATTGACGATGTAGTCATCCCAGGAATGTCCGTCTCCAACCTCGAAGAAATCCGAGTTCTTGATTTTATTGTCAAGACGGATCCCTTGAATATAATTCTTAGTACTGGGATATATCTTCTCGATATGAGTCTCGAGATCTTGTCTGTATTTATTCTCGTCCAGTGTGCCATCTGAGCTGATAGCGCCTGGGTCAGGCACTAGGTCGTCGTACTGATAGTACAGCTTTGTCCAATCGCGTGCCATTTCCGAGGTCCAATAGTCCTTTTTCGGGTCGCCGTTATCCTTTGTGTGGAATGGCTTCAGAGGATCCTTGGGCATTGGATCCTGGTCTGCCGCCATGCAAGATCCGGGAGCTGTCCACCAAGCATCCCAGTGCAGTACTTGCCACATCGAAAGTAGACGATCCACGTTGCTATCTTCTTGTTAAAAATGCAATGATATCGAGAGTTTAACTAACCAGTGGTGGAGCCAAAATAAAGGATCGAAGGCTGCAACTGGCACGTCGGACATGTGGCCGAGTCCAGTTTTGAAGTTTTGGCCCCCGGCCAAATTCTGAGGTTGTCAGTTCAATCTTCAAAACTATTTGATATATAGTTGATACTTACATGGACATTATTGTGGATATATTCAAGAGATATGTAACCAGTACTGATCTTATCTTCACTCTCCTCCCACCACTTGGTGCTCGCGAAAGTAGCCCATGTTTGGTTGTAGTCTTTGGAAAACATCCGATTCACAGCATCTGCCAAAGACCCGGGTGCGACCCATTTGTCATAATCCTCGTGATCCTTTGGATACGGATTGTAAGCTTCGGTTGAGAAACTATTGATCCATTCATTCGCAACTGTAAAATTGTTGACACCTTCAAGACCGGTAAGGGTGCCGTTTTGGGCTTTGAATATTCCATATCGGCTTACACCTGAGCATTGACCCCACTGTAGCTATTAGGAAATTGAATCCCATCATGACCTGTTTTGTTGCAAGCTTACCGGCAATGCTTTGTTATCCCTAATATTCCATTTTTCCTTGCCTGCTGGCATCTCGCCCGCTGGCATCTCGCCCATTCTCAATGGTTTGTCATCGGGCCCCTGTTCCGGATTTTCGAACCCCCATAGAGGATTTGGATAGTCTATTCCCCTATCATTCTCTACCATCTCAGGATCCAGGAAATTATAGATTCGGACGGTTTTCATGGTAAAGACTTCTGGGAGAGAAAATGAGTTATTGTAGGTCTGTCTTTGCGCCCAATCCCAGTATGGCAACCGCCATGTATCTGCGGCTTCATTCCATTCACTTGCTTGGGATTCGGTGGTATCCCAGGATTTGATAATCTCTTTCATATGGTACCATAGACGTTTCTTGTACTTGGAATTAGCATTGAAATCCTACTCATGAGCTGCTATGTACATACTTCGTAAAGCAGCATATAGGGCCGATGCCATGTTGGGAACGTGACGCAGTTGTGGGAACAATATAAAGGTTCATCATCCGAATCAACAGGAACGGTAGATGGCGGGTCCGCACCATCCCATGATGTTGCGGGATAACCATGGATACCAGCAATTTGGAAGTAGGACAACTTCTGTTCCACAGGCAAGGCTTTGAACCGTTCTAATGCCAAAATGAACAGAGTCCATTGCCTTCGCTTCTTAGGCGTATTTGCGGCGGCTAGGTCTGACAGTCTAAGGCGAACGGGCATGCCAGGTGCATAAGGGATTGTTTTGGTCTTAAATTCAACATTACGTGGAGGAGGAATGCCACTAATACCATATGTCCCGTCATTATATCCTTGGTTAGTGGTAGTCGTCATGTTGATAGTATATTGGCTCACGATTCAACAAAATGTGTTAAAGAGTTTTCTACTGCTGAAAGATACGGTATATGAGCTGTAGTTGTATATTGACTTAGTCTACCAACTGTATGAGTGAGGAGGGAGGTCCTTCTTATATAAGGTATACATTCCATGCCAAGATACCATGTACTGTACCTGAAAGTAGTCCCTTGACCACTCACTTCAACATCTACCAGATCGAACGAGTCAGGCTTTGTAGGAAATTCCGTCCAGTTTATTGGAATATATCAGGAAATATAGGCCGTGAAATCTATGAATATAGCAATGGGGACTCGTACACTTGTCCCTGATTTCAATTGACCACTCATTTTGATAGCCATCCTACGCGCTGACCTCCGTTTTGCTCCAAATCCGGAGTCCGGACTTTCTGTTGATGTAGTGCAGAATATATTTGCAATAGTAGACTTACGCTGCCGAAGTTGATACGCTCGCATAAAATTATACGTCACACTAAAGACGTAAGTAGCTCAAGTATGTAAATATTGGCGGCCAATATTGATTTCTAGTATCACGCATCTGCTAATCGTCTTTTGCACATTGATGCAATAGGTATAGGTCACATTAGAAATTGAGCTGAAGAGGCATGACAACCCAATACAAACCAACATAACCCAATGATCTTGGTATATCAGATAGGGTTTATCCCCATAAACGACACTCGATTTGGTTTAGAATGTGAATAGACAATATCAATTCGCCACTCGTTAGATAGGAGACAGGTATAGGACTTCTACTAGCACTTTTCAGTAATGTGACGTGATAAACAAAGATCGATATCCAGTATTTACTTATTCGCACTTGCCGGTAGCAGTTAGATGCGTTCACATATACACCGGCGTCCTTCGAATTCAGAGTTAACACAGTCTTATTGTTAGAAGCCCGATCCAATGAGCACATGAATGACTTAGGATCTGAGGTTCCCGAAGTTGGGTACCCCGAGACCTGTGATTTTTCTAAAGAGGAATTTATTGCCTTGACTTCCCGTTTGGCATTGTCAAATTATGAGCTTGCATGATATCATCACGCAGTCTGACGTTGACGTTGGAGTCGGTTACTTCAGCGGGTGTAATAGGGTGCCCGATTTCTTAGAAAACCTTAGATACGTTGATCACACCGTATAAAATACGAGTTCTCTTCGATAAAGTGTGTAAGGCTTTGGGATGTGATATTATATTGGACGCTTATAGCGCAGCCGCAAGCATTAGATCGCCTTATACATAACCCTAAAGACGTAGAGTAGTTTTAGCTTGACTGTCGTGTGCGTCGTTTCTACTCAATCTATAGTTTCCCTGAATTCCGGATATTTCTACTCCTTTATTTTACTGCGGGTACAGTTTTAAGCAAGGAAACATTCTTCAGCTAAAATACGAAGTCTATTTTCTCGAAAAAATGGCCCATGTCCTCTGGTGCCAATAAAGCACAAATAACAGGTCCACACAATTCAAGAAGGCTATGTCCAATTAGATGATTTGTAAAATTAGTTACATACTTTCCCACCCAATTTTGCCTATACTATTTGTACTAATAAAATAGCAGAGTTGATAGGTTGGGGGCGATTACATTTTGAAACGTAGAAGAGATGCTGTGATACATTGTGGCGGCCCTTGTATTAACCGCTACCTATTGGAGACTTATAATAAAGGTACTGATCAAATATACTTCAGGGAGGTCACGTATATGTGGTTAAGGGACGGCTGTTAAGTTCCCCTATCACTTAGAAAGAAGCTCGATTAGTGAAATTAAGTATTCACATACTCTGTTTTTTTTTTCTAGCAATATATATATGTTAAGCCTGTAAGCCAATACGTTAGGTAACTGCCTGTATGCTATTAAACCTCTCAAAACTTGCACGATGTACCACTTAGCTGCAATATGCAGGTCTATAGTTACCCCTATATGTGAAACCAACCGTCTTTCCCAGCACGTAAAATATAAATAGAACATTATGCTCTGGCGCAAATAACTCTTGGCATTTTCTCTTTCAAAGATAGGTATATCATGTATAGAAAGCAACTATATGTATAGGTAGGTACCTAGTAAGTTATATAATTCGAGTGTAAAATTAGTTCACGTCCCCAAGGCTCCGCCCCAACGAGATGAAATGCTGTGATACTATTGTGATACTATGTGCCTAAGATATCCCATACATGGCAGCACATACCTATTTACGTAATAGAATACCTGCATATCATAGTTTCCTAAAGAAATAAAAGAGAGCACATTGCTTGCAAATAATACCTGCAAATATGACACTCATATATCATCAAGGGTGGATATAACACCCGCTTGGGCATCTCTCGAGTGTTATTCATTTGTCTAGCATGCTCTTAAGAAAGCTGTTATCAGAGTCACCAGCACCTACCAAAGCATCCATTCAAAGAGAACAAGACATAGTACTCCAAATCTTTATCATCACATTCTATGTCTTCATCACGGCCACGAAGCGGTGTGGAAGCGCGTATCTACCAACCGTCGAATGAGAACGAAATGCTAGAATTGGACGAACTGATAGCTAGCGACCAAGAAGAGCAATACATCGAACGTCGCATGTCATACGGGTGGCGACCAAAGTACCTTCGCCGACGGGTTGTTATAATGTTTAACATCATTTTTATAGCACTTATTGTTATACTAGAGGTGCTCAGTGGACTATCCATTCAGAATGACGGATTCATATTCGCAGGCGTAGATGTCTTCAATATGTGTCGATTAATTATCCCAGCAGGTATGTATGATTATGATTATGATTATCCAACTTCATAGGATGCCTTCTAATAACATGAACGATAGCGCTCACCCTAATCCTCTCATTTTGGATCAGATTCGAATACCAAGCTTGCCGATTCTTGCCTTGGATGATCCTCGCTTATAAGCCCGAGGGCTTGAAATCCATTTACACCAAGCGCAACGATGCCACTCGAACAATAGCTCTTGATTACACTAGCGTATGGACACCAAACGCCATGATCACGGCAGCTAAGAATAAGCATTTCCTTGTTCTATCTGCCTTGATCGTATCAATGCTTTTAAGGATCCAAATTCTACTCTCCGCTTCTCTTTTCTACGTCCATTTGGTTAACAAACCGGAAAGCGTTGAAGTTGGTCTCCAAGACAAATTTGTAGATCAGGTAGATACTCCGCTCCCTTCCATGGGCTACACACCATATGTATTAGAACAGGGAAACTGGACTACGCCGGTAGACTATCCACGATACTCTATTCCGGGTGTGGCTCTTCAGCATTTTGACGATACGGTTTTGGCTGGAGTAGAAAACGGCACATCTTTAACGTTTACAGCCGATGGAGTTGCTGTCATGCTATCATGCGAACATCCCCCGGTATCAATAACACGTGTGGGAAATAAGACAACAAACTTCACCATATCACCTCTTCATGATATTCCTTCCAGGACATTCGAGATTAGCAATTTCTACCTCGAACAGTTACCATCAGATGGGCCCTACGTGTATTATTATTGGGAAGACACGAGCTACGATAACAGCTCATCGGATCCTTTCTTCATGTCTATTATTATCAGTAATGACAGCGATGTGGACTTCCGCACAACAGCTTTTTCATGCACTCTTAGCGTGCAGGTTCGTCTCTATGATGTGACGGTGGAAGATGCAAAGCTATCAGTAGCGCAGCACTCCGAACCCTCGTTCGTTAGATCAATTCGCGCGGGGCTTCTTGTTTATATGTGGAGGAGCTATCCGAATCCTATGGCGGAGTACGCCCTGGAAGACTGGATCCGAAATGGTAGCTGCGGAAGCCTTGTCCCTGGCAACATTATGGAGTCTTATGCTCGCATTTCATTATTCGAATCTGATCTTATTCCATTTCAAGTTGGAAGTAAACTACTGAGAAATGGTAGCTTTAATGCACCCGAGCTTATGAACCCATCTACACTGGAGGATGTCATGAGACTTTATCATTCGATCTATGGTTCACTAGTAGCTCATTACGAATTGCGAGAACCGTTCAAAAACTCCACGAGGGGATCAGTCGCTCGAGATATCAGTCGTCTAGGTGTCCAGCCGTATATAAGTCAGATAATGGTCGGTTTATTTGCCCTGGCAATAGTACTGACTTTTCCGTTACTATGGCAGGTATCTCCGAAAGATGGGTTTGTCCCTTTCAAGCCGGATAACATTGCTGGCATGGCGATTCTACTCTGCAGGTCATACGAACTGATTGCAGCTCTAAATAACTCTGGGCATCAACCGATCAAAGCACTTCAAGAACGAACTCGGGGGGTGTATTATACCACTCTCATTCATCATTCTTCTACGCCTCTTTATCCCTCATTTTGCGTCCAAAACCTATTACCAGAAGGTAGAACGCATATGGAATTACCTTCTCGAGAGCCTCGAGACATTGAGTGGTATCAACCTTGGACTTTGAACCCGGTCGCTAGGGCTATGAGCTTATTTATAACCATTGGCTTTCTGGCTGCACTGATCGCCCTGGTGCGGTATTCTCTCCGCTCTGAAGGTTTGGGCAGCGCCCCTGGAGATTCATCTTCCCACTACTTGTGGACATCTCTTCCATCTCTATTATTTATCAGCCTATCTACCTATCTGGGAAGTTGTGACTTCGAACTGAGATCTCTTGCGCCATTTGTTCTGCTTTCTTCTGGGCCGGCCATTTATAGGGAAATGTTAACGACGTCCTTCGTAGATCAAACCACTGTACGGACGCTCGTTAGGTCTTTAAAGAAGGGCCATATCGTGATTATTCTCTCCACATCCATTACACTTATTTGCAGTCTCTTATCTATCTTCACAGCAACCCTATTTACTGTTGAAATGCGCAGCATGAACACGACTATCTCCTTACAACAGGCTGAATGGCTTACGTCAAAGACGTTTTCAATCCGGAATAGCATAAAGGCAGATATGATTCTTAATGCCAACCTATCCTATCCACAATGGACTTTTGAAGATCTGGTCATCCCAAAGTACCAACTAGGAAACCTGACAACGGCAAACGATACGCAACAGGATTCAACTATAACTAGCCAACTCCGAGCTACCAGGGCAGTTCTAAACTGCAACCACTCAACGTCAACAGGCGATATTTCGTTTGATATTTATGGAAACAAGACAACCTGTAACCTGACTAAACCTCTAAAGTACCCGGTAAACACCACCGAACCTTTCGGTCTGGATCCGCTCGGTGTTCGGTGGCTATGCAATGTGGACGATTCCGCCGAGAGATGGCCCCCTTATATGTATCTATGGGGAAAAGGTCAAGCTAACCAGGAAGGATTGGCAACTTGGGGAAACGATTCTTTCGCCACAGTGCTGATGTGTGACGAATCCTTTGAAGAAGTTGAGGTTGATGCTACATTATTTGGCCCAAACCTTGAGATGCGAGAATCTCACCCACCAGTTCCTGTAAGGCTACCTGGCAATCCAATTGCCCTAATTTTTATCGAACCAGTTGTCGATTATTCGCCTGGATATGACATAGCTGATCCATACCTCAACCTTGTCGACGGCCGAGGTCAGTACAATTCTATCTTTGGCACTTTGACAACCGATCGCTATGCCATTCCGAATGAATGGTTAGGTGATACCTCCAAGAATGAGGAAGTTATAGCTGCAATTAAGAAGTTACACGGAATATTTCGAGCGCAAATGATCCGCGACACTCCAGAAGCGTGGCAATTCTTAAACGATACGTCTACCAGCGCATCCATAGTCACGCAAGACAAGTTACCCATCCCACCTGTCGACGCGCAGATCTGGCAGACCGTTCCTCGCATCATACAAGACGAGACATCTACTTACGTTCTAGTAGGTCTCCTAGCGGCTATATTCACCCTTAATGCTATGCTCGTATGGTTATCAGAAAGACACGGCTACCGGCGTGCTGTGCCCAAACCACCGGGTACTATTGTTGCCGTGGCGAGCCTGTTCGCGAACTCGAGAATTTTCAGCCTCTTGCCGCCAAACGCGCAATGGTCGACACATGAAAAGTTAGAAAAGCACTTTGAGGGGAAATTGTTTCAGATGGGCTGGTTCTCTAGCGACACGCCAGAAGAGGGGCAGGTATTTACTATTGGTGTTCTTGATGGTTGAACTTTGACTTGATATAGCATTCGCCGGATGTTATGACAATCGTATTCGTTAAGTATAGAAGGACTACCTCATACGTAAGATTTCCTAGGTACTTAAAAACATATAGCAGCCTTACGTACTGCCCGGCTAGCCTTATCCATGTAAGCTTTCGTCACGGGTCAAAGTAGCTTTAGGAAACGTAATAATGTAGTTCATTGGGTTTGAAGCTACGCTTTGGGCATTATACTAGGTTAAGAATGATGCTAGTTACAGATTACCCCACAGAACAAGTGCATGCACCTGCGCACCAAAATTACTAGTAAAGGGGTAATCTGTCTGGAAGGCCCGTCACATGGTAATCTGTAAGTAGCATCACTCTATACTAAAAGGGCCCGGTGAGAATTATATATAGATACCTACCTGCCTGCCTACCTACCTACCTACCTACCTCCTAACCCATCATCCCGAAAAGAACCCACTCCGCAAGATCACACCGATCATAATATAACTATCCGAAGCAATATAGTCATGAATATCTAGAAACATGCAACTCTTATCAAAATGTACCCAGCTCAGACACTGGCTATGTCGATCCGGTGCGAAGCTTCTCGGCAAAAAACCACCTGAGATATATCTTGAGATATCTCTTAAATCAGCATCATCATCCACGACAGTGGTGCCTCTTCGAGCAGAATCGCCAGTAATAGGACCTCGCGAAGCAACACCACCCGAGCCTCCCCAGATAACGCCTCCAGGATCCCCTACAGTAACACAATCAGGGTCTACGGAAACGGGAAAAGAAAAGAAAATTATTCGGACTTCAAGTAATTCGGATGGCGACTCCGAAAATCAATCGGCTCAAAAATTGCCCCCAAGAACATGGCCATATCAACTGGCTACACCGGAGAATTGCAAGAAGATCGCAGAATATATACGAACTGCTTCCGCCAGGGTACGCTATGCTGCCTTCCTCGGCATCCAGGAAATCGCCGAGGCCCAAGCTGGTGCAGCAACTGCCGCAGAAGTAACTCACTTCGTCGCCCACAGTATACCTTATCTTCTCGATAATTTCATAGGACTTGTCGAGGGAATAAGAACTAACGACGTAGACGAAATTGTTGAGAAAGCTTGCCGTATTCCATCCTGGCCCGATGATGTGTTCCGTACTATCAGTCATCAGCCCGCCCAGACGGTTGCTAGTTATGTCGATGGTTCCCTAAACGGTCCTCACGCAGAAGCTACGGTTACAGCTATTGAAAGAGCTGAAAGAAGACTCGTTAGCTCCATTGCGGATTCTATGGCAGACCACGTTCTTATTCCCGAGTCCACAAAGTGGACACTTAGGATGTTGATGTTCACTATTTCGGCGGCAGCTTGTGAAGCAGCTTTCATCCAGGCTTGGATTGTTTATCAAAGTGCGGGTGATATAACTCTCTCAGGTAACTATCCTCCACCACCTTATACAGGAGAGTTAAATAATGTGTGGGAAATGGAGGTACCCGAGGGGTTGGTCGGTGGACATGGTGGGCGAGCGGCGTCAAAATATTGACCTCAGACTTTGCTTATTTGACTTTGAGGCAGGAGAAACCACGGCGGGGGGGAGTTGTTCTTGATTTACAACTCCCCTCTATGAATTTTTGATGCAACGTTAGGAAGTTCTTGCTTAAACCTCGTGACATAAAAAACCTATCGCCGTATACGTGTTTTTATATCTTTCTTTAGACTCGAATTTCAGGCTTTCTAATCCCGTCAGCTCTTCTTTTCAAAACTAAAATCAACTCCATATTTTAATAAAGCGCGAACGTCCTATCAAGGCCATATGTTACCTTCGTCATTACCTTAGCAATAGCCCGTAACGTCAGGTTTTACCAACAGGCTTGAAGGTACATAAAGTCGTAAGTGCCCACGTTAGGTGCTTGTCAATCATCGTAGCCCCTATCACGAGACCAAAAGGTCAGTAAGGAAGACGATGATGTTCTAGGGAACCAGAACATCAATAGGCTGCAAGGCCTAAATATATACACATGTAAGGTGATGCCTGACTCAGGTACTGAGTTATGTAGGTGACTGGCGAAGCCAGGTAACTACGTGACTCCTGACCGTGACAGCCCCTTTGCATAGGTATATGCTTGTTAAATACCCAGGTATAAGTTACTTTAAAGCTTAAGTAACTACATAACCTATTATTTACAGTAGTACTGCAACGTACCTCAAAGACTTTCAAGGAAATCTAAGGTATGAAGATTTTAATATATAAGATAAGTTTGATATGTATACCGGGAAATTGCTTTATATATTCTTCTATAGGTAACAAATCATCACTAGAACCAATACAATAAGTTCCATTCTAGTATTACAATATTTGAATTTACTAATTAGTAGCTTAGAAGGGTAATTGGAACAGTACCTAATATTCCTAACAACACTTAAGACTTGGGTTGTCACATGCCACAGACAGATTATACTTAGGTACCTAAGGTACATAATATCTACAAATATACCTAGGAGATCACCTACCTTATGTAAAATAAGACATTATATCACAAAGATTTACCCTATGGGAGCCGAAGTCACACTTTGCGGCACCTGCTGGTGCTTCGGGGAGGACACAACTATTATCTAGATGTACCTACCTCCTATAACAAATAGAAGGCTACTAGGTAGGTAGGTAACTTAGGTAGTAACACTAGCCATTTCCCTGCGTGACCTTACGGGATGTTGCCGGGTGATAGATGTCATCGGGCTAGTGGCAAGGTAAAAGGCAGTTGCAGGATAGCCGGGGAACAGTTTCCAGGAACGAGGCCTTAGGCCAGATAGGTACCTTCTATAATATGACATACCTTCTGGCTAATGTTGTTAGTAAAATCTACCTGGGCACCGATATAATAGCAGTAGCAACGGAAGATCTTTGTAAGCAATTCGCGCCTCACAAAGATACAGAGTCCACCCCATCCTTGGAAAGAGGAAGAGCCGACAGGATTAAGAAACAATTAAGAAACAAATCTAAAATTCAAACCTAAAGATCTTGGAAATTATACTATACGGCAATAGGCACTTTACCCTATGGAGTTTCGAAAAGAACTTTCTACTACTTGTTAAATTACAACTCAGACACATGGGTCATACGTTTCCTTCAAAAACAATTGAGGGAACCTGAAATCCCAAGACTTCCCGCAACTATTTTACCACATCAAACAATACGCACACAAGAACACATACAAGCATAAATGTACAGTCGGAATTCTATATGAGACGTGCAGAACAAGGGATACTTTCAGTACCTCGCTATTTACAGCCATGGACTCCCATAGTTAGCTCAGAGTTCCTTGAGGAACAACGAAGTTGTTTCCATGCTGTTTGGTTCCACCTCGTGACAGTTACCGCATTACCGCGTTATGGGTGTTTAGGTGTAACATACGTTAGATAGTTTGCCCGCCCAGTGGATGTTAACGAATTCATCATCAGAATTTCCCTCCCACCTTTCCTTTCATGTTGTCAAGGCTCTAGGTAAATATTTATACTGAGCGTAGGTAGTTGAAATCCCAGTAGATGGTCAGATGATGTATGTGTATGGTGGTCTGTGCTCCAATTTCTCTGTCAAGGATCTACGAAGTAAGTAGCCTACCCCCCTTCCTAATTCAAATATCATGCTAAGAGCCTCTTGTAACTTTCTTTATTTATAACTTAAGCTTTCGTAAATTTAACTACCTAGGTAGGTAGTGAAGAATGAAGTTAAATTGTTTTTTTTTCTACAAAGAGCTTATCTTTTACGTACTTACGAGGATGAAGGTGCCGGCTATGTAATGGAGGTTTCTTAAAAAGAACTTATCGTGACAAATCTAAGCCGCGACAAGAGATCGACCAAACCACGAACCAATCATAAACTGTTAAAACCCGGAAATCTTGAAACGGATTTTCTGCATGGTTCTCCGCCAAGAACAAAAGCCCTAGGCCGATCATGGATCGCCAATGGATCCACGGTTGATCCGGCTTGACCCAATCCTCGCCTTTCGCTTGTCCTCGTTCATTCTCGCTCTCGATTCCATCTCTCATTGGCGGCTTCATCCCACCATCGCGCGTGTTTCGAAACAATGAGGAGGCGGGCTGGGATGGACTCGTTTCAGGTTGAGCCGACCATCGAATGGCCTCCAGTCATTCTCTGCTTCTGATGAACGACAGTTGGTAGGGCTCTTCCCCAATGAGCGTCCAGCATGGGATGATGATGCCCGGGACCACGGGCTATGGAGAGTATGACAGAGAATACGGGGGTGCTTATTTTGGGGGCAATATATCACAGAAAGGTAGCCGAATGCGCGCGGGTACTACCTACAAGTCTACCCAACGTGAATTTCTAAATTTGTTATTCCTCGAACCCATTTCTTCCTTTCCGATCTAGAATTTGATCACTTGCCCAATTCCCTTGGAATAACACCTCCTATCGTAGTCCAAGTTTAGAATATCGATATTTGAATGAGCTTTGACATTAACATTAACACTGGTATCAACATCAACATCAACATCAACATCAACATCAACAACGCCAATCAATACTGGAAAAAGAACAATGGATCATCCATCGAGGGTGCTAGCGCAGGCGCGAGAGCATCTCGAAGCTCTGAAGCAATCCGGTCTCAGCCGTGATGCCCTGCTCGCCTTACTAGAAGAACCACAACCACAACAGCAGCAGCAACAGCAGCAACAACAACAACAAGCTACTATGATAGCTGAAGGTATGTTATGCCTCCTTAGGATAACATCAATTACCCAATTATAATTATATTAACCGGTGTCAATTGTCTCAGCCATACCGAATTTCAGTTATAGAGATATCAATTCTTTCAACCAACAGCTCCCCAGACAACGATCTTCCGTCTCGTCATCTAGATCCAGCTCTTCGAGTCGCGACAGCGTATTCTCCGCTACCTCCATACGAAGCTCTATATCATCAGCATCAGCCCTAACGACTACCGACGCGAAGTTTTGGTGCACGTCCTGCGATAAGACGTTTAAGAGGAAGTTCGACTGGAAGCGACACGAGGAAGAGTTTCACGAGCGATCGCGAAAATATCCCTGCCCGAGCTGCAACCAAAGCTTCTGGGGGCCCAATACATTCAACCAACATCACAAGTCAGCACACGGCTGTAAAACCTGCCCACATGCTGACACCGTAGTCAAGCATTTACGGAAAAGAAGGGCATGGGGCTGCGGCTTTTGCGCTGCGATGTACGGCACGTTCGAGAAACACATAGACCACGTTGCCGCACATTTCGAGTCCGGAAGTACGAAAGCTGACTGGCTGCACTCCAACGTCATCTACGGCCTACTACACCAACACCTCATCCATGAAGCATGGAAGGCGTTGATCGCGAGGAAGCAGAGTAAGTTCAACGGTCACCAGCCCATGTTCAGCTGGAGCCCCGAGTCGACCGGACGAGCTCAGGGTTTCGTAGAAAACGAAAACCCTGGGCAGTTGCAAGACTTGTTGGAATTTTTCGACGGAACCAAGGAGTCCGCGGAGAGCATTGTCGAAATGGCATATACCTGCGTCCACATCGTATTCCGACCAAGGTCAGTTTCCGGCAGTCAAGGTACCCCTCAGTCTCCCTCAGGTTCAGCTTCGTCCTCTACTATACCCAAACATATATCCGTCTTACCAAGGGCTCCGTCGGTTCCGAGACGCTCAGCATCTACATCCGCACTACCTGGCGTGAGCCGACACGGCAGACGAACACCGTCCATGGATTCCAGTCGCACTGCCCCTGCTCAAGTTCCAAATTTGAACATGGCAATGCCGATGGCGCCAAACAACCAACAACACATGATTAGTACATACCAAAACTTCTCCATGCAACCAACTCAACAACAGAGATACGTACCTCCGATCAGCACCGACAAGGCATTGCCACCAGAGCCGCTAGCACCATCGCCGACTTCGCCCATGAATATCGACTTTCCACTCTTTAACACAGGAGATGGGATGCTACCGCCGCTCAACCTATCGTCAGATGACTGGCACAGTTTTACCAGCACATTGATCGAAGAAGAGGAACCGCCGCATCCCTTATCCTCCAATGACTTCCCCATGACGTGGGATGATCTCGGACAGTTCCAATCGAATCCCCAGCGATGATAAAATTTAGTTTTGAACAGGGGAGGCGTCAATGCCGAGGAATTAATAGTACAGTGTACATTGTTATTATGCCCGGGTCATGAAGCTCGGCTGGAATGCATAATGTAAATGTAATGATAGCGGACGATAAATAATTTGCATTGTATGTATCGTGTTCGATGCGAAAATACAGCGAAATATTGCAAAATTGAGTTTGATGTCTTGGAATCCAAGAACTAGGCTGATCTAAAGTTCCACATTCAAGAGTCCAACTGAATAATTAATGACGTTCTCAAGTCGTCATATAAGAAATCAATATGTAGCTAATTCTAACTCCCCGATTCGCTACCAGCACAACGACATACTGGTAATGCCTAGCCACTAGAGGGGGAGATCCCCGTCGAATATTTGTTTGATATCATTCGAGGTTCTCAACTTGTAGCATCATCAGGGTAATCGTCACGTAAAGATCATATGTATTTCTATTCCCGAAGAAAGCTTAATGTGCATGATTCAAGCTTTGCGTCCTGAAGAGGAGAGCAGCCAATCAAGAAATTTCTCCTGATTCCTAATGAGGCAACACTGGATCACCCAACTCTCTGTTGCGAGTTGAGCACAGTCTATCAAGCGTCTTTTCTTCATACCTATCCAACTTACCATTGAAATGCATCCCGACAGCGCAGAAAATAACAGAAGCGCATATATAAAGAGAGTATTTAAGATACTTCTGAGAATATTGTCGCATGTGAAAAATTAAAAGGGAAGAAGAAAAAAAAAACTCACGAGATCCACCATGGTGGAGAGGTCTAAGGTATGCCTGCCCTGAATAAACGAACTCAAGGTAAAAAGATAGATACCTGATAAGAAGAGCAGCAACAACAGAAATCAAAAATATAAAGCTAGCTCCACTCCGTTTCGATCGGAGGTCCTCCGGGTTATGAGCCCGGCGCGCTTCCGCTGCGCCATGAAGCTTTGTGCGAGTACTCGTATCTCAGTGTTGGTGGTAGCAGCGGTGTTTTTGACCTATAAACTCTTTGCCGGTTTTTACCTGTGAGTCACATCGTCACAATCACCGCTCCAAGATCCCATTGGACGGTGTTTTTTTTATGTACTTTGTTCCTTGTAGCTATATATATGAACTTTTTGAATTTTAATCGTCGGCTTTTGGGTTTATTTTATTTTTTTGGGATCATGGAATATGCGTAGTTTATCTGAGACATGACGTTCTTTAGGATATTCATACTCAGTAGGTACAACATTACGCTTCTCGAAATAGAGCTGGAAATATGCTTGGAAATGGTTATTGTATCACTTTACAGCAGAAAAGGCATACTTCGATAGCGTACTTCGTCATAAGCTAACACATGTCTGTATACTCTTGGTTATTGTTCAACATAGCTTTGACAATAGGTCGGCCCTTTATGGATCTGTTATATCACGTTTCCAATAGAACTAATAAGCAGGGTAAAGGATTAGATATTTATTCGCTCTCGATTAAGGCTCTACTTTGATATAGCTCAGTTGTTTATCCCTTAGGTTAGGTACTTTATGTATTATTCGATAGTTCCCGAATTTACCATTTGGCCTTATACTACCCCATATCGGTAACCAAATAACTACTCCTACCTGTGTCGTAACTATTAGTTAAGAAGTATACATACTATAAAGCGGTTTATCTCCGAAGGCTATTTACTTGTACCGAACTTTTACCCGATTTTATAGTAATAAGTTCCAGTAGCTAGTTAGATGAAATTATATGAGACGACTCTCCAAGACATAATACGATTATTCTTAGTCTTATAAGACTAGGTACTTCGCCAGACGAATGCTGCTATAGATCTCTTTATCTAGTAGAATACGACATATATCTATCTAGGTAGGTATCCTTTGGATAGCTCAGAAGGAACTATCGAGTCTGGCTTTGACTCAGTTCTTACCACAGCTTTACTTTCCTACTTATACCCCGAGACCCCGAATGTCGACTTTGTTTACCCAGATTTCGAATACTTCACTTACTTCTAGATGTCTTGTCTTGATATATCAACCCAAACCAATATAAATTACCCAATCTAGGCGTGTTCTTAGTAATTGCATAAACGCACACACAGCCTTAACACATTTGATCACTAACGCCCTAACCCTTTCGATATCTATTATCTAGCTAACACAGATAGTTCTTGGGCTTGATGTTTAACATAGGTTTTACATATGCTAGGGGCTGTTTTTTTCTTCTTTTCTTCCTTATGTGAGCTGTTGAAGTTGATTGAGATTGTTGCCCTAATTAGCTTAGTACGTACACAATTCATGTTCTACATAAGCATTAAGTGTCACTCTTACGGGAATTCTAGTGTTTCATACTTTGACATGGGACTTGTCTAATAATATATCTGGGTTTATTCCATGGTGATTTAAACTGGATCGAACGGAATTCTGGGGGAAGGGGGCTTGTGATGAATATGATGCGAGGGTCTTGAATAGACTTACTCAGCTGACCGGAAACGTCTGGGAGGGTTTCTTAGGGTTTCTTAGTGTAAAAGGAACGACAAAATGCCAAGAACAACCTTGTTAAGGAGTCGACGCCTGGGAGATCTCGGTTATTAACATGGGCGAGATGGCGAGTATCGGCCGCGACAGAATAGGTGGAGAATTTGGCGAAGGACGTGTCGAAGCGGCTGAGCGAACATGCATTAGGTATGTAGCCGCACAGACTCTTGATGCTAGCGGGATAGAGCTGGATAGAGCTGGAAAATAGTGGATTGGCGAATAGGAAATCTAGGATAAAGAAAGGGGCAGGTTGAGCACGGACTAGATATTGGGCCGGGGCTATCGGGTTCGGAGATCATCTTGTAGGGCAATCACATCTCGAACAAGGATTACAAGGATTATTGTTATTTGATTTTCATTAATTACTCCGACAACAAATTAAGTGGCGCAGCCATTAAAGCATTGTTGTTTGCTTGCGTAAAAGACTGATAGCTTCAAGTAGCGGATGAGCTAGTTATAAGTCGTATTTTGGATTATGACTTTCGGTTACTCTTTCCACCCTGGACTTACTGGCGAATAAATTACCGAATAGGGATTATAGTGAGATCTCAAAATGTGATAGATCATCTGGCAGTCTGGGGAGTTGATTACTGGTACGGGTGTTACCTACCTAATCCATTAAACTCCAAATTCACCCCGGAGCTCGGTTGAAACTTCGTGTATTGTACAATCCATAAAAACTCTTTTATAGCAGCTTATGAAAGTAAAATCCTGGCAGCCCTACTTTCGCTTAACCAACCAACGTAACTAACGTGCATAGTGAAACGAACTACCAAGGTTAGGTACTTAGGGGTACGCATGAATTATGTCTTGGTAATGATAATTAGATCGGGACCGGAGTGAGGCAATCTTGGATAGAATAGATGCGATTTTCAAAATCCCAGTGCTTGCAGATCACGAAAATCATGGAATTCGTGATGGAACCTTAAGAGACTAACCTAAGGCTCTAAGGGTCCGGGAGGATTATGTCCCTCTATTCTCTGGGCCGAGGTAAAATAAAATACCGAGAGCAAACGACGGCGGGAACTATGCGTTAGTCTGGCGGCAAGGTAGAATATCATAATTAGAACAGCTCACGACGATCTGTGTAATATAATGAATCACTGCTGTATGATTGGTTCCCAACAAATTGCCAATGCGCACCGAAACGCCGGGACCATCTATAAGCTTCATTTTCTATTCGGTAGCTCCGGTTTGCTTTCTCGAATACGGATAGATGATATTTATGCAACTTAGGTAACTAGAGCTGAAGAGGGAAAATATCGACAGTCGACGCAGGGAGTCTACGTACCTACGTGTAAACAAGGTCTGCAAGGTATCATTTAAGATCCAAGAATCTGGCACATGGCTTAACCCGGGGACTCCCTGGTATTTATGTGCGTGTTCGCTAAGCCGGAAATTTTCGCCTTATTCTTCTAGAAGAGTTCAATAATCGTTCGATGCAAAAGATCTGGCCTGAGGTATCTTTCCAACTACGCATGAAAGTGCCGTCACATCATGCCATTTTACCTCAAAAGAATTTGCTGCTCGCGTGATTTTCGATACTTGGGAAATGCTTGGAATAGTTAGTATTATCAAGTATTATCAGTATTCCCATTGTCGCATAGAATCGGCAATGACCGCAAATACATAACTTCGTCATGCTATTCTATGCACTAAAAACATTAGAAACATGCACTAGAAATTTTTAACATTTAGCCAGAGTATAAGCTTGACGTATGACTCCGCAAAAGCGGAACGAGATACCTATAACGCCTTATGAGCATGAGGCGGTATAAGGCGGTAAGCAAGGGTTAGGTACCTACCTGTAGGTACTTAACATACCTTTATTAAAGACTTGGAGGATGTACTTGCCCATCTACAAGTTACGAAACTTTCATAGTTTTAAGAACCCGTGTTTTGAAACCTTTGACTCGAATAATTGGACTAGTAGCCAATGCAAATCCCATTTATTAATTGTCTTTCTTTCTGTTAACAGGTACATATTAACTCACTGTGTTACTCTAGCCTACCTCTTATACCTAGAGTCTTACCTGTTTCTCTCTCACGGGTGATCTTATTGTCTTCGAGGAAAACCTCAAGACAACAACAACTAGCCGCCATGGCCCTCAATTATAAAGAATCAAAATTAGTCAAGGATACACTACCGTCCCTACGCCAACATGGTGAACACATTGCGACTGTCTTCTATAAGACAATGTTACGCGACCATCCCGAACTCCACAACTACTTCAACACGGTGAATATGCACACGGGAAAGCAGCCGCGCGCCTTGACCAAACTTATTCTGGCTTTTGCCTCCAACATTATCAACATCAGCGAGCTGACACCGAAGCTGGAACGTGTGGCCCAAAAGCACGCCTCGCTGAACATCCAGCCCGAACAATATGAGATCGTCGGCAAATATCTAATACGCGCATTCTCCGCCGTTCTTGGCCCTGCTATGACTCCCGATGTGAAGTTGGCGTGGACGAAAGCTTACTGGGTCATGGCCAAGATGCTAACGGGCCGAGAAGCTCACATTTATCGCGAGTTCGAGGACTGGCAGGGCTGGCGGAAGTTTATGATCTTTAATAAGAAGAAAGAGACTGTAGAGGGAAACATCGTCTCCTTCACTTTGAAGCCAGTTGACGGACAGCCCTTACCACTCTTCATGCCCGGCCAGTATGTTACCTTGAGAATCACTGTACCCGGCATGAAGTTTGCACAGCTCAGACAATATTCGCTGAGCGATACGCCCAGAAAAGACCACTATCGGATTACCGTAAAGCGAGACCAGGGGGCAGATTGGGATTACTCCAAGTCTGATGATATTATGCCGATGTCCTCAGCTGCTAGTAGCGCGTCGGATAGCAGTATTGGAAGCGTGCAACCATGCAGGTCTGGTGTCGTCTCCAACTCGCTTATTGACGAGTTCCATGAAGGAGACACCATCGAATTGACACATCCATCGGGATCTTTCTTCCTTAACACGAAAATGGACACCTCGATGCCGCTTGTCCTTATCTCTGCCGGAGTCTGTGTAGCCCCGCTGATCTCGATGCTGAACACTATTGTAGAAAAGCGGATCAACAGGCCAGTGTCCTGGATCCAGGCATCAAGACACGATGCCCCTTTCCAAGCACATGTCGAAAACATGGCCAAGAGACACCCCAATATCAGGACGAAATTCTTCAAGTCGAGGTTGTCGGACAGTGATGTCTTGTCGTATACGTCGAGCTTCGATAACGACTTCCTCTCCCTCACCTACGAGGACTTGTATCTAAACAATAGCTCGTCCGAGTATTACATCTGCGGACCTGAAAAATTCATGATGCAGGTGTCTGAACACTTACACAAGAATGGTGTGAAACCAGAGAGGGTGCAGTTCGAGATCTTCTCGGTAGGAAGCTTCGAGATGAGAATGGAGGACTGATTCGAGTACGGAACTAGTCGATACGACCGAGGCCGTCTCGAATAGCCGTCTACGGCGCCATCCATCACGACGTTTCGTGGTCGATCTATTCGCTCTGGGGTTTTTAAGAAGCCCTTTGGGCATTGGCCATATACCATATCCTAGCACATAGTGCGTAGTCGAGCGAAATGAATGAACCCGGGTTTTTATCTGGCTTGTTGGGCTCTGAGGAACTCCGCTGGAGTCTGGTTACTAGGCCATTGGGGGCCATGGTTAGGTAACACGGAAAAGGAGCCACCCAGGGTAAGGCAAGAGGGAATAGCCGAGCCGATCATTTCTCCTAGGGGAGTAATACTAAGGTTTCGGCCGAAGTGATTTGGAGTATGGCGTTGAGTTTGCTACGTTAAGCAACCAAAACCCCAATTAATATCCATAGCTTTGGATTATTGCATTAAATAGGGATACCATCGAAGATGTACGATAGGAAACACGAGTCATGACTTAGATTATTAGAGCTTATGTACCTTACGGTCAAATTGGAATATGAACGATTTTAACTACTTGAATCCTATTAATGCTTCTATGAGAAACGAGTTGGGGGATCACGTCAAATTGAAAAGGGTGGGTTAAAAGTTGAATCCACATCCTTTAAGACCTTCCGTCGATAGTGGCCTTCCTCTCCCGCTCATTTAGCTCATGTCGTAGTTGATGCATTCCCGCGAGATAATCATCTTCCTCTCCGGCGTATCGTGCCCATAAGTATTCGCACAATTCCACGTATCTCCTAGCTGCGTCTAGCTCGCCGACGCGCATATAGGCCCTGGCAACAGCGCCATAGTGCACAAGAAGTTGGGCCTCTAGGTTCTCCTTAGCTACTAGCGACTCCAGCTCTCCAGTGAGCTTTTCTATTGCGTCTATCGTTAGATTAAACTTCCTCGCAGCGCTATCGTTTAGCTCATGGTAGATGTCCTGTAGTCGCGTTCGGTTTTCATCCGAGGCCGCTCTTTGTTTTGGGGAAGAAGCGCATAGTGAACATGTACAGGTGAAGCCCCAGTTCTTTAAGTCTTCTTTGCGCTCTTCGTAGGATAACCCAAGAGGTACGTCTAGTGTAATAGAACGTTAGGGGTGAGATAGGTAGTAGAAAGGGGTTAGGGGATAAGGGGTTAAGGGATTCTTACAACTTTGTGTTATCTCTTCTCCGGGCTCGATGTCGCGCAGTGCGATAACTTCGACTGCTAAAGCACGGACCGAGTACCGCCAGAAAACGCTGTTTACAAGTTAGCTTTCCGGTTCGAGTGTATTTGGTGGAAATGCGTACTTAGGCCTACAGTCATGATTGATCCGCTATTCCTGTTAGTGCCGAAGTACATTAGGTCGCCATTCACGAGGTGCAACTCACGGAGGCGATTGGAAGCAGTCCTAGGTGTGGTATCTCAATACCGAGCTCAACGCCAAAGATATTCGTTCTGAGAATGTCTTCGACGGTTTCACCGCCGGTGCTACGTGCCAACGACAAGATTTCACCTTGCTGCTCCTCTGGCAGCTGACGCAAAGCTCGATCTAGAACATCCTCGCGGAGCTCGGGGCCTACTATATCGAATAGTCCCATGTGTGCAAGCATGACGGGGTAGTCCACCAACACTGGTTCCCATTTCCGGATCTGGCGTTGCGCAACTAAACCTTTCCCCTTTCCAGGTATGTCCTTAATTACGTACGCTGGACTGCTTCCTCCCGCCGCGAGGGCACTTGAAGGGTGATCCCTAAGCTTCGGGGGCACGACCGAGTCGTCTAAGGCGTCGACCATACTTGCTGCAAGTACTGGTGTGGTTATAACGCTTAGACCTCGGTCCCCGCGGAACGGCTCGAACGTGTAGAGACAGAACTGTGGCCCGGGTGCATCGCCTGGTAAAGGTTCTATGCAGTAGGGTCGACGCTTCCAAGGTTCCCAAGACCCCGTGTCTATTACGGACTCTTCATCTATCGGAAGAGGACATGTTAATGATTCCTGTCTACGGCCTATAATCGAGCCGTGGAAATCTAAGGAGCATGTCTTGGGGTCTAATGGCTTCGAAAATGCCGAGAGCGGATTAAGCCCAGCTAGACAGACCAAAACCGCTATCCAAGGGAAGCGTAAGGTCGAGAAATAGAAAGGGACCATGATAAATATTAGTGGATATATTTATTGATGCTGTGGTGAGTCTATCGTAATACATACGACCGACGCCAACAATCGACAGCGCGGTGGATAGATAGGGCGAAAATGGAACCGAGAAGGCCATATCTGAGCTAGGCTATAAAAGCCTTAAGTTCGTAATTATGAGGTCGGATATGTAAATGTGTCCAAATCATTTGGTCGCGTGTGTGTGCTAGACGTCATAGGCCTATCACGGTTCCGGTTAAATAGACCTACGCGGAGAGAACAACATAGCCGAGGCGTAAAGAGATACTGTTTTATGGTATATATTACTAACATTGATTGTTTAAAAATATGGTTGACTGTAATAATACATTTGGTACTGCAGGTGTTCAACACATAGCAATTGGTTCACGTCTTAAGTCAGGGGTTAGGGGTTAGGGGTATACTCAATTGACACCATTACGAAAATCTTATACTTTAAGTATCTGGGTATATATATATATATATATATTAAGGATAGGTCCCTAGATATTCTATTGCTTTACACCCTTAGCTTAAGTCAATATGATATACATAGTCTGTCGCTATATTCACCCTTATCCTCAAAGCTCTAACTCGATCCTCCTTCCCCATCTAGCCAACTCTCTTGCAGGCCTGGTTGCAAGATGTCGGTCTTTAACATCTACTCTTGACGCCAGGATACGCGATTGGCCGGCCGTGGTGAAAAGAATATTGAACGCTGTTTCTTTTGCCTGTTGGCGTCCAAGTAAGACGTTTAAAAATTCCTGGCACCATCGACTACCATCCCCTAACTCGAGCTCGTTCAGTCCGTCAATGACGCAATATTTCAATACGGTAGTATGACTTAGCAGCACTTCTAGGGCTTTTAAGCTCGTATCCCAGGATTGCTTTTCTCCGTTCAACATGCTGAAGGTGTCTTCCCCAGTGTTAAGGATAGCTTTATCTTGGTTAAACTGGAGCAGTTGGGAGATTAAGCTATATACCAAACCCATCAACCCTATTTGTTCAATACTCATACCTGTGCGCAACTCGTCCCGCCGTGGCCGTTGACAAAAGTGAGAGATTAATGATGCCTTTGCTTGCCACGCTGCAGCTACAACGGCTAGTGCTGACGCATGCGCACTCGTCATAGCCCCTAGCTGATAAGGGCTCGATATCCATAACATACGTGTCGTCCCATGTTCGGCCATCCAGTCGCGCAGCTTCGGTAAAGCTTCATCTTCGGCAACCCAGAATTGGCCTGTGCTGAACTTAGACGGTCCTTCGTCACCGACAATGAAACGCTCTATAGCGGGGCTGTAAGTACGGGCTTGACCGCGTGTTATTATATTTTCAACCGTGCCTGGGGCATGGAGTGTCAGTTGGCTGCTGAGCGGGTTCTGTTTCTCGGGCTCGATTTGGTGCGCTCGTCTCGAGAACTGACTTCCATTCCAACTTGCCTCCATCAAACTTATCATACGATGACCGGCTGTGGTATCTGTAACTTCATAATGCATTCGCTGCTGGTGTAACTCAGCACTCAAACGCTCAATATTACCGGAGAGAATTGCGACCATGGCATGCTGGCTAATCTGTGCCTCGCGATACAACTCTTCAATCTCTTTATCAAGTTCCTTCTCGGTACTTTCGAAACCCGCCTTCAAATTTTCATTGAAAGAGAGAAACGCTCTCGTTAATTTCGAACTTAGATACCACTGTATCGTCTTGTGATGGAATCGGAATACGATAGCATAGATATCCGCGAGCTTCTGTCTTATTGGCTGAGTTTTGAATATCAAGATGTTTTTCGAAGCTCTAGCTACAGTCTCCGAAATACGATGAATGGAGTCGGATAGTGTTTCGGCAATTTCGCTGTGATTCTTAGCTGCCTGTATCCCTTTGTTAGTCTAATATTATATAGTTACCATTGACTTAACATAGGTACCTTTACGAAACAAGAAATACTCGAGCATAGAATTGAAGTATATTCGTTTTGAGATGGAAATATTGAAAAGACGGCTTTATGATCGTCGAGGGTCTTACACAGCAGCTTAAAAGTTCGATATATCTAACGAGATCAAGCATCAGTACGAGAGAGCGCGCGAGTTGTGGAATTTGACGTCCTGCTTACGCGTCCATTTTTTTGCTTCCAGTTCTCTTCCAGATTATCAATTGTCGCCTCAAGCTCCTTTGGATCGCTTTGTACCAAATCTAAGAGTATGCTGTTTGCCTTTGACTTGGCTGGCTTATGAGAGAATCCTATACGCTGCAGCATTGAAGGTTTCTCATTCTCAATGAACTTGTTAACCATTTGAAGTAGTGCGTTCTTTGCGATCTCCGAGGCAACGAAGTCTCTTGACCTGGAGCGCCGCGTGAGTAAGCATTTGAATATGACTACGACGGGTTACGTTATTACTGGTTGTTATGGCTTTCCGAGCTTTCGTAGAGCGATTTGAGTCGTAATCTCTCATTATCCAACTCTTCTTCATCGATCTCGGCTTGCGCTGCCTTGGTTGATCGCTCTAGCTCGTTTGAACCTGCAAGCTCACCTGTGAACCGTCGAATGACGCGCTGGCCTTCGAGGGCATCCAACTCAGGATCGCGGAGTAACGATCGCGAACTCGCCATTTTAATACCAATCATTTGATTCGAATCGAAAACCTTAGGTAGGTAGGTAGTTTATACAATTGCCAAAAAGACGTCTGAGTTCTAGGATCCTTTTAAGACTTGACTCAAAAAACCGCACCTCTACCTTAGGTACACATCATGAGTTGCATAGCCTTGCGCTACTCGCTGTATACCTAATGTAGGCTGGGAGTCATTTTCAGCTTGTAAATGTACGATGCGCGGGGTCTGGAAATACCCCTGTTGAGAAGGTTCTTTGCCCAATAATAATGATATAAGTCACATAACGTAGTTACGTCGCTTCGAGAATCCTTGAGAAAACCACTTTATCGTGAGCATACTATTGGTTTGACTCACTTATAACTTGGCCCCCAACCCTACTGTAATAGGACTATAATACTTATGCTAAGCAAGACGCTAATATTCTCTTTGCATTTCAAAGGATGATGAGGCTGAGATGTGTCAGATTCGGTTTACCCCTCCGTCAAACTGAACAAACACTCTGATGCTGAACACCTAACAAGTTTACCAGAGAGTACCTAGTTAACCTTATGTCTACCGGTGCCATTCTTCTACAATGGATATAATTGCCGATTCGATCCCTCATAACTTATTTCAGAGTCATCAGGACAATGTTTCATCAGGAAGAGATGCTCCCCGTCAGCCAGATGAGCTTACAGAAGTGGGATTAGGTACCTCTTACGCAAGAATCTATGTTTCATTCCTAAGTTTACCTTCTAACTATCCTGGACTTGGTATTGTAGATGCTGGAAAGTCCAACACTTCACTTGTAGACAACACTAATCCCCGCGTTATGACCGAGAACGCGCCCGACAAGTCCAGTGAAAACCATACCCAATCTCAAGAAAATAGGGATGCTCCTCAAGATCTGGCTAAGGAGGAACCGCCGGCTAAACCAGCAACTCTTGAAAATTTCATAACGTTAGCACACGATATCCGGACAGAATTCATGCTGCCATGGGCTTTATGCAAGACCTGGAAGGTATATTATAATATGGTGTTGCGATTTACAAGCCCGGTTACTTATTTCTGTTAGGGAATTGAAGAGCTTATTAAACGATCGTATAGAAATAACGAAGACGCATTGAAGGAAATCGAAGAAGGAAGGTATCAACTCTATACTGATGGAAGAATTATCTTCCCCGACCACTGGGAACATCTAGTTAAGCCAGGATGGATAGTCGACATCCAGCTCGATTCCAAACCTTGGATCCGCGGAGGCTCGGTTTCAGACCCTTCCGAAGTTTCTGACACGGATCAGGATAAAACCGAAGAGGACGGCGATTTTGAGGGCAGATATGAGGTGAAAGCTACGTATACGATAAATTACTATCAGAAGCATCGATATGTTGATGATGAATTTCTATACAGCGTGTCTAAAGACGATCCTGTACCTCTGAAGACATCGAGAAGTAAAGGGGAGGTGCTCCCTGTCCTAGAAGAGAAAACAACTGTGCTGTTGGGAGAGCGTAGTCGCCATGACGCGTCCCGGTCCCGGTCCCGGTCCCGGCGCAAGGTCAAAGACGCACCGAAATTAGGCGACCGAGACCGCGTTCAGAAGAAACATCTTCACATACACTCTCGGCTTTTGATCAATGCCTTACGCGCCGTCATGAAATATTCATCTGAAGCACCGTCCGGAGATGAAGCGGATGACTTGGAAGAAGGGGTATTCTCATACCCTTATAAGGATCTGTTCTACCATCGCCAAGAGCTTTCGGACTATAAAACACAAATCGGCGGAATTCGAGGAAATCATACTGAGGCTTATAACGCGGAGTGCGACAAGCATATTGATTTTCTACTCCAGTACCTCGAAAGCGAGCCTACTATTCAGGTTAAGGGGCTGGAAGCTAGGTGGGCTAAGAAAGTGCCAACGACGACATTTGCGGGACTTTGGCTTTTGTTAAAGCCGGGATCTGATGTTTATGTACTTGAAAATGGGCAGCTTAATGCGTATATAGTGGACGCGGTCTTTGATGGTGTTGAACACGTCTTCCAGGGGTTGTGGGCGATCAACGTCAAGAGCTACTCTATTCGGCTATGGAATCTGGTGTACGACGGCAAAGTCATTAAAAGGAGGTCAAAATTCGTTGACGTGCCAGTTTTTGACAATGAGCGGAACATAACATCATTGCCATTATTTCCAACAAGATTTCACGACAATTTAGACGGCGGCGCGCGGCGAAAGGAGCTCATTGAACGAGGGAAGATGTTTTTCCGATGTGCTAAAGGGCCTGCTTTCTTGGAGTATACTGGTTCTGGGTTAAGACCCGGTTGGAAGAGAGTAAGTAAATGTCCCCTACATGGCCGGTGTAGGTACCTTTAACGGAGAGATGGCTAACCCGTACTTATCTTTAGTATAATCGAGCCAGAGTAGTCGTTGAACACGAGTCTCATCCATGGAATAGTTGGGATCGAGAGGATTTAGATGTAATGGACAGTTGGATACTGGATGTGGATGATTACGAGACTGATATCAAAGAACGAGCAAAAACCCCGCATTGCGAATGCCATCATTGCAGTGAAGTGGATGTTGGGAAAGAAAGATACGTATCTGGGACATTCAGCGATTATGATAACATTGATCCGAAGACTCGTGAGAGCCTCACGGATCATCAGTATCTTTTATGCATGTCTCATATGTTCGGGTTTATTCTCAAAGACCGCACATACGGTACGTGAGCCCAGCAGCGGACGGCATGTTGAATGGCTTTTTTTCTAACCCAGAACCTAGATCTTATTGATGTCAGCGGCCTTTCTCCTCCGAGAATTGCGAAAGACTCCATTGATCAATTGGTCATGAGGCCTGAGAGCAACAAGAATACCATCAAGGCGATTGCTCAGACCTACACAGACAGCAAGAGCCAAGCTGAGCTGTTCAGCGCAGATTTCATCCATGGGAAGGGTGAAGGCCAAATTTTTCTCTTGCACGGACCTCCAGGCACTGGAAAGACACTCACAGCTGGTAAGAAGTAAGTCTACATGCCGATTGAAGACATTAACCCTATTCTAGAATCTGTTGCCGAATACACAAAGAGGCCACTGCTTAGCATCACCGCAGCCGATCTGGGCCATGAACCAGTCGAACTAGAGAGAAATCTCCTCAAATTCTTTAGAGACGCCAATAGTTGGGACGCCATCGTACTTTTGGACGAAGCCGACGTGTATCTGGTAACTACCTCATATAAAAATCAGATTAGCCCGCAAGCTATTAATTCTAACTCCATCCCTAGGAACGACGTTCAAGCAACGATCTTAAGAGAAATAGTATCGTGTCGAGTAAGATCATATTCTAAATCCCCACGTCCGTGGACCGAAAAGTGGACTGACTTCCATCGTAAACAGTTTTTCTGCGCGCACTTGAATACTTTCAAGGCATTCTGTTCTTAACAACTAATCGCGTGGGCGACTTTGACGAAGCGTTCCTATCTCGCATCCACGTAGCGATCGGCTATGAGCCCCTCGATGACGCGGCGCGGGAGCAGATCTGGAGTAACCTCTTCCGTAAACTTAAGGAAGATCACAAACACGGCGGGCCGGATATCCATTACGAATATGATGCTAAAGAATATGTTCGGAAGAGCGAGGAAATTAAGAAGCTGGAATGGAACGGTCGCGAAATTCGTAATGGTGAGCTGTTGACCTTTCCGTCTCGTGTCTATCTGCTCTTAGCTAAATTCCATACCCTACAGCTTTTCAATCTGCCGTCGCGCTTGCGCTCTACGATTCTAAGAAGGCTAGAGAAAGAGGCGTGTCGATTGAGGATTCTATCCCGGAAGTCAAGGAGGCGCATTTGAAAGAAATTGCGCACATGTCCACGGCGTTTAAGAATTACATCACGTCTACTCATCAAGGCGTCAAGGATTCAGACATGGCATACAGACTCGGGATCCGAGATGACAACTTCGGTAAGTCTCAGAAGACAGTATGAATGGGTATCAAGAGATGCGATATACGCCACGGTGTCGAAGTTACATAGTAGCTAGCTACTTAATATTAAATACATTAGGTAGGTAGGTAGTCGGCCATTTGGAGGATATGCAGCGCATTTTGAAGTAGGGGTAAAAAATCATGGTGCTCATCTAAGAGGTACTTATTAACAGGGCCTAGCTTTCGTAGATCTTAGACCCTAGGATGCGACAACTTAGATGTTCGTTTCGTGGCGTTTAGGAGGGGTTGTTCCCGCAAGAGCCGTCTTTGCCCCGTCCATCTTCTTTGACACGGCACCTAATACAGCCTTAACCATGTCGTCGGATCCGAAGCTGGCGGGCCAGCCACGCCACGCTACGGTGTCGACGATGTCGCGCGTGCGTGCTTCCTTCCACATCTCGTCGTCTGCGTGTTCAAATTTCTTACGCGCCTCCTCGTTATCGCCTAGCTGGAACAGCATGACGCCTAACTGATGTGCGGGTGCGTTCATACTATCCAGCTCTTTGGCTATCTCGAGTAGGGGTTTGGCAAAGTCGTCGTCTGATATGCCAGCCGTAATCACGATGACATTAAGAGGGGCTCGCTGGGGATCCAGCTTCAGCTGCTCAATGTACCAAGATAGAATCCTCTTCAAACGAGCACCCAGCTTGCATCCGCCGCCGGGCTTAACACCCTGGAATATATTTTGCGTGCTATCCCGCTTGCCGGTGTCGCTGTGGACTTTACCAATATGGTTATATCCCGACTTGCGCACATGCATGCCGGGGAAGTAAAGCATGGGCCTGTGGTTGATAAAGTAGAGGTCGACACCGTTTTCATCATACTTGAGACAGACCGGAGCGACGGCCTGAATAAGCGCGGACACGTCGCTCCATTGGCGCTTCATGTTTGAAGAGTCGTCGATAAGAAACAGGGTCTCAAAATATTGTAGAAAAGAGAGCAGTTCGGTATGCTCAGTACCAGGCGCCTGAGGGACGCCGGCGGTATCGTCGTCGTTCGTGTAAGTAGCCATGTTGACGATTTGGTAATTGGTGTTTAGTCCGACGATAATAGAAAGCGTTTAGAATACCTAGGAGAATGGGCGTTAGGAACTAGGAACTAGGAACTAGGAATTAGGAATTAAGAATTAGGAATTTATTTCATTCCACTTTGTTCGTATTGTTTACCTTATGAGCTGTGCGTTAGGCGCTGTTATCGTTGGCAAGTCACAGCCCTGAAATACACGTAATGAGGGTCCAGGCCTTGTCAATCCCCCGCATAGGTGGTTAGTGATATTAATTGTGGATCATCCAGCTGTGCTGCGCTGCTTTTGATCAACATTTTGTGTTACTTCTGTATAAAACGATACCGCTTTTTGGTGTTTATTCAGTGACGCGTTGGTATTCACTTAATGATTTCATAAATTTCACAACGTGCAACTTTCGCTGTAAATGAATCTGTTATCTATTTCAATATTTCAATGGACCTGTACATAATCAATCACCTTTCAACTTTCATCAATGTTATTGTACAATCTACCACCTAAAATATCCATCTCAAAGAGCTATTGAAAATACTACCTTTGTCAATTATGTCTACAATGCGACTACAATCAAAGAGTCCACCTCAGCTACTGAATACCATCATTGACAATTATTTTAGTTTAGGTCTGGATTACAATCACCTAACTATGGACAATCAAACCTCCAGAACAATCCCTTCTAAGTACGAAAATAGCTTCTCAAAGCCCTTGTTCGTACGAACTCCAAGATCGATTAATAGAATTTAGTATCCAAACTAGTATAAAGTCCACCCATGGAAACCGTGATAGAGATGAGACCTAGAAAGCAGACCAGAACACCTCAGCTTACAATCTAACTATCTAATTCAGCCGGACTCGATATTAGTCAAGTGAATACTCATATTAGAATCTACCTCAGCTACTATATTATCAATTCGCCAATATGCCTGCAGCATCAATGACCTCCGCCGCCAGGCTTATCTCAAACCCTAACTTCAAGAGTGGCTGGGGAGCAGTGCTCACTCCACAGACTAATGAGGTAATTCGCAGTGTAAAGAAGGAAGCCGACGGAATGTATCGACTACAAACCGCAAGAGACCGACCTGTTTCTCCAACTTCCATATACACGGCATTGTTCTGGGAGGCACGCAATTTTAGAAAGCCAACTATTGTCTATACGCCCGCCGTTGATGACGAACTCCAACTTTTCTCAGAGGAAGGTAAGGGCTTTGATAAGGCTCGGAAGGAAATTCGCAAAAAGACATCTGACAACGTCGACGGTTCTAACTTTCACTTTCATCCGATATTTAATTATATGCGTGATTGCAGATTCACGCTATGGCCTATTCACCTACCCGTCCAAGACGTCTGGGTGACTGTCATCATGCAGATTGGAGACATCTCCACGAATGTCCAGGAATTATATACTCGTTTCGACCGAGAAGTGGTTACATGTGCTATTGTCGACCCTTTCCCAAATGAACGCGACGATCGACAATACTTTGTTAAGGAAAGGTTGGCAGAAATCCTAGAAGAGGGCCGCATCTACTTACCTGACAGCGCCATGATCGAAAGTTTTACAACAGAAGACGTGCGCGAGGCATGGGAAACAGGACATGTGGCTTACGCTGTATGCCGAGAATTCATTCGCCGACTGAGGGTTCTCAATTACCAACAGGATTGCGGCCGTGTTGTGAACACTGACCTACTCTGGACTGAATTTGAGGAGCACCATGACATAGATTCCTACCGAGAATCAATGATGGCTGCCTGTGCGCATCGTACCATTCGAAACTCTGGATATCATGTACGAATGGCACTCGAGGTTCCTAGTGAAAAGTCGAACTATAATCCCGACGATTTGAATCCTTTCTTCGAAGACCTACCGGATGAGTGGTTTACAACATCCAAGAAAAAGTCAACCAGCAAGTCACAGGCCAAAACTTCCAAGAAAGATGAGAGTATCACGGTACGGGCCTCGACTCCTGCGTCGGAGCATGAGTCAGACATGTCGCAACTGCATGACTCGGAATCGGATGGGCATGGCTCGGAAGACGCAGAGGTAGAGGCAGATGCAGACATAGAGGCAAACGCAGAGGCGAACGCAGAGATAGACGCAGAGGTAGACGTAGAGGCAGAGGCAGAGGCAGGTCCAGTAGTCGAAAACGATGTATATACCCCTACGAACCCTGCATTCGATGGTCACGACACGCCTGCGGAGAGTCCAGTCCTCGAAAGCATCGAGGTCGAAGAACCTGAAGAACCTGAAGAACCTCATGCCCATGAAGTAGTCGTAACCGACATTGATCAAGGTCTTGAAGAACAGGGAAACACTTCCCTAGGTCTCGTCACCCCAGAGCCCTCAAGAGAAGCGACTCCAACTCCGGTTACTGCAATGCAACCTACTGTTGAAGATGAAGAAGAGCCTAGCCGTTTACCCACCTTAAAGCGTAAACTGGATGATGATGATGATGACGCAGAGCAGCCACCCACAAAGAGGACGAAGATCGAGGATTTTGAATAGATGGATATAGGGACGAGTTTTTGTTTTTGGTGCTCTATCTCGGAGTAATGTTTCAATGCTAAGTTAGACTACCTGTTAGATATCCGGCATTTAGGTACCTGTTATATTGTTTGTATGCCGAGTTTATGGTCATGTTTACGCAGAATCTGGATATTTAGAGAATATCCAATGTAATTATAAAGCAAACTTCAACTCAATTCTTTTTATATAAATTTTCCAATGTGATCGAAAGCATAGCTTAATGTGGCCTTTTTACGTGATGGATTGAAATAAGTGCCTACATTGTTCGGAAGACTTTCTAGGAAGAGCGAACAAAGTGAATTGGGTTAGGTAAAGCATTCGCTTGAGTATACGAGCCATAGGTAATTCATTGTTCTTCAGTATCTCATAGTGATGTATTGTCAACTATACTGCATAGTGGAAGATTGAATTTGTGAGACTTTGGAAACCCATACTTCATCACTGGCATGTTGCAACAGGGCCACCAGGTGCAGTGTAATTCGTCGGGTCGAAGCCGTAATACACGTTTGGGATGTAAATATTACTGTCCTCAGCATTATAGGCTCCGGGTAGGGAAATTGTAGGCGAGCATTCCCCTCCGCACCCTGTAATCTTCAACTGCATGCAGCCGATGTAGAACTGAGCACCACCAATCGTCTGTGCGGCGTGAAGAGCCAGCATTTCTGAGCGAAGCTATGTAGAAGGATATTAGCAATTTGAGAGTTGAATAAACCGGTCATATAGAGGAACATACGAGATAATCACCGCCCTTCAAACTCGTGGGTAGCTTGAACGTGTAGTTCCCGCCATTGCTTTCCATCACCTCATTCGCCCATTGTCCGTCGACGTAGTCGCGCTCATCAATCTTAAACCAGCCTGCTCCAACCCCAGATGCTTCAGCGGCATCATCTACCGGTCCATACAAGAAGTGAGTGATGGGACCGGGATGACTTGAAGTATCCCAGCCAACGGTGATAGTGTCTCCTGCCTGAGCTGGGACGGTCGTTACCCCTGAGGGAACCTTGTCGCCTCCGACATTACATACAATATCGTTGCTTGTTACATTAGTCTATTATAAGGCAAGTTAAATACGTTAGAATTTCTTATACTGAGTTAGAAGTGAGTTATGACTTACGACTGGGCTGTTACTAGGAGCGCGGCGAATTCCAATCTCGTAGCCAGGAGAAACCCCATTGACCCAAAATTGATGGAGGTTTTGATGAGCGGAAACGGCCGCAACCAGCGATACAATGAGAGTTGACTTATACATGACTAGAGAACGAATATACCAGGTACGATCAAGGTAAACTGCGAATGAATACAGGCGAGACGAATGATTTTTTTTCTTTGAGGCATGATATACTTACCGCTGTCTTATATATAAAAACGGATACTTGAGAGAATTCATAAGCGCTGGTCTGTTTCACGCTAGAGCGTATAAGAACAGACGTACGTTCGTCTTTTCAGGCTCAATATGCACTACGGTGGACTATAGTCCACCGTATGCACGGCGGGAAGCGACGCTGCACTGGGACCATGACCCCCGTCTGAAGTTGCATCATAACTGCACTTTGGTATAGCTCTCGCACCAGTTGGCCGGGATTGGTGGAACATTGGGATGTTTATACTTATTTCGACTTCTTCGGAATTCGTATGCCCGTGACCCGAGTGTATAATAGACAGTAAACAAAGCCACGTAGTTCATACATATCTTAAGCACACAAAGGTGGACTGGTCGTAATTGAAACATTCGGGATTGCTAAAGATAATAACTTAAGACTATAGTAATCCTAGAAAGGTTATTCTGTCTAATTGATTCTAACTATATTTGCTGTTGATTTCTTATAGTGTTACTGCATCCGTAAATCTAGCTCGGTTTGAAACAAGACTCTCTTTTATCAACGTTAACATATTTTTTAAGGAACTACCTAATCCGCGTTTTCACCGCCGGAAAGTTTAGCTATCGAACAGTTTACCTCGGAAATGTAGAATAAGCCCGTCGTTTCACTTAGGAATTACGTTTTATTAAGTGCTATCGGGCAACCAAAGAATAATTACTGACTATTTTCATTAGTAATGAGAAAATGAACGCTGTGACCGTACTGGGTTATATTCGGTAGACTAACCCGAGGGAAGGTCAAATCATGCTAGATAAGATGTTCGTCATGCTGGTTAGAGTCCGCTATCCCCACCATGTAAGGTTAATTCTATGGAAAGTAATGCGGGCCGCAACCTTGGCACCTTTGAGCCGAGACGATGGCTAGTCAAGGAGACGACAGGTCGAGAAGTGTTTAACGCCCATACCTTGCCATCCCTTTCATTTAACGGGAGCTGTAGGAGCTATTCCGGTAAGTTCTTCAAGCCCGTCCTTACATTCCATCTATTAGCGCTGACCATGATGGCTTCCTGGATCAGGACGCAAACTCGTATCCATGGAGTTTCGCATCGTTGTCACGCTGCTCATCTTGAACTTAGAGTTTCTAGAATTGCCAGAGGATTTCAAGACCATGAACGTTTCTGAGAAGATCTTCCGGCAACCTGATAAGCCATACGCGAGATTGCGAAGCCTATGATCAACTGATGTTGTATTAGAAAAGTCTGTACCTATGCTAGTCTGAATGAGTAATCTGCTACAATTTCCTTGACGTGAATAATGTCGGGTCACGCTGGGATCCAACCTATGGATGGCTGTTATGCATCCCTTATTGAAGCTTGTTGTCAGGGTATAGCGGGAGCTAGTATGGATTAGGCATAGATCGGCGCTCACTTGATATATAAGAGGCGCAAAGCGCCCCTCGTAGAGGATAGAAGGTTAGGCGTTAATAGATTCATACCACTATACGGCTACTATACAGCAGCGAAGCTGCTGCTTCTAACATTCACTCTACGTGTGACATTCATCAAGGGTTCTCTCTGACACTTGCTAATTACTCGTTTGCAATGCCCTTACCTCCTAATCACCTTCGAGAAAGTATTACTAATAAGCATAGAGAGAAACGAAAAGAGGATTTATCATTATTAATAGAAAACGTCGCTTAAAAAAGTTGTATGATCTATTGACCCCTGAATCCTTGACTGGGCGATATTGACACTAAGTCTCCCTTTACGTACTCACGAAGTAACTCTAGCGACGTGCACCCATTAAGTAAATATTCCATTGCACTCAATTCGGTCTAAAGTAACCATTTAGCTAATGTTTTATGAGATTGCTCCAAAAAAGATTGTGATTTGCTAAATTCCAACAACGACATGAACATGTTGTGCCCTTCACGGGGGACATATGCTTACTTCAAGCAAGTCCTTATTTACCACCCCATACACTCTTGAGGAAATCCTCGAGTTGAGTAAACTTATAGTCCGGCAACAACTTGTTCCATTCATCTGTAACATCGTAAGCACCGCGGCTGATGGCAGTCAAGATTCTCGCGGGCACTGCTTGAAAGAATGCGCCAATCTGCTCAGGCGTGGCGGTTCGAAGATCCGGAACAAGAATGTCACCGGTGTTTCTTATTTCGGCTTCAAGATCTTCCTTTTTGAGCCAATCTACCTTCAACGGCCTCCCTACAGGAAATGTTAGTTCTTGTTTCATTGAAGTAGTTCTACTACTGTTTAGCATTCATGGAAACATACCAATAGTCTCAGCGAGTCGTAGTAACTCGCCGATAGTAGCCTTGGTTCCACTGATACCGCCGATGGTTGGCCATTCACCCTCATACTCTACGGCTCGAGCAACTACGCCTGCGATATCTTGGACCGTGGTCCATACTATGACATCGTCGAGTGATCCTTCGATCGCTACGGCGTGCTGACTCTCAAAGTCGAATAGGAATGGAAGCGTATGAACGTGGTTGGCTGTTTTATGCGGATGGCCGAGGTAGTTCGTAAACGTGCCAACTTGGAATCGGGTGTATTCAATGACCTTAGAGGGTACGTTAGCAGTTATTACCTCCTAGACAGTAATGTAAGGGTGGTAATACCTTCTTTTTCTCGTTGAGCTTCTCCAAATAACGGCTGATCTCGATCTTGCCGGCATACCACGAAATAGCATCGAGTGAAGACTCTAATTTAATACCCCTATTTTTTATCTTTAGCAAACGTCTTGCCAAGAATATCATACCGCGTCTAAACCTGTGGGGGGCCATGCTTTTTAAGAAGGGGTTATAGAAGTCAGTATACTTACGTTGCCCATTCCGACGGAGCGTACCGCCTAACACCAGCCTCAATAGAAGCGTCGATGAGTAGTTTCTGAGTAGCATTATCTTTGTCAAGGTGAACAGCTAAGAAGCAGATGACAGCTTCGACGCCCTTAAACAAGCGAACTAATTCCGACTTGTCGTCGTAAGCTGTCTTCACCCACTCGACGCCGGGAAGGGCAGGAAATTGGGCAGGATCCTAGGTTATCGTATTAGAGGACTTCGATTTTTAAGAGAAAAGGGGGGAAGGGTATTTGAAATATCACCTTTCGGACCAGCGCAATTATATCATGCTTTTTACTAGCCACCAGCGCATCGATGACTTCTCTTGCCAGCGCTAAAGTATCCAGTCAGCTCAGAAGCGGACTCAACTAAAGAATGCGTTGTAACGTCTCAACGCGGCCGCTTACCGCTGGAAGCCGATGCAATTACAACTTTGACCATTTTGACTTATAAGTTATGAGGTTTTTTAGATACTGATTCGATCAACTTGTTGATACGTGCTGCTGTCTGTTTATAATTCTTGAACGTCTTGTCGAGTGGCATACTTACCTTATGTCTAAGAACTGGCATCTTATATACAATGTCTCTAGGTATGGCATTCGGCCTTCGGCGGCGACGTGATAATAATACAGCTCCATATTTATCTCAATATGGCCCGTTCACGTAACTCTCGGGATCCTCAAAAGTGTGAATGTCCCACCCCTTGAGCCGTCAGCCGTTAGCGGTTACGTGATCGGATGGAATCGCGCCCCGCCAAGTCGTCAACGTAATCCCTTTTCAACTGAACTAATAACTCTGACCTGACAAATCCGCCAAACGGTTCGGAAGTCTTGAACTTTACCATCACATAATCGTCGGAACAACAAGTTACAACAAGTTACCTACAATCTTGTGTAAATCGATTAAGATGCTGGCAGCTTCTGATCACCAAGGGGAGACGGCAATAGATGCCGAAGATTCCCTTCGCGTAAGCACATCTTCATATCCCTGGTCATCTGCACTACCCCTAACCTGACCATAGCGTCGACGTGAACGGGGCCGGCGGTCTCAAGCTAACTTTCGAAAACGTCAAGCTGAGGCTAATCAGCACATACGAAATCAAAATCGCAGGCTCAAGAACGCGATTGAGAAATTAGTTAATATCACACGTGGTGATGAGCACCTGGAGTTACTCAATACAATATTCGACGTGGCAGAGGCTGCGGGTGTTGATGCTAAAAAGCCTACGCGGGGTATCGCCGTCCAACCTGTTCCCAAAGATGTCACCAGAAATAAACAATTACTTATGTCTGCCGTTGACGGCGAGGAAGACATAATTGTTAGAGGTACATCAAGGGATATTGTCCAAAAAGCAAGTCATGAAGAAAATCCTGGCTCTAGCTTTACCTCATCACCAGCATCGTTACCTTCGCCGCAAAGACTTACATGCGGTATATGGCTAGACCATCAACACTATATGCGGGTTAGTATACCACCTGACGATATCATCCCATATCTTGGCCCTGGGTCCAAGACTTTCGCCGGAATCCTCTTCTGGTCCATAATGGACCACGCCCAGAAGAAATGTACACGTAGTCACACAGAGACCACTGCTCTCATTCAAAGGGCACTCGACCATTCAACAGCGACAGAGAACTGGACCATTACATACATCTACGCGATGGTCGAAGCGAGGCAGGAGTACAGGCGCACAGGTTCAATTAGCGCTCAATATGCACCGGCTGCAGAACGAGACCTACCAAATCTGATGCGTAATCGAATCGATGCAGATTATCATGCACGAGGAATAGATCCGAATCAATGGTTGTCCGCAATGGGGATTGAAGGGCGCGTAAAGAGCATGATCGGAAATGACTCATTCGCGATTTTAGAAAATGCTGCGAAAGGAGAAGGCGATATTTCCTTACGGGATTCGCTTGAGGCCATGAAATGCAAGCTCGCCGAAAACTGCGTTTGCTTTGGGGACGGGCCTAGGTGGAATGTTGACATTGTTGATGCGCTGTTTCTGGACTGGGTTTATAAGGCTTCTAGGCTATCTTGTGATTGACTTTAAGGGGGAATTAGTCAATGATTTTCCCACCCATCATAGTTTTCAATTAAAGGTAGTTGTCGTATTTTATATAGAGACATAAGAAGAAGGCAGGTCTCAAAGACACGACGGGTAGTTATAAGAGATCAACGTTGCACATCTATACGGACCCAATATCAGCCCAAGGAGTTAATTTCTAAGACTCAAGTACGGAGTCATGCCTATAACTAACACCTAGTAAGATAAAGACTCATTACCATTTTGCCTTGCGATATTAGGTACCTCCTAAGTTGAGCTTTGGTATAGTCAGAGTCTCACCTGGGGATATAGTCTTGCCCACAGCGCTGTAGAGACTGACCCCGCTATAATCTTAGGTACCTTATACCTAAGGCGGGAACAATTCAAGACAATGCAGTCTCATAAAATCAAAAGACAACATTTGGAAATGCAAAGCAGTTTCTTTTTCATTTCATAATAAAAAATCTTTTTACGAAGCTATTTGATGCCTTATACTACTTGATGCCTTATACGGTGCACTCTACCTAGCATAATTTAACGGTGAAGAGCAAAAAAATCAATTGCACCGCCACGGTTAATACCTCGCGGCGAGATGAAAAGGGTAAAAATAGGGGCGTCGATCCTCCACTATCATCCTACATCCACTATCGTGACCGTAATGAGTCAAAGGCCGAGGTATACCGTAATGCTGCCTGAGGATGATTATCACTGCCTGGATTTTCTTTATTGTCGATTCCTTAGGCTACAGATTAAGTATATCCAGACCATTCTACTCCACCTCTTCCAGACAGCTGTGATAATTATTTAAATCGTCCATGTTCTCTCATCTTCCCAATGCTATCGGGGGTTCTTTCCTGTGTGTCCCTGTGTCCCTGCGTCTCTAATCACCAAAGTCTATGATAGCTCCCGTCAGAATACTAAACGACTATCCAGTTACGTCGATATATTCAGGGGACTGTCAAGGTTCTCACCATTTGCTATCCCGGGATAAATATCGTCGACAACTTATCCATTTCATATCATACCCTTACCAAACCGTCACCATTGGATCATCATCATGTCTCATCAACATAAAACCGAATCCCAGTCGGGTATTGGTGATATGTTTCGACGAAACCGACTTCTATTAGACATTAAGGAACTCATGGAAAAGCCTTACCCCAATATCGCTTTGCACATCATCGAGGACGACCTTGAGAAGGCATGTTTGGTCCTTACGCCTCCTGAATATAAGCCCTTGCACCTCACCATACGATTTACGCCTCAGTACCCTCTATATCCACCATTGGTCAGGATGGACTCGGATGTTTATCATCCTAATGTCTATAATGGTTTCATATGTGCCACCATTCTACGTCACGGCGCCGAGTACACACCTGCATATACGCTCAAGGGCATAGCTATCCAATTACTTAGCTTTTTCTCAAGCAACGCCGTCGAGCAAGAACACGGAGGTGCGAAAAAGCAACTATCCGGGTTCAGAGCTGTGGATAGTAACTTAATTGACTCGTTCACGTGCTATTATTGCCAATTTGGCCAAGGCCAACCGCAACCACCCCGGCCGGCAAAGTACAACAGATCTCAGGCTTATGATGCCCGCGTGGATAGTAATCCAAGCCACTGGCCTACGCTCCAGGATGCCGGAAACCCACTTCAAACCCAAATCCAAAGTTCCCACGTTGATATACAAGCACCTCCACCAAAGAAGCTGGTGACGTGCGAAATCAACCGCCTACCCAGCGAAGTAATCCTACTTATTCTGGAGCATCTAGACTTTGAGCACTTGACAAGCTTTGCTGCGGCCTGGCCCAGGGTCAGCGACATTATCAAGAACTTTGATGTTGTCAGACAGCGTGAGCTTCAATGCTTTTGCCTCAAGGAGAATTACCAGTCTGTGAGTCTCGGCGTGGGCGTATCAATCGATCGTGGCCAAATAGCTTCGGAATTTGACCTCATTTCGCGGGAAGCCTATAGGTCTTGGAATATTCGTGAGTCCGTCAACAATATCCATTTCGACCACTGGCTTGCTTTGCCTATCTCACCTGGGCATTGGAAGCGGGTTAAGGGGTATGTCAAAATCTCTCTGGATACGATGGTACAGAAAATCAAGAATAAGGGGTCATTTTCCGAAGCTCAAGTACTATTTACGTTTATGAATGATGTCGTTGTTCGACTCAATCAAGTAACAGAAGCCCCTACTTATCACCATTCTCCCAAGACCAACCTTCGTCACGCGTCAGAGAAGGCTATCGATTCCTATTTCCACCTATTCCACTTATTAGTATGCCTTGCCACAGAGGATAGCACGCTGGTTAAGCACGCAAATTCTCTACTGCAAAACTTCATGAGTGGAAAGCGATCCAAAGTAGAGTGTCCTAATTTGGGACATCTCCTCATAGCCTTATTAATATCTGACGTCGAGGTTACCGAAGAGCTTAAAAAAGCAATAATAACCGAAGCGATTACAAGAAACGTGGTCTGGCTCTTCGACAAGAAAGGAGCCGACATGCCCGAACTTTCATACCTAGAGAGGGATCCAATATCAGCTTATCGCCTAGATCAGACTTTCCGAGGCTCTCGAACCTCTTATCGGCTCCTAATGTTCTCGGAGCTGTTCAGGCGCACCGCACGGCCTTCCCACGAGAAACCCTTGAGCCAAGTTCGCGACGAGCTATTCGACCGTCACGGTGCTCCCCCCCATAATGCAGCCAAAGAACTAGCAGAAACAGTTCGACGCCTACACACCATTAACGATTTCCCAGCTTTTCTCAGAGAAATGGGCATCCATAAAGTGCCGGATGCCGGGACTTTCACCGACCTACTACGGAAGACTGTTAGGTCCAGCATGGAAAGGGGTTACTCTACATTGGGGATACCAAATAAGTATGCACTTTTGTTGCGGGTCAAGAAGGATTCGCATGTGTCTGTGACTGATGAAGAGGTTGAGTGGCTGAAGGTAAATGGGAATATAGATGGTACCATAATGTTGCGGAGCTTCTTCCCAAACAACAACAATTCGCGAAACCATCGAAACCGAACAAGCAGATGAGCTATACAAACTGGCTAGCATTCTCGGTGTGGTGGCTGCAGAAGTATTCTATGGGCTTTAGTACGGTACCTTGATAGGTATATTTCACCGTTGGTGTGGCAAGCGATGGTACTCAATACAGTTTTGTATTTTAGTAGCTGTACCTACACTCCAAAGTTGCATGCCAACGCAACCCCCTTAGCTTACACATAGGGGATGAAATGAATAAATGAATGAATTAAACATACGTGATCCTTGATGCAGCAACGGAATATAAAGGTGCTTATTTATCCCGTACCATAGTTGATTCTTGCACTGACATATTTCTTCACTGAAATTTGGTGGTTGCTGGCGGGCTTTTTCCTGTAACACCGACAATATAGCATCTGCGATAGCACGTAATTGTTACTATGCGATCAACTGGGAAACGTTATATATTCAATGATGGTGGATTCTTGTGTTGTTGAGTAGATGGTCTACCCCTGAAGAGTCTAGGAGATAGATAAAATGAAATCTTTCACTCTCATCCTAGTTAAGTAGCCTCAAATATGCAGGCGCTGTGGGTTAGAGAAGAATCCTGCACCAATCCTCCAGATGCGTTGTTCTTCGAAAGATATTCAGCTCGACCGTCAGGCCCGCACGATCAAGCGGTGAATAACCCAAATGAGGCTTGATGATGCGATCCGATCAGGTGGAGCAGCAGAATACAGCTCTATGTGACTGTCCTAGGGTATAAGACATGGCCAGGGGGTGCATAGTATGGTAAGCATTATTATTAGTCGAGTCGCAAGATCATACTAATTCAGAGTGGCATATAATCTAAGCCATCAAGAGTGGCTAATATATAAAAGATGAATTTCCTACGTTAGATTTTATATTGTACTTGACCATCAAACACCAGCAACTCGCTTCAACACCTCATTCCTGATTGTTCAAATCAAATTGCTTAACCACCACCATTTTTTAGCTCGTTAATAACCTCGTAATTTATCTGATTATGTCTATTCTCTCCAAAGCCATCTTAAGCTCGCTCATGCTTTCAAGCGCTCTTGCGACTGACTCAACCCAGACCGTATGTATCATGCTAGAGTAAAAATAATGCGCCCGAACTACCTCTATTCTAATACCTAACAGGGGTATTGTCCTGGCGTACGGGTCGTCGACTCTGGCATCAGTGGCTGCTGTGTTGGCGGTCACATTGACACCCCTTACCTGTCCGTCTGTGATGGCTGGCCGATCTGCCAGGGACCGACTACGACGACGCAGACGACAACACCTCTTAGCTGCGCTACCTTTGTGAACGATGGCCCCAGTTACACGGAGGTGATCGCAAGTATTAGTGGAAATCTGCAGGCCATCACCACAAGCTTCGGCACAACACTTGATAGTCAGGCAGTACCAACTACCACGGGCACTGGAGAGGCAACGTCGAAGACTTCAGAGGGCGCTGCAGCGTCGGAGACTTCAGAGGGCGCTGCAGCGGATTCAGTCCCTCGAATGGCATTAGCAGGCGGCGGTATTTTAGCTGCAGCAGCGGCGGCTTTCATCTAAGTTAACGGCTAGATAGGAGGTGCCTATGTACGTCTTGGTTCCCGTATTTACTACTAAATACATAAGACGTGAGAAAGGATGGGTTACTTGGGGTAGTAAGAGAGTTTATTCCGTACTTATACGATTATCACATAGCCTAAACATGGCTACTCGACTAGGAGTGCCAAAGATACCGAAAAGAGTATTCGACAAGGGGCCTGATTGGATCGATGCGATAATTGGCTTTTCGAAATTCTAGAAACCACATAGGTTCGTATGGCTTAAATACCTGCGTGGTTAGTTTAATTACAAAGTTTAACTTGTTTTCTTTTCTTGTTATTACGCTCGGCGTAAGGTCTTGGGGCCTCCAGTGCGCCGTAACAGAGATATAGAAGTCTACCTCTGCCTAGAATTTAAAAGGTACCTCTAAATTTGGGTAGGACGATAATGGGATAGCGGGGGGTGATAAGCCACTGATGGTCCGCTACAAGGCAGGTTGCATATTGCATAGAGCCCATTGCATAAAGCCCTATATTACGTTAAAATACCTATTGAAAGTTAGCACAGACAGTACATGTACCATTAAATCTTGACTCGAAGTTGAAAAGCTGAATCATTCCTCTTCTTTACTCATAACATACTGTCATGAAACTCACTAAATCAAAGAGATAATATTAGTTGGCCACAACTAATTGATCCGTGTGTTGTTGACCTGGTTTCCCCTTTACTTCCAGGGGTGATCATTGAGCTGGAGACAGGTAGGTACAATACAGAGAGAAAGAGATGGAACAACGTGGCAGTTAATGTCAATGTCTTAAAAGAACACCTCACATCATCATCATAAACCACCCAACTAACCGAGAATCAGAACTCGACAATCACTTAGACAACTAATAACTACTAAATATTCTGGAATGGGTAAACCCATTTGGTCGATGAACGTTTCCTTTGCATATATTTATTTCTATTGTCATTGAACGACTACCGCATCTTATGGACTTTACATCATCACCCTTTGGTTCTATCATATTGATACGAACGCGATTCCTCTCAGTTGATATTGGACCACTTGACTTTTAAATATGGATTCATATGGGCCGGCATCTCATGAAAGGGCCTCGTCGAACCTCGAAACAAAGATGGATGAAGGAGATACTCAAAGTATTAGCGTTTCGTCCGGGGCCAAGTCGATATCCATCTCTAACTCCCACGACTCTTCGGGTGACATAGATAGTGTTGAGGAGCATCGTAACATGATGCTTGCCAGTCTACTCGAAGATTACATCCGTACCCGCGCTGCCGAGTATCTCAACGCTACTAATCCGGGTCAGAACTATACGAGGCAGTCCCCAGAGGTTCAGCCTCTTGCTCGGCAACTGTTTGCGGACGCAAGCCGAACACTATCATCGAATGGAGTGATATCCGACTTGGCGACATCTGATGCCGTGAGAAATTCTCGTCGACAATACCTGTCAGCCTTAGATAATCTGGTTGCTGGCTCTCAAGTCCCGACTTCACACCTCTCCAATGTGATGCGCGACTTGATCCTTGGAACATCCCAACTTACCCTTATGCCGCATCCATCTAATGACCTGAAACTGACTCTTCAGTCAACCCCAGCACGAAGTCACTATCAATCTTCCTTCCAAGAAGGTGCTCTTTTAGGGAGAGGTGGCTTCGGAAAAGTATATGAGTGTTTTAACCCCTTAGATCGGGGAACATATGCTGTAAAGAAGATCCAGTTATCCCCGAGACTCGGGAAAAGGTTTCGCGATGGAAAACTGGAAGAGCTTCAGCATATCCTGCGCGAGGTACAAGCTTTAGCTACGCTAGATCACCCTAACATCGTGCGATACCATGCTACATGGCTTGAGGAGCCTCATCAATCTCAGCCACTCGAAATCACACATGGTACGTTGTTACTTTAGTCTGTTTAGCCACTGTTTGCCCCATGAATCATACGTACCGTCCACGCAGTTAACTCCAGTTTAACGCAACGGTATTCGCTAACTTACAGTGTTAGATCCTAGCACGAGAGCCGAAGTAGGCCAAAGGCAACAATTACTATTAGATCACCGGCCATTCTCTCAAGATGAAGGGGATGGGGCGGAGCCGTCACTAAGTGGTGGAGTCGTTTTTGCAGAAGACACTCCATCCTGCCGTGATAGCAAAGCCAACGACCGATTGGTTAACGACCGGCAATGGTTCGAGCAGCGCACCTCTAGTAATCCTGCTGTTGAGAGTCTTTCCCTATCAAATACTAGCGATATATTCACAGACGGGAAAAGCAGGTTATCAAACTCAAATGAAAAGAGGGAGGCGTTTGAAGCAGTCGGATATATCTTATACATACAAATGTCGCTATACCCAATGACGCTAGCTCAGTATATATCTCTTTCGTCCGGCGGAAATAACGCCTTAAAACATTGCTTTCATCTTATTCCTAGTCTTAGGCTCCTTCATGCCATACACGCTGGGCTACAATACATCCACGCTAAAGGGTTCATACACCGGGACATTAAGCCGGGTAATATCTTTCTCTCGTTACCCGATACTGAGCCACGAGGCGGATACTGTAGCCTGGCATGCAATTCCTGTCGAGTGAAGGACGAAAATTTGCCTCCACGATGGCTTAATCCGCGTATTGGCGATTTCGGGCTAGTGACTCAGCTCGCGCGCGGGGGGTTGCCCCTATCATATGCAAGCAACGACGGCTCGACAACGTCGAATCGTCCTGTGGGTACTACATACTATCGACCGCCACTATCTAAAGGTGCGGACGACGAGAAGGTCGACATCTTCGCCCTAGGTGTTGTGTTCATCGAGATGACATGTCCCTGTACTACAGCTATGGAACGAGCTGAGATGCTCAAGGGACTGCAGATGGGTCACGTACCGACGAGTCTTGGGCAAGGGTTGAAAAACGAGGGATATTCCCCTGAAGTTATCGACGACGTAGTTTCGCTAGCGGAGGCAATGGTCTGCCCTGACTCTGAGGCTAGATGGTCTAGCCAGCAAGTGAACGAGGCGGTCGAAAGGGTTTTGCACAGATGCGAAAGCCCATAGTTGTGACTTCTCCAAATTAAGCATCGCCAGGACTTTGTATACTAGGAGGACCTACTTGGACGGGTCGAGGCTATGATCTTTTGCTTTGCTATCATGGCTAGGCCCGGGATCTTCGTTATCCGTGTATTATACGGCCCATCTTATGTACGTAATAAGGCGCGATTATGCTCATCCGAATATCGCTTCTTAATCACTGTTCGTAATTAGAAGGGCTAGCAAGACAAGTTGCTCACTTAGTAGACTTGTGCCAATAGTATAGCCGGCTCTATTTTATTCTTATATGTTCTGTATTAGGTAACTCAGGGATGGGAGATCGACACAACTACTCGAACCAAGAGTAAACTCGCTACTTGTAGTCTTACCGACACTAATATGGATTTTTAGATAGACTATATCAACGACTTAAACTAACTACAGGTTAAGTATTAGACGGCAGGTATTAGGTTTCCTCGTATAGATATACGGCGTTGATGGGTTGAAGACTGCTCAACCCGATGTTATATTGACCTAGGCACCTTGTCAGGTTTCTATTAGGAAGTGGATAGAAATATAAATATTTATCCAACCGCATTGTTTTTCCGTCTTGTTTTAATATAGCTACCATCGTCCTGTGTAATACGAATGGGTGCCATCCATTCATTCTAAACTGGTTCTTCACAATAGTATACCTACCTAGGTACCTAATGTGGGCTGTTAAATGATCGTAGGATTTAGGATGGTATGGAATATTGACATGAAAACGTGTACTTCAGAATTCATAGCCAAATTGTGATGTAGCAGAACAGCGTCAAAATGGATGACCCATCCTCATGGACCCAAGCAAAATAATCTTTCCGAATATTGCGCTCAAACTTTTTATTATGTAAGCAAATACGTCCCGAAATAGGTACATTGCGAAATACCTTAACAATTACGAAAGTAACTGATTAAATAAGGCCGCGCTCATGACTTCGGAAAGATCCCACGTGCGAGCCTGCGCGAACTTGCGAATGCGGGCGTTTCGGTAAATCTTAAAGTTATTTAAGTTAAAATAAAGGATTAAAGTTAAGAAATTATTTAGGTCATCTATTTTGACGCTGTTCTGTATAGATCCGGTTATGTGGATGGCTGTGCTCGTATAGCTCCAGGGACATGGAGCCAATATGTAATTCAAGCGGTACCTCGTTTACGCAGAAGCCCAGTACATAAAATACGAATAGGTACCCCATTGAAAATCTTAGCGCCTTGGTAGGGGTCCAGGTGGATGCTGTTACTGTAAACTCATCCACCGCGGGATTACGTACGTACGTTGATACCGTTAATACCTCCGTTAATACAAACATACGGATGTATCCGCGTATGTAGATACCTAGTAGATTCAAAGTTGGGTACCTACACTACGGCAGGAAGGCGGATCGCAATGTCTGAATATGCAGTACGAGCCAACCTAAAACCTAGGTAGATGTAGGTAGGTAGGTTAGGTACCGCATATGCCCAAGGTACCTAGGTGTAGTACCTGTATCTTTTGAATCTTTTTGGCGTTGGATGATTTTAGATTAAACATCTTTAGGTTAGGATTTTCTTCATCATTACATCTCCCTCTCCCTCTCCCTCTCCACCTTCGCCTTCGCAGTCTTGCTGCGACGAGCTCGACTCTTTTCTACAGTACATATTTGAACATATTGATCTTATTGTAGCATCCAATATCGAGCATCGATCGTTATACAATCCCTGCACCTATACGGCCCCCCCTCTTATACCCTTTCCCTCTCGGCCTGTATTCGATTTATTCAATTTACGATAGCGATTCGCCTTTTCGCCTGCCCGCATCGGACCAGATATCCCATCCGCCTGCTAATTCCGTGATACCTCTCTCACCTAACTACGTCAACAAGGGTTACCCGACACCCCTCGACTTTCACCACAGAGCGCATTGAATACTTTACCTGTTTGCGTCGCCATCGATTACATTAGACTTATTCTCGTCTGCTTCGCATTCTGTTTATCCCCTACCGAATCTAACCCCGAGATCCCGATTCCCATTTATCCTAGATGTCGCATTAGATTACAAGATATTCTTCGATTTGCTACCATGAATGAAGGGTCGTACAATAATGTCGTCCGGAGCAATAGCTCGTTCTCCCCAATGTGAGTTCATGCTTCCGCTGCAAGTGCTCATAGGATATATATTAGGATCTATCTGAAGAATTATTCTATCTACCCGTCTATTCGCGCTACGTGGACTGACGCTTATATTATGCATATAGGACACCTTCTACTCCGAGTGCATACAAGGCGAACGTAAACCGAACGAAGACAAGAAAATGGGTGGAGGCAAAGGTTCAAAGTTACGACGGTGATGATTGGGGTAATGAATACGAGGACGAATATGGCGAACCCGAACCAGAACCCGAGCCTGCACCTCGGGTCGCTGCGTTACGACAACAAACGAACTCCCAACAACCAAGAACATTCTCTCAATCTTCGACCGGCACAGTTAATTCGTCGAATAGACCCGGCCCGTTCGGGGCAAGAGACCCTAGCGGCCCGCCATCTTTACATATACACACTGGAGCGGATTTAGGATCTCGTCCAGTCGATACCACTGCGTCTGCGTCGGATCAAGGGCCGGCGTCGTCTCGCTTTCCCCTTCGTGATGGGAGTAGAAGCCAAGAAGGAACCCCTCTTGGTGACATTAATGTCCCTGGGTCAGGTTCTCGGGCGGGATCCATATCAACTCAACTATGGACTCAAAGAGCCGCATCTCCCACCAAATCCTCGAATTTAGTTAGACCTTCGGACCTGTATAATCGGACGGATGAAGATAAGGAGAAAGAAGGTAGACATATGGAGTCGGGAGGGCTTAGTGTAGAAGGCAATTATGGTCGGAACAGGCTTTCTACCAGTCCAAAATTGCCGGACTTAGCACGTCTGTCTGGGTTTGGCGACGACTTTTTCTCAACCTCTGGAAATTATAGCCCTCGGGCTCGTTCGACTTTATCGACAATTACGGACACTCAGCAGACAGATAGAGCAAGGGATGCACCTGGCCCGTTAACTGGGCCAGATAGCAAACGGTGCGACACTGCTGAAATCTCTGGACAGAATCCCTCAAGCACCTTGGTAGGACCGAAGCTTGAACCAAATCCCCAAATCATTATGCCGCCACTAGATGCTGATTTAGAACCGAATAAGAGCAACACTGACAGTGCATCCCACCAATCTACTGTGCTTAGACCCCAACTTCCTGGAACTTGGGTGTCCGAAACTATCAGCGTCGGCTCCGGGAATCCAACGCCCACAGAAAAGGTCGAGGGGCCCGGCCCGGCCTCCTTAGGCAGCATCGTAAATGCTAACGCGCCTCCAATGAGCATAAGACACGCGGAGCCTGCTGACCTCGAACCAACCACTGCTATTCGACAGCTGCCGACAAAACATGACGACTTAAACACGACAGAAAATAAATCCATGCGTACGTCTGAAAGCGGGTTTAATAATGCTACAGGAAAACATGACGATATCGTAGCCTCGAAAGTAATTGCCGCTGGACCCGGTTATCATCCAACGCCTCAGTCTCTTCCGCCGTTGAACACGGATAACCACCTCGCTTCACCCAATACTGTCTCATCAGACAAGCGCGGAGCGCCAGAAGTAGCTGATATGGGACTTCCAGCATTGCAATATGGAGATTCTCCGTTCCAGTCGTCTTCGGCTCGGCAGAGTGCAACCACCAGCTCAGGTTTCACTCCTACAGCGCCGTTGAATACACGCCGGTCCATCATTGCTCCACCAGAGCTTGCAACACCTACAGCACAGGAACGGAAATCTACTATGAGTACTGTCCATACTGCGTCTCCTGAAAAGGAGAGTGATAAGCTAAGGGAAGAGATAATCAAATCCCTAAGCGCAAGTCCGGCTACTACGCCTAACGCAAGCACTATCCTAGGCGCTTCTAACGCTACCTTCGATCCAGCGCAAGGCAGACCGGCCCGAGAGAGTACATATTTATCTGATGTCTACGATGATTACTTGGCACCAGTGGAAGATAAATCTCTCCAAGAGACAGGTTTACTTCTTAAGCAGGGATCGAAGGCACCCAATTATGGACTTGATGAGACTGAGACTGAGACGGAGCTTGGGCTCGGACGAGACCTACAGAAGGGAAGCACCTTTCCAGACATCGCTCCTTTGAGCCCACGTAGAAGTCCAGAACAAGGCACCGCACGTCCACAAAACCGGTTCTCGTGGGAGAATGATTCAAAGAAAGGCGTGCCTAATTCTACTGGGGGGACTCCGAGTGTGCCAACCACCCTCAGCGAACCGACCAAGAGTAATCAGATCGAATATCAACCTCCCACAACGACAGAGCTGGGTGCGGGTGCTACTACTTCAAGCGCTCTACAAGTCCAAACAGAGAGCCGTGCCACCATATCTCATCAAGTTTCTGACGTTAGCAGTCGCGCCCCTGGAGATCGGTCGATAACAGGGCTTGATTTGCCCTCTCCTGTTTCGCTGGTGACGGATAATGGTCTTAGAGCCCAATCTGCAGCTCCCGAAACATCGCGTTTATCCTTCGCAGATGAGAAAGAGCAAGTACTAATTCGATCATCATCAAACACGTCGTCGGCCGAACAACATCCTGCCCTAGCGCAGCCGATAGAGCTTATTTCTGAACCGTCACCAGCCCTTCAACCAGCCCCAATAGCCCAACCGTCTTCGCAAGCGAAGATTATGGCGTTTAGAGATATCCTCAACATTCTATCAATCGAACAAAGAATCCAGAAATTTGATGAAACACGGGCTCAGTTTTATTCAATGGATTCTGGCTTGTCGAACTGGATTATGTACATGCAGAGCCAGCCGGAGCATGGTATAGTGTCAACGACGTCAACAGGTGGGCAAATGTCTCCTTCCGCCGTCCAGTCTCAGGCTGAACAACCATACTACCAACAATACTTAAACGCCAGTAACCCTGATGCACCACCGGTACAACGCGGAAGGGCTGCGAGTGGCAATTTGCAACAGATGTTTACGGGTCAATCTATGAGTAACTTTGGTTCGTCCGGTGCTCAGGTTGGGACAAAGAGTAAGGAACTCTTACAGGCCGCAGGGGCGTTTGGCAATAAGGGTGTGAAGTCGGGCATGAAACTATTCAACAAAGGCAAGAACAAACTTCGCGGAACGGGGGACAAGGGCTTTTTTCAATAGTAGTCACCTCTCTTCATCGTGTTTACCCTCCTAGTAGGAAGGTCGCGTGAAAACAATGGCCTTATGTTGCAGCATTTCGTCTAAGTGAGATACGATGGAAGCTATGAGCGGAGAAGGTTCTTATGCGATAGGCAGAGACGATATTTCCCTGCTATTCGTACATTCCAGTCTCGACTTTTCATATGCACTGTATTAATTCATCTTGTGGACATACGCGTTTCTCGATCGGGTTGAGCATAGGAATTCAGGCGGCGGTGCGTAGGTTGTACAATTTACTGGGAGCATGGATTTGATCGAAGGATGGAGGTAATTCGATCTAAGATATCATAATACTAAAATGATTTTTTTTTTTACTCGCCTCATCTAGCAATGCCATGACAAGACCGTCCTTATATAGACCTATCCAATCGAATGTGTGGGAGAGCGGTCAGCTTGGCGCTGTTGGGCTGATTCATAGAATTACGAAGATCTCGTATCTATCACGGTTCTAAAGAGGCGAACCGATTAGATATTAGGCATTATGTGTTATTTTGTGGCGTGCCCGCGTGGTTGCGTAACGTGTCTTGGATATTTGTCCCAAATGATCCGTCGGTAAGGTAATTTCACCTATCGAGGGACTAAGGCGTATGAGGATCGATGTAGTCGCACGATAGATATGTTATCCGTATTCTGTGATGGTGTGTCTACCTCTGTGTAGGTATCTTCCAGGTGTCTGCTCACAGTATATCTATACGCCAATACATAGAACACACGATATGTTGCTTTCTACGTTACCATCCATCCCCCCGCTTGCCGCTCCGTGTTCATTCCGCTTGTTTAGCGCTGCTACCTTACCACGTAGGCGGAGACTTGACATGCTGCTACAAGGAAAGGCCTGGAAAAAGTAGGGATAGCAATACATGGATAGGATGAATTTAGGTATCTTCTAAGATATCTATACTTATCGAATAGTTATATTAATCTTAACAAGAACAAGTCACGATTACTATCATCACTACCTTGTATTATCAACATCATCAACAGCGGGATGTTACTATTAACCGCAAAGCTCGATGGTTCTAAAGGAAAGAAACTAGGTACGTAGGAGAATAGTGCCCGTTATCCATGGGATCTACCTGTAAGTAAGTAGTAATATTACTAGCATATTTGAAGCTTAACCAAGTTCAACGTACATATCGACCGCGTTCACACGTGTGGACAGGGGAGGTGATCCTTCTCCCTACCAATTTGCGTAGATATTATCATTGTCGATATTAGTTTTGATTGGTTGAAGGGGAAGCAATGAGAAGAGACATTCAGCTTAACACTGCCACCCAAGCCGCGGACCAGCAGCAGAAACATTCTCCACACTTATAGGACTTATTATTAGGCCCCCAACCTGAAAAGTTCAGTTATATTAGAGTATGTATGTACCATAGTAGAGGCAGAAAATGCCTTCCTTCGAGCCCCCAAATAGCGCCACCACCATCGTCTTCATCACCATCACCACCACCACTGGAGATCTTGGCTCGTGCTCCCTATTTTTGAGCTCGTAGCCCTATTAGAAGCCACTTAGACAAGGAGCTAAGCCGAGTCCAGCCCAAACAAGCCTCGATAACTCCATAGAAAAAAAGCCTTACACTACAATAGAGGCAATAAAAAAAAGGGTCGTACCGTGGTGCCGTGGTATGTATCTATCATAAAATATACATACCGGGACCTGTCCAACTAGGTCAAGAAAAGCTCTCCAGCCTACCAGCTTGCCCAGCTTGCCCAGCTCCAGGTACCAGTAATAAGAAAATCGGATCCCACCAATCCACCATCACCCCCCAGTCCCCGTTCCATCCGCCGTCTAGCTCCATCCCAGCCCTTTCAGGTATCCAGTATCCCAGCATCCAAGGCATCCTAGCAATTTCAATTCCAGATTTCGCTACCTAACTTCGTTGAGGCACGCCAACACGTTCGTCTCTCACCGTCGCTTCTGCTCTGTTGCTCCGTTACTCTATTGCTCCATTGCTCCAACTCCACCTTTCCTCCCCCAAACTTCCTCTCCCTATCATCGTCATCGTCGACGTCGGACGCTCGCTTCACTTTTTCCGAACTTTGGGCAGCTCACCGTAATTATTATTTATATTTAAAGTGGATTATATCTTCACCTTATGAGATACTTCCCTACCCTTGTCGTTCGCGTCTACTACTCCATCTAGTCGTCCATTTCGCAAACACGCGATCTTACTCCCTCGCCTAGAATTCGCCTCTGGATATCTTCGCGGCGACGTATATACCCTTAATATTTATTAATCAATTCCACGTGGATACGCCTGTCAGACAGCGAACTGTTAATTTGATATTCTGCCACATTTGTCCATATTTGTCGACCAGGATTGCGTTCTTAGAGGAAGGGATATTTTATACATAAAAAAGGAAATAAGACAAACTGCAAAGAGGCCGACAGCATTGCAGCGGGCTCTGCATCCAGCACCCAGCACCCGAATCAAGCGCTGTTTAAAATAATGTTGCGCATTTAATTTACCAATAGCAAGATTAATTACCTAAGTACGCCGAAGTGACATCTCGGGGATTATTATATCGATTTCTTACCAATCCGATCGATTGCTCGCGTCAGACTATGACCGCTCTCATGGCCGCTGACAGGCCATATTCGCCAGGCCTCGGCGACTCCAACCCTTCAGGAAAAAAACAATCTTCTGGTTTTACCCCATTACCGCCCATTCGTCGCACATCAACATTCGACTTATTATCGAGAAAGAAGCTTGGTGGAGAAGAAGACGACGGGACTCCATCTCCAGTTGGATCTTCAGATAATGAAATCCCCCCAGTGCCTCCTATGAAGGACGGAATCAATTATCAAAACGGCAATGGGCATGTACCCGACCGTGGACAAGGCGGCCAGGCCACCGGCCAATTAAGTCAACCACAGACCTTCACCCAACCTCCACCTCAGCATCACCCCGCGTTCGCCAACGGCTTTAACCCAGCTCCTAATGGATTTGCAGCTGGTAGAAGTATTGGTCAACCTAACGGGTTTCAACAGCAGGGACATATGGGAGGTCCTGTAGGTCCTCATGGCCCTCACCAATTTTTTAATCAGACACCGGGTCAGTCTAGTGCATTACCTATGAATCCAGGTCATCCTTTCGCCTCACAGATGGAAGGTAACCCTATTCAAAAATTCCCTCCTGGTGGTCAATGGAAACTGGAGGAGTCTCGCCTTACAGAACCTCTTATCCAACACAAGACCCGACCAGGAGCGAGTAGTCCATCGCAACAACCGGGCTATTATGGATATGATAAGGAAACTGAAGATGCCTCACCGCCAATGAGAGGGCAGGGTATACCACAGCGGTCGAGAAATAATAGCGGTAGCATACCACCTGTCTCGGCAGAGAGATTCCGTAAGCACAATATCTTTGCTCCTCATGAACCCATGCAATCACAACCGTTAACCCCACCACAAGTTGGTCATCCTCCGCCAGGTCGAACTAACGATAACGTGGCCCAAGGGGAACGGGAAGGTCGTGATGCTGGGCTTAACAAGGAGCCGGATGGTAAGCCTACCATATCCAAAATTAAACGACTAACTAATAATGTGATCAACTAGTCCGTGTTGATGAGGTGTCGGTTTCGAGCGCTACCAGTGAGGGCCAAAATAGTACCCGGCGTGGTTCAGGATTTTTTAGTCTAACCCGCCGGACCACAGGTGCTGAACAAGAACAGCAAAACTCGAACCACAACGCATCTACCAAGAACAAGCCATCTTCGTTCTTCGGCGTGCAAATCCATGACAAGTATCAACCAGCTGTCAAATCTAACCTTGGGTCTACCTTTGATCATGATGATAATCCAGAGCCTACGTCGATGAGGAAAAGATTGTCTGAGCTCACAGGAATGATGAAAGGTGTCGGGAATGCGAAGGATGGGGCAAAAGATGACCAACCAGTTAAACCGAGTAGCAATACATCTTCCCCGAGACCTGTGCAGGGTCCAATGCAAGGTCCAGTACGAACACAAACCGGACCTCAGCCGTCTCAAGGGCCGGGGGGATTATATGCGGCCCCGTCCGGTGCAATAGGACGAAATAGTCCCAGCGGTCCTCGACCTCCCGAAGCTCAACGTCCCCAAGCTGACGACGAGCGTGAGAAGAAACATGGGTTTTTGGGCGGACTTTTTAATAGGCAAGGGTTTAAGTCGTCGGAGACGAAATCAGAGTCGAGACAGCCGAGTCAACAGATATCGACGCCCCTACAGCGGCCACCACAACAGTTTCCCATGCATCCCATGCAACAATTTCGGCCTGGTCAGATGCCGCCCCCTGGACAACATTTCGGTCCGCATCCGATGTATCCCGGCCAACCTCCAATGCAACCAGGTTTGCCGGGACAGCAAGGCGCACGAAGACCGATGGTTCCCGGTCCAGGCCAGCCAAATCCTTCGGAGCATATTCAGTCGCCTACTTCGCCCCAAGTTCTTGAGATTGCACAGTTAATTCAGATGCAACGCCCCTCCGAAATAACTGTCTCCCAAAGTCCATTAGGCGGGTCGCCCCTTTCACCTAGTCAACGACCACCAACATCCCAAGGATCCCAGGCAGGTATACGGCCCGGTACCGGACAGGATGTTGGAGGGAGAAATATACCCAAACAGGCCGGAGTCAATGATCCATTTTCTATGTCTAGTCCACCTCCCAAAGACTTCCACAGCCCCCCACGTGCGGCCTCCTTTGATCTATCCAATATCAGCGGGTCCTCGTTGGCAGTACGAACTACCCCGAATAGAAAACCTTTGGCCTCCAGTCTATCGAAGCAAGATGGTGTATCTGTTAATTCCACACCTACGACACAAAATTCCATTCAGCAGTCGCCCCCAAACCCAACCAGGGCCGATGATTCAACGCCTCGATCTGAAAGTCCGGATGATGAACAGAGATTATCCAGTCATCTTCCATCTGGCCAACAGAGCCCTACACTTGGCAAGCTAGGTCACATCCGCCAGTCGTCTAATCCGTCCCCAGGGCGCCCACCTCAGCCCGGCCAAGTGACTCCGCAATCAATTGGAAGTGCGCAGTTCCCTCCCCAGGGGCCGAGGCCTTCGCAGGATCGACAGATACTGAACCAATCGCACGGGAACCCTCAAGGTAAGTTCTCGGCCGATGATGGTTCTCCCCATGATTCGCGGCAGGACTCACCTTGGAGTCCTAATGTTACCTTCGTTGATCAACCACGCGCAGGGTATCTACCAAGACCGCTAGCTACAACTCCTGACCAGAACACTCTGGTGAAGTTTTTTGGTGTCGATACCGGTATCGATTCCGAAGTGGGGAGCATTAATTCAGTAAAACCGGTAAAGGGGCCGAAGGAAAAGAATGCTGCAGCAAGACTCCTGGATGCCTTTAGGAGAACCCATAAATCCGAATCCCAAAACCCCCCCACCGGTCGTCAAACCCCTCCAGCACCACGACCTAATCAATCAGCAAATACGGCAAACGTACCGCGACAGTCTGTCAACGGCGCCCCACGTGGACCCCTCGGCCCGGTCAGTAACCAACAGGCACCGCCTCAAGGAATGCCAGGCGCTATCCGACAGCAGCCTCCGATGATGCACGGAGCTGGACGCGGGCAAGAACCTCGGTACGACCAAGTCCCTATTCCTCGTGGTTACGAGGCTGTACATGGTTATGGCCACGCGGGTATGATGGCACCCTCTCCTTACAACATCGGACGTCCCGGCCTGCCGCCCCCAAATCAACAATTTCAGGCCTTTACACCCCAAGGTATCCAAGGTATTCCGCGTGGTCCTCCTCAGGCTTTTCCGCAAGGGTTCCCGCAGCAATGGGATCCTCGAAATGGACCCCTCCCACAACCTATTCCATATGGTCCATTGCCTCCTCACATACAGCCAAACCACCAAGGTATGCCGCCGCAGTTCCCGCAGAGACAGGCCGACTCGCAATCTACCACTCCTACACCGTCTGACCAGGGCACTTTCTTAGATATGGCACCAACCCCGCCTCCTCAGAAGCCCCGTGAAGACACCGGTTATGATCCCCAACCAACCAAGGATATTCCGCCTCAAGCTATGGGCAACCCGTCGTTCCAGCAACCACAAATCCGGCTTCAGTCCAACCTCCAACAAGTTCAGAACCTAGAGACACAAACCCCCTCAAGTTCTAACTGGGGCAGCGCTCCAGATAGCGCTCGAACAGCACAGTCTCCTAGACAGCCGGGCCCTCAAATACCTAACGGTAGTCTCCACTCTAAGCCGTCGGACCCGAATGTGTCTCCTCCAAGTGACGGTGAGGATACACAACGATCGCCCCATCAGCATATTGCCACGGCCATGATAAAAGGTGTTCACATGCACCCACCGACACTTCAACCCGGTGCTCCGCAAAACGGACCTCCACCCAACGCGGCTCGTTCCTTTTCTCCTTCGACTGCGTCGACAAGGGTTCCTGGTTTCCCCAATCAGAACCAGTACCAGAATCAAAACCAAAACCAGAGCCCACCTCCAATCCAGGAGCCTGTAAACCTACCAACGCCTAACAGTGCGGTCCATCTCGTAAGCAAACTGTCAATGACCAACCTCAACGAGCCGCCTAAAAATGCATCGCTCAGTCCTGATGTCAATGTAAACCGTGCTATGAATGTTAGCCCAGAACCCCCTGGCCCGCAGAGGTCGTCTCCGTACCACCAAGCGTCGAGTACTAGCTTGAATATTAATGTTGATCGCGCGAACGATCATAAGGAAAATAGCGGAGGGGAGGACGATATTTACGACGCTACGCCTAGATTAAACATTACCGCACATAGCCCAAGCCAGCCTCAACTCCTAGTTCAGGAACCAGTCCACGTACACGAGAATACAAAGTACGCCGGTTCAGAGAAGGGTCGCACGGGTCTTGTGAATGGCGGAGTTGCGGCAGCCGGCGCTGGAATTGCTACCGGGGCAGTCGGCGTCGCGGTCACAGGAGATGCGAGCAGCATTCAGGATTCTCTACCGGAGGATCCGTCACCGCCACAGCGACCAATCGCAATGCACATGCCCACAGAGCCGGAAGAGAAGATAGCGGTGGACCATCCCGTGGAACTCCCCGCTGTCAATGTCGACGACGACGATGGTATACCTGTGATGACTGCGACGTCGTATCCTGGACAGGAGTGGAACCCGTACGAGGCTGGCGAGTTTGGGGACTTCGATATATAAGAGTTGACGACATTATTCGATGATTTTGGATACGATACGACTTTGAGATGAGATGTTAATATGGAGAGTTGTCATGGGTGCTACTTTTTGCGTGTTGGAGCTGAGCGGATACATCATATCATACCATATTATACCATATATGTCATGTTTTTTATTCTCTTTCTCTACGATTTAGTTACCTACATCCTTTACCTACATACCCCGGCGGAATGCGTCTACTTTCCGAGATGGAATTATCAAAAAAGAGTCTTTGTCTTGAAAACCTCGGCTTGCTATACATATATCGGCTAGTTATTTGTTTATAAGTGGTACCTAACCTCAGTTTAGTCAGGTACCTAAGTTAGCTACCTAGCTACTTGTTGGCTTATAATGAAATAGATGATATTTGGTTAGTTAATTTTATATAACTACCTTACTATTGCAGTTTTTAATTATTTATCTGCTGGTTCAAATAGTGAGCTATGATCGTGACAGGTATTTTCTAACTCTAGTGCTTTAATATACAATTGTATGCGCAAGGGTCGATGTCACATGTGCCCGGTGTGACAGAAATAGAACAATGCCAAGATGACTTACATCACAGGTACCAAAGTACTTCTTAGCTGTAATGAGGTACGGATTACGGAGCGATGCACCGCCACCGATCAAGTCCGCGCGCCGCGTTTGACCCTGTAATTTCTCACAAGAAACACACTGGCCTCACTGCCTCAGGAGAGTTTTAAGGCTGAAGTTTTACTGCCAAATTAGAAATTAGAATTAAGAACCAACAAAAACTCACCTGCACCCAAAATAAGTCGAGACAAATGAATTGAGGGCCTATCTACACCCCATCAACCCCATCAAATACCGATATTACCCTAATCAGTCTCGACCGGAATCTCTAATCTATCGTCTATCGTCCGCCGGTCTAGATAAGACAACCGTTATCAATTGTCATCTAGAACACTCCGAATCCGACGCCGTGTCCTTTATCCGGTTTTCCCGAACCCTCGCCCTCGCCATCGCCATCACCACGTCTCTACCTGTGTTTAGTCTACGATCAAGACAAATTTCCGCATTCGAGCCATCATTTTCAAGTTTCTATACTTTTCTACTACACCAGCTGCCGCGACCGAATTCATTCGCGTACAACAAACCCGCCTTCATCCACGTGAAGAGCGTAAAATAGCACCTCTTACAATTTATCTACCCAGCCGTCCCGGCAACGTGTCAGGATGGCCGTCACATCTATACAAGACCGCACGGCCGAGTTCCGGTCTGTGCTCACCCAAGTTCAAAAACGGCAAGCCTCTTCTAAGGTCGGCGCGCAGAGGAGATCGCTCTTAACGGACTCGCAAAAAGCAGCTGCCAATGGCGACGCGCAACCGCACCGGAGGTCGGAATTTGCTAGGCGCGCCGCTGAGATAGGGCGCGGGATCGCTGCTACGATGGTATTGCCTCATATTTTATTTTCAAGAAGTCAGCCGTCAGCCTATGTGACCCCGCTAACGAGCTTCCATAGGGCAAATTAGAGAAGCTGGCGCAGTTGGCGAAACGCAAGACATTATTCGATGACCGACCTGTCGAGATTAATGAACTCACTTTTATGTATAAACCCTCCCGCCTTAATTACTACTACTACTGAACTACGTATCTAACATAGCTTTCGGCTAGAATAAAACAGGACTTATCTTCCCTAAACCAGCAGATTAGCGGACTACAGTTGCTAACGCGGCAGCAACACCCTAAGGCAGATCAGGAGGGCGAGCATAATAAGAACATCGTATTAATGCTACAAGGCAAACTTAGCGACGTTGGCGCCAACTTCAAGGATGTCCTCGAGGTACGCACCAAAAATATACAGGCGTCGCGGTCGCGCACCGAGAACTTTATATCCTCCGTATCGCAACACGCGCAATCGTCATCTCTCCAGCAATCTGCAAGTCCCTTGTACGGAACACCGAATCGTGGCACGCCGTCGCCCGGCGCAGACTTATTGACACTAAACCCACCATCCGCGATAGGCGACCAACAGCTGCTCATGATGGAGGAGGCGACACCACAGAACTCATATATCCAGCAGCGAGGCGAAGCCATCGAGGCTATCGAGAAGACCATCAGCGAGCTGGGGTCAATTTTTGGGCAGCTGGCGCAGATGGTATCGGAGCAAAGCGAGATGATTCAGCGCATCGACGCCAACACCGAGGATGTTGTCGATAATGTTCAAGGCGCCCAGCGTGAATTGCTCAAGTACTGGTCTCGTGTATCGAGCAATCGGTGGTTGATAGCCAAGATGTTTGGCGTGTTGATGATATTCTTCCTGTGAGTCCCTTCCATCGTACAATTCGTTGCGTTCTTATTGTGCAACATCCGCTCTCCCTTCACTCTTCAAATTTAAGAAACGAGTTTTACTAACTATAGGTAAAGCTTATGGGTTCTTATTGCCGGTTAGGAAAAACCACACGAGGCCATGCGAGACACGAGAGATGAGAGACTCCTTAGTAGAGGCGCTGGTGTACTACTACTATCTTCACTTTGTACATTATTACGCCGCCTGCCCCCTGGTCCGGGGATGGTGAGCAGTTGGGCTACACTTAGTAGATTTGTAATGGCGTCCATGGCGACGACTTGTTTGATGCATGCATAGGTAGTATATCCACCGGACCAAAGAGACGTTGTTTTGGTTTTTGTAGGATTCTAAATCCGAATAGCTACGAGTACGGTCTTGGCCACTTTATGATATTTGGTGTATGACCGCGACTTCTGGTCTAGGTTTCTGGCACCTGGATTGGGCTTTGACGGACTGGGTCGGTTTTGGGTTATGCGCTGGGTGGAAGTGATGAGTAGCACATTCTGATATCATAATATATTATAATTGTTGTTATGTTGTGAGGTCTACAGGGATACGAGAATACTCGGCCTTGAATCCAGCCGAGGTTTGATCTGAAGACCAAATACCCCACATGTATTAACAGTGGTCTTGTTTTTTTTTTTCATTTTTATCAGAAATACAAACTCAAGCCTGGTTAAGATATGAAACTCCTTTACCGCTTGCTGATTTCAAAAAGTTAAAAATTTTAATTGTTATAATAGTTAACCCTTGCTTACAAGAATTCGTAGTATATCCATAGGTTCTTAGTCCGTCATCTCGTACCTTGCGGGCGGCGGGGTCCCCCCTACTTTAGTCCACGTGTAAGACGCTGCGCTTGAATCACATCATCCCGAGCGCAATTCGAAATTTCAACCAGTGACGTTTCTCGGTGACCGACTACCCCGACATCATCAGGATAGGTAGTGGAGTAGGTGGTCTCTAGTAGATCAGCTTTAGTCTCTAGCATCGAAGATTCTTTAGTAGATTAGTACCTCTTATATTAGATATGTAAATGATAACTACATTAAATAGATACATATAACTAAGAGAATAGGCGATAAAAGAAGTATCCTAACTCAATATACTCTAGTCCTACTCGTGTTCTAATAAGCCGTTATAGATATAACTTCCCGAAGTCTTTACCCGGTATCGCTCACACACGTCTCTAAGTCTACAACTTACACCCCACTTATACCTAAGAGTAAACGTAGAAAAATCACTTCATTACAGCGGCTATGTGACGTTTGTAGTATCATTGTATTAAATACCAGATAGGAACATATCCGAAAGCACCCCTCGGGACGCCCCATCTAGGTACCTCTTACTATAGCATCGTGAGCGGAGTTCGCCCGTAAGTCATTCCGCAACTAGCCCCCCTATCTATACTACTTTGTACCATAGTTCCCTTATTAGTCCATCTAGGCTCGCATCCTATTTTGCCGGATGTACCATAATAAATACCTCTGTTACGTAGCCGCCAAAAGTGTACTGAAGACCAGACGAGAATATGCCACATAGAATATAAATCTCCTTTTTTTGTTTTGTTTTTCTTAATTCACAATAACTTAAGTTGAGATATTTCTTGGACGTATAACTATTCAGCAGCAAACATACCTACCTACCTAGGTATACTAATAGTATCACAATGGCGCCTTCGTCGTTCAAACTTAACACGGGCCAGGAGATCCCCGCTGTTGGATTCGGTACGTCTATTCGTTTACCTGCTCATTTGCGCCAACCCCTCCCCCTCTTCTTATATTCGCGACAATGCTGGACAAAGATCATCTTTCCTCCAATATTCTCATACCTCCTAATTGATACCAAGCCTGGCTCGTCAGTCCATACGGATTGTCAACTGCCCAAATGAAGAGCACCCTCTTATATTATATACCCCTAGATGCTACCATCCACTAACACGACCCCCGCCGCAAAATAGGAACATGGCAAGCAGGACCGGGTGAAGTCGCCAAAGCCGTCGAGCTCGCGCTAAAACACGGATACAAGCTAATCGACGCTGCGTACTGCTATGCGAACGAGGAAGAGGTCGGGCAGGGTCTAAAGGCGGCCTTCGATGCCGGCTACGCCAAGCGCGAGGACATCTTCGTCATGACCAAAGTGTGGAACACATACAGCAGCCGCGTCGAGCTAGGTTTAGACAAGTCCCTCAAGGCGCTCGGCCTCGACTACGTCGACCTGTTCCTCGTGCACTGGCCCGTCGGGATGAACCCCAACGGCAACGACGACCGCTTCCCCAAGCTTCCAGACGGCAGCCGTGATATTCTCTGGGACCACGACCACGTCGCTACCTGGAAGCAGATGGAGGGCCTGCTTAAGACCGGCAAGGCGAAGGCTATTGGTGTCTGCAACTACAGCAAGCCCTACCTAGAGCAGCTGCTCGCTAAGGCTGAAGTCGTGCCCGCTATTAACCAGATCGAAAACCACCCGGCTTTGCCCCAGCAGGAGGTTGTCGACTTCTCCAAGGAGAAGGGCATCCATATTGTGGCATATAGCCCCTTAGGGAGCACGGGTGGCCCGCTGTTGCAGAGCGAGGCTGTAACCAAGGTCGCCCAGAGGAAGGGTGTTAGTCCGGGAACCGTGTTGCTGAGCTATCACGGTACGTCATTCTCTCTTACTGATATCCTCAACACCGAATGATAGGATACTAACAGTCGTTATAAAAAATAGTCGCCAGGGGCGCCACCGTGCTAGCTAAATCCGTGACTGAGTCACGTATTAAGGCCAATCTCGAGATTGTCGACCTTGATTCCGAAGACTTGAAGATTCTAAATGATTACTCGGATAGCCTTGTTAAAGAGGGCAAGGTCCTGCGTTATGTGTACCCTCCCTTTGGGATCAACTTCGGCTTCCCGGATAAGAATGAGGGTAAGAGTCTGCCGAATGGCTTTGCGGGGTGAAGGTGAAGGGTGTTTGCCGTTGTGATGGATGCGCGGACTGTTACTGGTCCTGTGTTATGGCTGTGTAACGTAAAGGGGAGAAATATAGGTAGGCAGACGATTACTATTAGACTACCTACCTAACTTGAGATCAGCATGTTCATAGAGGAGTGAATTCTCAGTGGCGCGTTATAGATAGTTGATCAAATATTGTTCACACCCATCAATCTCTATTTGAAATGTTAATTAATACGCTTTACTGCTTAGGGGTGGCCAGGTGGTGATGAGATAAGGTAACATTAGACACTGGAAAGATAACATCTTAGAGGTAGATTTGGCTACTTGGTATGATGTTATTCCAAGCCTCAGGCTGAACAAGTTCAACACATGCTTCTTTTAGCTGTTTCGATTCCACCCGAATGAGGCTGTGTTTAGCGACTCAGCCGAGCTGAACGTGAATTGCCGCTAATGAGCAGTCTCAGCTGAATGCATGTAAGAGTACGCCAAGGGATCGTAGGGTTGGGCGTTTTAAAGTATACCTGTCATTGATGTCCCCCCAGTATCTAATATATGTGATAGTAAAGTCGTAGAATTCCACTCGGTGTCAATCTTTCTAGTACAACCCCTTTATTGGCTTCAGGAATAAGTCAATATGGATCCTCTCGCGTCGATCAACCCATATGTATCACTCAAAGAAGGGCCACAGTTGGGGCAAGTCTATCAGAAGCTAGCTGCTGGGAGTGCCCGTTTCCTACGGTATAAGGGAACAGAGAAATCAACGGAAACTTATGAACAGCTCCTTATATTCGATTTTGAGGTCCATTCAGTCAAAGACGTCAAGTCCCAATACTCAGCCTTATCCTACACCTGGGGTCATCCGATACTCGATAACTTCAAAGATGACTACTCGCACGCGATAATTTGCAGCGGCGAACGGATGCCGATTGGTCTAAACTTGAACGACGCCCTTCAGCATGTTTACTTGGAGTCGGATATTGCACCGCCACTCTTCTGGGTAGACGCTGTCTGTATTAACCAAAGCGATCTCGTAGAGCGAGCCGAGCAGGTTACTCTCATGACTAGTATCTATTTCAATGCCGCTAATATTGTGGTGTGGTTGGGACAGAACGACGAAGACGCGCACGAGGCCCATTCACTCTTGTCTGAGTACACGCCTGCCCTTAGAGATATTGCTTTGGACTTGATCTCGGCGAATCCTGATTACGGCATGGGGCCGGGAGTAGTCAACTTGTACGACGACGTGAAGCTCCATGAAAAATATCATCTCACGTCAAGAAGTATGGATTCATGGACGGCGCTTGTGAGATTCCTGTCTCGAAGGTGGTTTGCTCGCATTTGGATCGTGCAGGAGATGGTATTCAACCAGTCGCATTTGATCTGCTGTGGTCCCTTACGCTTCAACTGGAAAGAATTGGATAGTTTCGTCGGCTTCGTCTTCGGCGCACAGTGGCATGGGATGAACTTTCGCGGACTCGAACGAGAGACAGCGAGGATCGCACGTATTTTCACGTTCCATCGTGAGATCCAGTTATCGGGAAGCGAATACTTGATCGACGACCCAAAGTTCAGTCTCCTAAGCCCTGAAGGAAAGCTATATGATTTTGCACAGAACTATCTCCTTTCATCCGCTTTCTTGGAAGCAACAGATCCCCGTGACAGAGTATTTGCGTTATCCGCATTTGTTAACTCCTATGCGGTTAAGGTAGAAGTCAGGCCTATTTGGCTCAAGGCGGACTACTCTCTTGAGGCGGTGGAAGTTATGCTGCATACTGCACAGTTACTGCTATGGAAGACGCGATCCTTGAACATGCTTTCGTATGTTTCTGATCTCAGCTGTCGAGCACAATCCGACCTACCATCTTGGATGCCACACTTTCACGTCCCTGGAGCTGTTGCATCCGTAGAGTCTTTGCTTGATATGCATCAGGGTAGGAAGTTCCATGCTGGTAGCTTGTCATCGACAGTGCCCACATTCTGTGACATTTACCTACACATGGACTCGGCAGACCACGAGCTAGAGGCTCAGGGGTACCTCCTAGATACTGTTGAAGACATTGTCCTCTTTGAGTCGGGTCTCCTTTCTATCTTAGAGGTTTGCCTTAGCTTACCGCATACATACGCGAATGGACAGTCACCGGTTGAGGCGCTCTGGCGGACTCTCATTGCTGGAAGGACAGACACGGCATTCCCTGCACCAGAAGAGACGGCAAGCGACTTCGCCCAATTCGTCAAAGCCGGTCTCATAGGAATCGCTCTGGATGCACTTAGGACCGAAAATAGAGAGTTGCTAACAAGGCTTATCGTAGTCTTGGGAGGAATAGAAACAAGATGCCCTCATCCTTCAGTCCCGACGGTCGGAGAGTTCAATGACATATTGAGTAATGTTTTAGGAGATCTCGATGGCTGTATCAAAATGCTGACGGATCTACGTTCTAATTGCACATATCGGACTATGATCTCACCTACACATTGGGGCCAAAAAGGCAAAGCCTTATTTCGTAGTCATAAAGGCTTTCTGGGATTATCGCCACATTCGACTCAAACAGGGGATGAGGTGTGGCTACTAAAGGGGGCGAGCTTGTTTCACTTGTTAAGGGGCGATGATGGCACATCGGCAGGGAAGATATTGCTGGGAGAGGGATATGTTCACGGTTTTATGGAAGGAGAAGCTTTGAGGCTAGATGGAATGAATTACCGCCCCGTAATCATTAAGTGAGTTACGTCCACATATCTAATTGGGTAGATCTCTCAGTTATAGCGTGGTAAGCAGTGGTTTATGGAAAGATAACCTATTTGTCAATACGTTATTAGCATATTCCTTACTTTTTATGATATTTGCAGTGGCCAAATATCCGACTACGATACAACAGAAAAAGGCGTTATATGTGAACTATAATTGGATTATTCAGTTAGTTATACTAATCAGCTACACCGAAAAGACGAAGCGTACATCAAGTACGCTATAACTCGTGGTTGATAGATCTCATGATCACAAACCGATAGTTCGTGGTTATGTGAGACATCGATGTGCTACCCCCTAATAACTAATATTTTTTACTCATATTCTATAAATTCACTTATGATAACTACTTCGTAACCATTCAGTCTGAATGTCTCAGTGCTAACGTAGCCGCATAGTGGCGAATTTCGGTGAGATACTGACAACTTTACCCTATCGAGTTAGGGATATGAGTAATCTTTTGTTTGTGTATCCCATCAACTACTGTGTCCAACACTGCTTACCGAGTCTACGGCCTATTACTCATAACTTTGAGGCTGATCAGCATTTGTCATTAAATAGAAAAGCAATATCTGCTTGCCTTCCTGCAGCCTACCTAGGTACTCGTAGATCATACACATCCAAATAGCTGCTATGAGTAACACTGCCGCTGAGAGCTGAAACATAAGCTTTATCATCTCTTGGCGACCGCGCCATATCACCGTATTAGCCGGTCGAATATCTTCTTTTTAACCCCGGAGCGTCTTGGATCTATGTCCAAGGTTGAATGAGTGTGGTGTAACGAGGCGCGCTACACTACATAGGGATTTCTAAAGTCGATATAAAAACAGGGATGGATGTACGGTTGAGATGAGGGAGAGAATCGGTAAGAATTATCAAATGAATCATACCTTGAACATTTAATGAGAAACTAGATCTTCAAACTTCGCAATGCCTATTGAAGAAAACTTCGAATTCGAGTCAGACGCCTACCGAAATGAGGTCAAAAACTTCTCAATTGCCAGGCTTAAGCAGCAAGAGAAAGCCATGGGACGAAAGTGCTTAACGAGCGGCTTTGCTACGAGTTTCGGGGTAGGCAGCGCATGGTTCTCAGGGGGCCTGAGCTTGCTACTAGCCGGCTACAAAAGCCGAAGCACGTATGTGGCTTACAAGAAACGTGAAATCATCCAAGCCGAGCTTCGTAAGCGTAACCAGGAGGTTGGCCATATCACCGGCAAAGACGCTGCCGTCTCGTGGTCGATCGGGATGATAGCGGCTTTGGTCGGCATGGAGATAGGCGACTTCACTGCTGACATTACCAATATCGAAGAGATGGGCAAGGGACTAGCACCTGACGCGAACGATAGCACAGGCTTATTAACCGATCCGGGCAAGGCAGCAGAGGGTATGGCCGGTCAAGTCCAACAACTTGCGGCACACGCTCTGGGAGAGAATGCCGCAAGCGTTGCCACACAAGTAGCGGCTGCAGATGCCACTGCCTACCACGCGGGCATGATCCAAGCAAAGATCATAGAAGAACACCTAGGAAACGAGGCGACTGAAGCTGCGTTAGTAGCTCTTACGAGTCCGCCCGAAGAACCGAAGTCTGGATGCTCACGTACCAAAGCTGTTGAGCAAGGACAACTAGGGTGGTGTAACAGATGCGGGAAATCCATCGGAGCAGGGCATTGTTACTGGCGTAAGTTTTCAATATAATATGAAAGTACTAAATGTGTCTTGACTAACTCGTATGACTTTTAGACTGTTGCAACTGCGACCACGACAATTACGATATCTGCCTCAAGTGCAAAACGAAAGATATCAGCTGCAAGAATCGAAATCACACTTTGACGAAGCTCCAGGTCCCAACTTAATCGGAATGAGGATACGCGTCACCCCAACTGATGTGGCCTGATATTATCACGTCTATTCATTGGTTGTCTTGGGATTGTACCCGGTACGTAGGTCTCCGTGCCCAGGCCTTGCCGGGTTCACGATGACTATAAGTTATGATACACGTTTAAAAACAATTTCCTTAAGTGTTTATTGGGTAATGGTCGTACAAGTTTGGTATAAAGCTTGGATAAGGGGGACATACGTATAAACATACACATGTGTTTGTGAGAGGGATACCATTCTAAGATGCTCACAATGGATCCTTGTTGGGGGACGGAAGTGTAAGCCAGTGCGAGTTGCAGACAGCTTGCGAGGTTCGGCTCTTGACCATTAGGAGATCCACCTTCTCGAGCGCTTATGTATTAGAAGGCATTCCGCTCATCTATCTTGAATAAAAGGGGTTATCCACTCCGACATATCGACCATAACCTTGATAACTAAGTCCCCCTTTTCGTCTTTTACTTTGGCGGCCGTGTCAAAAGCGCCCGGAACATCGCTAAGGCCTCGAAACCGGTGAGTAACGAGTTTCAGAACGTCAGGAAGCACCTTGTTCCCGCTGGCCAGTAGCTCGATGGCTTCGCGATATGCGTTGGCGTATCGGAACACTCCGACCAGGTCGACTTCCTTGAGAGACGCAGCCATTATGGGTAGCGTCTGAACCGGCATACCCATACCAATAATCATCACCTTACCACCAGGTTTCGTCGCCTTGAATACTCATTAGCTAGGTATGTTATAGAAAATATCGAATAGAAAATGAGAAATATTACATATATAGCCGCCTGCATGCACGACTCAACACCTGTGCACTCGAAGGTTACGTTTGCTTCACCAACGACATCAGCTCCCCCTTTAGCCCTCAGTGACTTCAATTTCTCGGCTAGATCTTGCGCATATGCTAATTTGTCTTCTACAGTTTCGGGTCTCGGGTTCGAGATCGGTACCGTGAATGCGGCATCGGCGAATCCGTTATCGACGGCGAACTTGACACGGTCCTCGAGTATATCTGCTATCACGACGGTCTTGGCCCCAGCTACCTTGCTAACTGCCGCGCAAAGCAGACCTACGGTACCAGCACCCAATATCAGAACAGTTGATCCAGATTTCAGCCCGGCACGATTCCGAGCGTGTATTGCAACAGACAGGGGTTCTACGAGGGCCCCATGCTCTAAGGATAGAGTATCTGGTAGTCTAAAAAAATGAATATAATATTAGAAAGCTAGATCAAGGTCGATGTTATAAGAGTGTAGAATTATCACGGTAATTAGATATCTTATAGTCTTTTTTTAACATACTTATGGCACCATCTTGCCGGGTGGTTAATCCTGTCCTGGAGCGTCCCTTGAGCGTGCGGGAAAGCCTTGGCAGAGCTGCGAAAGCTCATACCGCGGCAGATATTGTAACGGCCTCCGCGACATAGATCGCAGACCTCACAGGGCAGACCGACTTCGAGGGCGACGCGATCACCAACCTTTAAGGATTTTGCGGAGGAAGAACCCTCGCCCACGGCAACAACGGTGCCGGCTGACTCGTGGCCTAGCGTTATCGGCTCACGTACCTCGATCGTTCCATTCCGAAAATGTCGGAAGTAGTGCAGGTCCGAGCCGCAAAGGCCGGTCATCTGCACAGCTACCTGGACTTCATCGGAGGCCGGTTTAGAAAGCTGTCGAGCTTCCTGTTACACTCGTTAATGGGACTTCTTAGACTTCCCGTCTTGCTTCGGGCCTATTCCGAAAATAGAGCTTACAACTCGGAGATCTCTCGCCCCATGGAGGACGGATGCTTTGATATCACTGGCCATGATTCCTCTGTGTAGCGTTTTCGTTTGCAGTGTATAAAGTAGACTGGATAGGCTTTAAGGAATTGTAGGATTCCGGCCGGTTAGAGCTGGTTCAACTAAAGAAACACTGTAGAAGGACGCGAGGAATTGTGAAACAATACATAAACGAGTACGTAGCGATCACTAGTATTGAAATTTGCCATGCCTACCTAAGTCATAAATTTACATCAGGTACTTACCCCGATCCTAATCTACATAACTTCGGTGTGATCGTGGAAAGAACCGTGGCTATACAGAATACCCCTTAGCGGCGGAAGAGACATAGGATGTGCAGATACGATAACCTCGGTCCATGTAATAGAGAGCATACTACTATGGTTATATGGGTAAGTTTAACAAGTGGGCCGAGTATTGCGCTAGACATGGAATATATTTTCGGAATAATAACGTATAAAAAAGTTAGCACTGGAGGGCATCCCAGAGGGATGCTACAATAGCTCGAATTTATACTACTATTATACGGTTAGACATTTAGATATTAACACCTCGTATTAGCACTTTCAAAGGCTTAAAGAACGGCACCTTTAATACCCTTATCCCTAATACCCTTACCCACAATACCCTTATCCCCAGTACCCTCAAACCCTCCGGCACCCTCGCCTTTAACACCCCTCGGCACCCTGGATACCTAGCACCCTCAGCACCTTTACTCTCGGCTCAACACCCCAGAAGAAGATTCGGCACCCTGGAAAACGGCACCCTGGAAAACGGCACCCTGGAGAATATCACCCTTAATACCCTCCCCCTCAGCACCTTCACCCTTACCCTCACCCTCGATTCAACACCCAAGAGGAGGCTCGGCACCCCAAACTCGGCACCCTTAGCACCCTCAGCTCGGTACCCTAGGGGAGGACTCGGCACCCTGGAAGAGGACTCGATACCCTCGACAACAACACCCCGGAGGAAGACTCGGCACCCTAAAAAAGGCTTAAAACAGTACGTATTTCGAGAAAAAAAAAGTGGAAACTTGGTAAAACCTATCCACATTTAAAGGATATATCCAATAAAAAACGTTAAAATACTAAGCACAAACGAACTTCTTCTTTTAAAAAACGTAACCCAAGACAATAACCCTCATAAATTCGGGCATTTGCATATCTTTATGCACCGTCGGTCCACTGTAGGGAAAACCCGCAAATAGTCACCTTCGTTTTGTCGAAAGCCGGCGAAGTATACTAGGTTCGGCGGAAATAGTCGTTTCTGGCCAAACGGTGTTCGTGGGAAATATTTCTTACCCCAATCTCCATCTCCATTTACCCCGCCTAGACATTTCTCTCGTGAATGGTGAGGGGGAATTCTAAGGGGCCGAGTTATCACCGACTAACATCATGAGACCGGAGAAAATATATCGAGGTAATTCATGAAATGTCGTATCTCGTCTAGGCTACTTGGTTCTCACAATTACTCTTCGCTAGGTTTAACTGAATCGGTTAGCTACCTGAAGGAGAGGCAGGAATACCTAGGACAGTAATAAATCAAAATGTCTTCAAAGGATCATCATAACGTATAAGCTTTAGGTGCTCTTCTACATAATATTTAGCTCCGAATACGGAAAGGGAATAAAACCCCCTACGTACCTACCTAATTCTTTTATGAGAGAGGTCATTACTTCATTCTAAATCCAATCTCGAACTTATGAAGAAATAACTAGGGGTTTCAGTGATTAGTGGTATACGAAAGAAATACTAAAACTATTTTTGGCCTACTGTGACATGATCTGTTGAACTCCTCACCACAATCGATAGCAAGCTAAGATTTCCCCAACATGACGGACGCATTATTCTCGCTCAAGGGCGAGAAAGCTCTTGTTACTGGCGGCACGAGGGGTATTGGACAAGCCGTAGCCATTGGGCTCGCTGAGGCGGGCGCGGATATAATCTTAGTCCAAGTATGTAATTGATAGAGTAGCTCTCATCTCGATCAAATCTAACCTCAAAACAAAAAAAGCGATCCACTGCGTCGACAGAGACCAAGGAAGCCGTCGAAGCCGTCGGCCGTAAAGCCCATATCTACACAGCGGATCTAGCAAACGCAGAAGACGTAGCAGGCCTGGTCCCGCGGATCCTAGCAGACGGGCATACGATACGGATCTTGGTTAACTGCGCGGGAATTCAGATTCGTCACGCACCCGAAGCCTTCCCAGACGCCGACTACCGCGCCGTAATGGGTGTAAACGCAGACACCGTGTTCACATTAACTCGCGACGCGGGCGCACACATGCTAGGTCTCGAGCCCTCCCCAGTTACGGGTCGTCGCGGTAGTATAATTAACTTCGCGAGCTTGCTTTCATTCCAAGGAGGGCTGAATGTACCCGCGTACGCAGCAAGCAAGGGCGCCGTGACACAGATGACCAAGGCTTTTGCGAATTCGTGGACGGAGAAGGGTATTAATGTTAATGCTGTGGCGCCGGGGTATATCGCGACGGATATGAATACGGCTTTGATCAATGACCAGGAGAGGGCGGCAAGTATTAGCGCAAGGATTCCGGCTGGGCGTTGGGGAGATCCGGACGATTTCAAGGGAAGCGCTGTGTTTCTAGCTGGTAAGGCGAGCGCGTATGTGAGTGGACATACACTGGTTGTTGATGGCGGATGGATGGGTCGGTAGAGAAGGGAGTAACGCATAGTAAGAGCATGTTTGATGGCTTGCCTCAAGACATTTGGCTAGATATACATACAACTAAACTATGCAAGAAGAATTGCCAGTAGAAATATCAAGGATATTTTATTCTTACAATAGTTATACTATCATGGCAGTCATAAACACTGAAAAACCCTAGAACGCCCGTATACACACCAAAATGCCCAACGACGCACAATACAAATAATATAACATCACTTCGCAGAAGCCATAACTTGTTCCATCCAGGGATATACCGACGCGTTCGCCATGGGATATCCCATATGCAAAGCACCGGTGAAGAAACGCGCCTCCTTAGGCGACCCATACTCGAACAACAGCATCGAATCCTCAATTGGCATGAGCCCGTCATGCGTTCCCTATTACTACTGTCAGTAAACGTTTGTGTTCGGGGTTTTGGAATCAAAGGTAATATCAAAAGAAGAAGACAAGCATACGTTAACAAGAAGCAACCTCGTACTCGGCATCCCCAGGATCCCCGTCTCCAACAACGAAAACCTCCCCTGCGAGCTGTCAAGATATGCCTCGACATCGTCGCCGTATCCGTACTTCATGGCCAGTGCGGGAGTAAGCTTGAATGGGTACTCGTGCCCATTGGCCTTGGCGAGCCATTCGCGGGCGAAGAAATGGTGCGTGCCAGCACCGTGCGCGATGACTCCTAGTAGTTTGTCGCGGTGCGTATGTGCCGCCCGCACTGCGTAGTACCCTCCGCTGCTTAGCCCCCAGCACAACACGCGCCCTAGGTCAAACCGCCCGTCGGAGGCTAACCACGCGAACAGACTATCCAGTAGCCGATCTGGCGAGTTCGGGTCCGCTGGGTCTGCTGGGCAATCGGCCGTGCCTGGAATCTCAAGCACGACAGCGGCCCAACCGCGCGAGAGGAATTCATCGCATCGCGCTGTGTTGTCAGGGCGGTAGCCATCGAGCCCCGTGAAAAGGATGACTGCGGGGTGCTTCGAGTCACTGTTAGATAGAGAGGGAGGTACTCGGATATATGCTGGGATGGCATCACGGTCGCGTCCCTTAGCGAAAGTATGTGGGATCGAGACCTCGGATAGAGGGGATGGTGACCACAGGGACCCGGCTTTGCGGTATATCGCTTTCTGTAGCTCCCAGGCCTCCCACTTGACGGGGTCGTTGGGACGCGGGAAACCTGTGATATACGGAAATCGAGCGATACGTAGGATACACGCGGCACGCAGGTACAGTTGCGACGCCTCTTTTTTCCCCTCCTCGCTTCCTTGAGCAGCGGCCTCGTCGCCGTGTTGCTCGAGTACCCGTGCCGTAGGGATGAATGCTTGCGTGTACTCGGCCGAAGTCCCATCGTTGACGTCCCGAGCAATCAGATCCAGAAACACCGGCTCGAAATCCTCGAAAGTGCCGTCATGAAAAGGGTACACGGACCGCCGGCAGGGCTCGCGCCACTTAGTCTCCCACAGCGCACGGATTCCGTTATGATGTGGCATGTGACGCTCGAAAGCCTCCGCACCCATGAGCCATTGTTGCGGCGCGGGCCGGGATTTGGCGATAGCATCCGGGGCCATTACGCAGGGGAGGGGCACGGAAGGGGTTAGTAGTTGGAGCTGAAGCTCGCTGATCGCGAGGACAGCGTCTCGTCGGTTAGCGTGAAGCTGCTATCTTGAGAATCCTCCTCAAAGTCTACCGGGATGTACTCGGTCTGTTTCCGCGAGCCAAGCCGTGAAAGGTGGATGCGGCCGTTGCGCTTCCGGACTACGACACGACGACTGGTATACCAATCCTTTTTCTCGCGGACCCTGTGTTTGCTTGTTAATTGGTTATATTTCTCGAGGGTATATTTCATGTAAGTATGCGGCACATAGAGCTTGAAGGATGCTAAATCATTCCATAGGATTTCCCGTCTTGGAATGTCTTTAGTTTGTTTCTATAATTGGGGTTTAGAGTCACTTGACACCAAGTAGCTGTGCTTTCTCGAGTAGAATCTCTGGGAATTAGAGGAAGGCTTGGCTAGAACATACTCTCGTTGAAGCAGTGCTATGTTGGCTCTGATCAGGGCGTTGCGGAGGTCATGATCAACAATCATGTTCGTGTTACTTGGGTAAGACATCGCTTATTTAACGGGATGGAGGATGGAGGACAGAGGGGGGCCGATGGGGATATCCGAGGGAGTCCGGTCTTGTGTAGTACTGGGTATATAGGATAGGATAGTTAAAGCGATGATTCTAATGCTGAAATATAGAACGGATATAAGGAGGAAACGAATATAAAATAGTATGAGGGGGATAGAATCGAAATATATGCCGTCAGCGTTTATTGAAGGTCAGTGTTTCTAGGAGGGCAAGCAAGGTAAGACGGCATGACTTTATAGCCATCAGTCTCATAAGCTGGAGATATGCCGAAAGCATAGTAGCTGAACGAATATGGCAGTCGGACATGATATTCACGTGCTGCTATGCGGAGCAACAGGAATATACCCATGTATGTCTGTATTTGGTCGTTCCTACACTCCGTTGTATCTGAGTAAGCCCCGGTCAAGTCGTATGAGCGCATTGCAGTAAGATGCCAAGGACGGTTTGGATTGGGCGGGGAGCCAACTCGAGCCTCGGCGATAGTCAGCAAGTGCTTGTTAAGTGGTTGTCATAACGTCCGACCAGCTCGTTACCGGACCACCCACCAACCCGAATGAGAAGGCCATATTTGAGGGCTCAGTGCAGGAGAGTAGTATTGTCAAGTATTGTCGACTAAGCTTCGTCAGTCCATGACGAAATCGAAGTCCCCTGTTGATTGCTTTCTCTCTCATATATTTTGTTTCACATGTCTTTAAATTCAGACTCTATATTCTACCCAGCAAACAACCTTCCCGAAAAAGTAGAATGTTGTTTGTCTGTCAGTATCCGAACTCTATAACCTTGCTCTAACTATATATTATATCCCATCCCTTTTGTGATTCGTGGCTTCTTCCGAAAGGACCATTTTATTAACCTAGATTTTCGACTCTACCAGACATCCCGGAATCAGTCGATGTATCAATAACAAGAGCAAGAACAAGCGCGACTGCATATATTATGTTGATTGTTGTTTGTCCTCTTCTCACTGGGCCTTACTCTTATCGCTGTTATAGTAATGGGCCATTTCCAAACCGGCCCTTCGGAATCCACATTTTACGTAGAACCCTTCGTTTGCTTCGCTGCAATCGAGGATAGTCTTATAGCAACCGACCTTCTCGGCGATGAAGTCGAGTGCTTGGATTAAGCGAAGACCGAGCTTCTTTCCTTGTTGATCCTTGGCGACGGCGATATCTTCGATATGGCCGACCAGGCCAAGACTATGGATGCTATTAAAGGGGGAGTTTATCGTATTAGCAGTTACTCTTCATTACCTAAGGGAAACAAACTCGCTAGCCCCTTGACTATCCGCTGACCAAATTGTGCATTTCCAATTGGCGGCGGGGTAGGGAACTTCTTACAATTTCCTTTCTACAAGTAGAGCTCCAGTCCCTACAATCTTTCCCCTCGATGTGTCCTCGATGACAAGGACGTAGTACGTGTCTTGTGATGACATCCACTGGTATCTTTCGGCAAACTGCTCTTTGCTAATTTCGCCTACGGTCGTCAGAACACGTAGACAGTCGAGGAAACCCGCATCGTAATCGGACAATCGCAGGGAGCGGGCCGTGTAGCCTTCTGGGAGAGCAGCAGAAACACTGGGAGAGATGAGGTCGGACGAGAAAAGGCCTTGTTCAGCCATTGTGAATCGTGAACAGTGAACAGCGGGTCTGTATTCTGTGTGTCGTCTCGAGTTGGTAGAAAACGAACGTATAAACGATGAGAGAAGTCGAAACGAATAGGTGCAATTCTGGAGTAGAAACAATTGATAATAAACAGATAAAGAAGGGAGGTTGGAGATAACTTCTCTCTTCTTACTTGGCGGTAGGTTGGTAATAAAATAACAAGACCGTCGACGATGAAGAATACGAAGAAATCGGAATCTGGGCTGAGCCTGGAAATTCCCTCTAAGACCCCTGATTAGGTACTTGATTATGTACCTCAGGTACATGTTCTAAGCTAGGGGACTTTTCAGGGTGCTTAGCCTCAATTGATTGGTCCTAAGCCCCTGGTAAAACCCCCAAACGATAGCTAACGATAGCCGGCTGGGACTCCTGCACGGCCTGCATGGGAGCTGAACAGCCGGTACTCACGAAGAGCCTGAGAGCACTAAGAATAGCACTAAGAATAGAAGCCTCAGATGCTACATAGCTTAAATCAGGTGCGGGAATGAGATACATACAGATAGCCTGCAGCAACATACGCATGTTAGGTACCCTCTGGATGTACTATGTAGATGGTCATGACTGCTGATGTCATTCTATTCATTTGAGTTCAAGGTTTGGAAACTCAACCTAGCATTAATAAATCTGGGAATGCATAAAACGTTGGGTTTCCGTATGCGTTTGTGTAACTCAAATTCTCTTTTTTCCAAAGTTCGAGCGAAGATTTCCCCTTTCCCCTTTTCACGTCCCTTGACCACATATAACCCTGCCCTTCATTTGGTCTGTTCATACCCTTATACCCTTATACCCTTATTACATATTTATCCAATCAGCCCGCTAATAAGCCTGGTCTGTAGGATATGCACCATAACGAGGTGTGGCCACGTTCGAGGATAAAATCGCGATTTCGTGCTCGCATTCAACTTATTTTCACTTTATTCACGAGTAAATGACTCGACATGACTCGATTGACGCGACCTTTGAGATGACGTGGACAAGCCTCGGTCCCCTGGTTCCTGCGTCTTCTCTACTGCCTACATATACCTATCGCTTCGCTTCCTAGGTATAATGGAAGATATCGGGAAATCGACAGGGTTGACGGAAGGGAAATGGACGAAGGCGCCTAGGATGCAAACACGTTTCCATCTGTTCGGCATCGAACGTGCCTAAGCACACTACGCATGCAGACATGCAATCAGAAAACCATAAAGTGTTAAGAAACCGTTGGGAACGAATAAGCAACCAGTAACCTGTAACCCGTTCCAGCCTAGCCCGCCTAGCTCGAAACCATGAAGGGCTAGCTCCGTGACGACACTCGAATATGGCCAATGACATCTCGCCCCGACTACAGAGTACCTAAGGTATACATGTACCTTAAAAGGGTAATCCCCGCGTTACATGTAGGTACAATACCAAAGGGCATAGAATTACTGAATGGGTTGTACTGTCACATGTAAGTTTACACTAATAACTTGATACTACTAACGTCAACACTTTTTCCAGGCAGCTCCTTATTCGCTTCAGAATTTATTAGGACCGTGGCCAATCTTTCATGTTCAACTTTCATGTTCAAATCTACAACTTGGATCTCTTCCGTTCGTTTTTATAATTCGTTTCAAGCCCGAGCAGATATGTAATTAATGATAAGCCAACGATTAGCGTACCGTACATACCTCCTATATATATGTGCTGTCTTCGTTATCGTATCGTCAAATTTTGATAATTTTAATATCGACTCGCTACCACTTTTATGCCTTTAACAAACCCCAAGACAATCCTCAGCTTCAGCACAATAGTACGACATATACAACCTATTTATTTTTAATCACTTTTCCTTCTTCCATGTCAGCATGTCGCCAAACATGGAAGTGGACCGTAATGAAGACGAGAGTCAACCCCCCGAAGCTCTCATGCCGTCTTCCGCTGAGCTATTGCCGCCTTCTTCGGGCAGAACTCTCCTACCTAGTCCGATAGCGAGCGCCGTTAGCTTTGCTACGCGATCAACATCCTTTGCTCTCCGCGTTGGTACTTTTATCGGCGGCTATGGTTTAGGCGCCGCAAAGTTCACGACACTTTCCAGCTTAGAGCTCGGTCGCGGCATTCTGGAGGGGATATTGAGTAGAGCCGGGAGGGACGTAATGACAAGGGCCCAGTCCGAGTTGGGTAGAACAGATGCCGAATCTATCCTGGAAAGCAGTCTGGAAAGTTTACACCAGACAATGTCCCAAATCGTCTTCTGGACTGCGACTAGTTTTCACGTCACCGGTACCACCGTATCGATCGCTTCTCAAATCTCTCAGTTGTTTCTGTCTGTTTTAGATCAATTCTTCGGCTCCACCGATTCCTCTAGAGCTATTGCAAGCATCATCACTTTAATCCGTCGGGAATTTCAGAATCCCGCTACGGGTGTACAGGGGGAAAAAGTGGGAGTAATGGACCTTATACTCGGTTTATGCGGCCTTGCATATCTACAAAATTGGTGTAGAAAAATGATACAAGACGAGTCGCGTCGCCTTGGTCAAGAAGAGATTATTTGGGATGTTGTCCTCCTCGACGATGGCGAACGAGTTGACATTGACGGCGAAGACCTGCATATCAATAAACATAACGGAGACCCCGATGTAGACGACCATGAAAACTTGATCGAAGCAGTCGAGCAGCACGGTATCAAGCGGAATAATGACGACGAGGATGAAATGCCCGAAGGCCAACTCAAGCGACACATTTTAAGATCACTTCCCAAAGATGCTCAAGTATCTATTACTACGTCAACAACCACGACAAAGATGATCACTGTTGATATAAAAGGCAGTCCGCGAGTACCAATTTTATCCCTACCTGGGGTTGATTTTGTAAAAAGCGAAGTTGATAGCTCTGGAGATCCCACCGGGAGTCAAGAGACGGTACCCAGCTACAGGGTTGTTTATAAGATAAGCCGAGATAAAGTGAGAAATATGGCCATAGATAGCGACGTCGAGGATGATACTCAGTCCAGGGTCGAAGTGGTTGACGATGAAGAGCTGCGGTCGCCCAATAGTATAGATACTCATCAGTCCGACCAGCCCCCTCCTGTCCCACCAAAAGCTGCACGTTCAACTTTAGCTTCGTCGATGAAGGGAAAGGGCAATGCTAGAAGTGACAATTTGGACTATCAATATAAGTCTACTTCCAGTAACTCGGTCGGGTCGAGTTTCGATTCGCCCAAGGGTCGTGCATCCCCAACCGTTTCTTCTAAGCAGGGTCCTGAGCATGCCGCGAATCAGAAACGTACCAGAAAGCCATTAGATGATACTCGACAAAGTCCTCACAGCGCCCTCCCTGTTCCGACTTCGCCAACTAGTAGTAAATATCCAACCAAGAAACTTAGCTCGCCACCAAACTTGAAGGGTAATGAAAAGAGGAGTGGTATTCGAGATGTGCTTAGGAAGGGCTCGGTTTTATTGAACAGGGACTCGAGCTCGGAGAATCTTCAAACAAATAACAAATCAAAAGCAATAGTGAAACCTCCTTGGGGTAGCAACAAGCCTTCACAAAGTAGTAAGGCGCCAGTATCACATAGAAGAGACTATCCAGAAAGGAGCTCAAATCTGATACCACATCGCGAGCTTCCTCGATCACCACGCCGAGGGAGCCCGAACCACTTTTCCTCAAGAGACCTAGGCGATGGTGAGGGTACCTCCGCTTTGCACGGATCACCATTGCGAGCAACATACGTATCGTCACAAGGCAGGAGGCGTAACTCGATTGTTTCTTTAGCTGATACCTTCTCGGTACACTCATTTGAAAGCCGACCATCGTCTCCTTTATTTCAACGAAACGATCCCAGAGGTCATAATAGTATATCGGGACATGATATGGGTACGCAACATCTTCGCTCGCCATCAAGGGGTCATAAAAGGACGACGTCAGAACATCGTGGTTTTCACAGCCCAAGCATATATACTCTCAAGACTAGAGATTCTCAAATGTCCTTAGCCTTATCCACGTTCCAGCAGAGAAGCGCATACAGCAATTCAGAAGCTGTCGATACTCTGCGGCGTACGGGAACAGTTGAGGGAATGTTCCCCAACTTTCATATCCTAAGAAACATTACCCGATATAGTCGTTATGCATCTGCTTCGTATGGGTCACACTTTTTAAAAATGATGGGCATCGCAAAAGAGCTTCCCATCTTAAAAGCGTTGGACGAAACGCATCAAGATGTGCGCTCGTTCGCGCATCATACCGAGCTCCCGCCGGACAGCATTCTCCTGTCGTCATTTATTGACCCACAAGGCGGATCTGATTCCACTGGGTCTACAGACACAGGGGTGCCTCTCGTGCATACCATTGCAATCGATGAAGAGTCCAAGGCTGTTGTCTTGTCGTGCCGCGGTACGTTGGGGTTTGAAGATGTTTTAGCAGATATGATGTGCGAGTACGATGACATGTTCTGGCGTGGGAAGCCGTATAAAGTCCACAAGGGTATCCATGCGTCTGCGCGGCGACTTCTATATGGGGGTGATGGAAGGGTACTCGCAACACTGAAAGAAGCTCTTGAGGAGTTTTCAGACTATGGTTTGGTGCTTTGTGGTCATTCACTTGGTGGTGCCGTAACCGCGCTGCTTGGGGCTATGCTTGCTGAGCCTGCTTCCAGTGGAACAGCATTTGTCACTTCAGCTGAACCTCATCAGAGACTACTTGCAAGTGGGCAGTCCCAGCAAACCGCCTCCCATATATGTCTCCCGCCCGGTAGGCCTATTCATGTATATGCATATGGCCCACCTTCTACCATGTCCCCATCCTTACAAAAAGCGACAAGGGGTTTGATTACTAGTACGGTACACGGAAATGACCTTGTTCCATACTTGTCGCTTGGTGTCCTGCACGACTTCCAGGCTGTGGCGCTGGCATTCAAGACTGACAATAGCGAGGCGAAGGCAGAAGTGCGGCGGCGAATCTGGGAGGGACTACAGTCGGGTCTAGCTAGTAAATGGTACAACAACGGTTCGACGCGGTCGCACGAAGAAGAAGATAAATGGGCATACGCTGCGCTTAAGACGTTACGCGCCAGTATGATGAGTTCTAAGCTACTACCTCCCGGTGAGGTCTTCTCTATTGAGAGCACGCCAGCCCTTAGAAGAGACGCTTTCTTGCAAGCTGGCACTGATCAGGTCGGGCGACCTGCAACTCGAGTCGTGTTTAAATATATCAGAGATGTGGAGGCTCGGTTTAGAGAAGTTAGATTTGGTTCTAGCATGTTGCTAGATCACAGCCCTGGACGGTATGAAGGTGCTCTTCGCCGGCTCACATTGGGTGTTATGGATGGATGAAACGACTGGTTAGTTAAAGTGAGCATGTAAGATACCTCCTGGATTAGATAAAGACGGTACCACATCTTATGTGCCAAGGTAGAAATAACTTATGTTAAATATATACGCAACACTCGCGTAGGAAATTGAGGATATGTTATGAAACGTAGTCGCTTGTTTCTCGGTCCAAATCCCCGGATGCCTGTCTATGATAGATGGGGCGTAGTTCGGGATGCTAACCCAAGTAATCCGAGCTAGAACCTCGGCGCTCGATAACATCTGAATAGTATTACTGCGAAGAGGAATGTCGTATACGTCAAGTGGGACGGAGCTAAAGTAGGCGGACGGGCGGTTAAATAGGGATAAATTGGAAGAAGACGGACGTCCATTCCGCCGGGATGAGAGAAGAGCGATCGTCACCAGTGCTTATATGTGCTGGATGAAACCGCACAGCACAAAACAAGTTAAGTATAAGTTCATCTATATTTCAGATTCGTATCTATGTAATGTTGGACGGTAAACCTAGCAATAGTCCACAGACAGACCCCTCAACACCAAGAATCCTCTCCACTTCCCCATCCTCCTCGGGGTATCAGAACCCCGCAGAGCATCGTGAATAGAACGTGGTCAAGTATTAAAGGCCAACTACTTGCACAATAGTTTTATATACCCTCCTACCGAGCTACAGGACTCGAGTTGAACACGAGGAAGATTTCGGGTTAAAATATATCTACAGAACCAAGATGTCGCCGCCCCTAATAACACACCTTTACACCGCGGATCCTTCCGCCCACGTCTTCGACGGGAAGCTATACATCTACCCGTCCCATGACCGTGAGACTGATATCCAATTCAACGATAATGGCGATCAGTATGACATGGCCGACTACCACGTCTTCTCGCTCGACTCTCTCGACGCCTACGCATCATCCCCTTCTTCCGCGTCTGCAGAGCCACCTAAAGTAACGGACCATGGTGTCGTGCTACGTACAGAAGACGTCCCATGGGTTAGTAAACAATTATGGGCGCCCGATGCAGCCCGTCGTAAGGGCAAATACTACTTGTACTTCCCAGCGCGTGATAAGAATTCGGTATTCCGTATCGGTGTCGCAAGCGGTAACACCCCTATTGGTCCTTTTGTCCCGGAGCCAGAACCTATCCCGGGCAGCTTCAGTATTGACCCTGCGTCTTTCGTGGACGACGATGCGGACGAGTCCGCATATTTGTACTTCGGCGGCCTATGGGGCGGACAGCTACAATGCTATCAGAAGGGCAACGGACCCGAGCACTTCGACGCAGAATGGCTCGGGCCAAAAGAGCCTTCAGGGCCAGGGGCTAAGGCTCTGTTCCCCAAAGTAGCGAAACTAGCAGACGACATGCGATCATTCGAGGGACCCGTGCGAGATGTTGTCATTCTAGCACCGGAAACCGGCGAGCCAATTGACGCAGACGACCACGACAGACGGTTTTTCGAGGCTGCGTGGATGCATAAACGCGGGGACGTTTACTATTTTAGTTATTCGACAGGAGACACGCACTACCTGGCATACGCGACGGGATCAAGCCCGCTCGGACCATTTACATACGCGGGGCGCCTGCTCGAGCCGGTGCTGGGCTGGACGACGCACCATTCGGTGGTCGAATTCCAGGGCCGCTGGTGGCTGTTCCACCACGACTGCGAGCTTAGCAAGGGCGTGAACCATTTAAGATCTGTGAAGGTGAAGGAGATTTTCTATGACAAGGACGGGAAGATAGTAGGGGAGAAGCCTGCGGAGTGAGGTGAGCTTTGGAAGGTTGGTTTGTTACTTTATATTGAAGCTGGAAAGACGGGAAACTACATGAGATATCTGCTCGTAGGTTAGGTACCGTATATAATAATAACAAGTACTTTAAAGCGCCGATATGAGCTAAGGAATTACTCAATATACAGCGACGACATCCCTTGTTATAAATCGATTAATCTGTCTGTGTTTTACTACGATGGCGGCTGTTAATTTCTTTAAACATAATAGTACTACACGCTGACCATAGCGAATATGAGATGGAGATGCATCAGCACTGAGCTCAACTGCCGTAGGTACTGACTTCGTGTATCTACATGTAAGCAACCCTCCCTGAAGACCTAGGTAGAGATGACAAGCGATTGTCTTTGTCACGCTCCTCTACAATATCTATCCGGACATACCATACTTTACGCCGAGTTAAACTCGCGTTGGGAATAATTTCCAAAGTGTGGTTAAGGGGGCAGCTCACCCCTCATGACGACGGAGGCGATCTACCGATATTGGAGACGATTTTTATCCCCAAAACATTCCAAGTACCGGTAAGGATTACGATGAGGGGCAAGTTCCCTTGCCAATATATGTTCTTACCTACGAATCGCATTGATTGGTTTTATAACAGATGCTATGAATGTGGCCTAGATACATAGTCCCTAAGCGGTAGTAGAGGCTGGATTCAAGTCGTAAACGCGTATAGCAACTACTAACAATGTATGGGAGCATATATATATATACCTTATATATAAGGGCTACCGTTTATCGCTTCGGATGATACCTAACTAAGGAGTCGCGAGTATTGAAATTAGAACACCCAGTGTCTTCCGTATCGTAGGCGAAATCATGGGCATCAGTAGCCAGCGCAACAATGGCTTCCGAGAAAACCGGAAATGTGCTCTCATCTGTTTGGGCATGGCCTTCGCGACCGCCCAATATGGCTTTGACGTGTCCGCCATAGGAACATTCCAGACCATGCCTGGCTTCTTGATGACTTTTGGATACCGAGATCCAGCGCTGAAGGGGGGCTGGGGCATCTCTACGACCGACCAACAGCTGATCGCATCATTCTTGAACGTGGAAACTATAGTCGGCGTTTTCTTCATTACACCGTTTGGTCGCTATTTTGGTCGCAGGCATGGGATATGGATGGGCGCCGTTATCGCTTTCGCCGGATGTGCTACTCAGATAGCGGCCACCTCGATCGCCACCTTGTGTGTCGGGAGGGCATTAATGGGAGCTTCAAATGCCTTCTTTATTACCTTTTCTAACGCATACATCGTCGAGTGCGCGCCTCCGCGGCTACGTGCAGTTTGCTCCGCTATGTTCGCCGTCACTATCAACATTGGAACTATCCTCGGGGCTATCGTCGACGAAAGGACATCTCATATTATGGGCAAGCTTTCCTACCAGATCGCCCTGGCCTGCCTTTTTATATTTCCTACATTGCTAAGTATATTCGTATTCTTCGTTGCAGAATCCCCTCGGTGGTTGGTACTTCATGACCGCCGCGAGAAGGCTGAGAAGTCGCTCGCTTTTCTTCGCGGCGATTCTCTCGATCTAGAGTTTCTCCAGGAAGAGTTTGTTGAAATCCTCCGGGGGGTAGAGGAAGAGAAGTCGAATGCGTCTGGATCTAACATAATCGATATCTTCAAGGGTACTAATCTACGTCGTACGATGCTTTGTATGGCTGTTGCGGTTTCACGCGCTTCTTCAGGCGTATGGGTATTCTTGTCTTACGGTGTAAGCCTCCTGTCTCCCCGATGCGCTGCTCGCCTTGCGTCGTCTAACGTTACTCCAAGACCTACTTTTACCAGCAAGCCGGAGTCGATGATGTCTTTAAAATTAGTATCTACTCTATGGTAGTTCAGCTTGTCGGCGTCGCAGCCGGTTTGTACTGCGCATACAAAGTCTGGGGTCGTCGTACCATGCTTCTTATAGGGACCGGTTCGGCGGTCATAGCTATGGTCGGACCAGCAATAGGGGCCACAATCGCGCCCAGCACACCAGGAGCTGCAAGAGTATTCCTCGCTTTTAACTTCTTTTACGTTATTACATACAGCGGTTTCGCTGGCTCAATGACGTGGCCTATATCGGCGGAAGTGGTGAGCTCGAGATTGCGGGTGCTCACGTTATCCTTTGCCACCGGTGTAGATTATGTATTTGCTTGTAAGTTGTCTTGCCTCGTGGCGTAGTGTGACATGGCATTGCGGATTGTATAACATGAACAACTAGGCTGACCGAAAATATAGGGTTAATCTCGTTTTGCTCGCCGTACTTTATTAATCCCACCGCCTTGAATTGGGGTGCCAAGTATTGCTGGATATGGGCGGCGTCTAATGTCTTAACCTTCGGTGAGGATCCTAGCACATATGAGGCTTAAGATATTCGCTTGCTAATTGGCTGTTCAGCCTTCTTCTGGCTATTCTTACCAGATATGAAAGGCAGGTCCTTAGAGGAGATTGACGAATTATTCGAGAAGCGAGTGCCCACTCGAGACTTTCCCACGTTTAAGTGCCAGTCTTCCACTCAGGCTCACGATATTGCTTTGCATAAGATGGAAGAAGCTAGGGTAGCGGTTACGCAAGTTGAGAGAGCAGGCTAAAAGTTATAATACAATGAGTTATTTTTTGGACAGAGATAGGTATATTCCAGATCTATCTATTCCTTCGAAAATACAATCGACAATCCAAGGTACCTTATTAAGTATCATGTCAAATTTGTATATAAAAACGAGATATATATACGACATTAGTTCTGCCTGCCTTAGGTAGGTACCCGAGTTATCTACCTCTATATATCGAAATTAAGCCTCGGGATGAGGTTTTCGAATTAAAGTCATTGGTGGACATAGTAGTATGAAAGCTGAGGGATATAATCACAGCAACTAGACCTTTGATTACTGCAGTAGGTAACCATTTTAGGTTCCGAATAGTACAATTATACAATTGTAGCTAACAACCCCTTGAAAGATGCCACGGCATATAGTACGGCTACGGAGCGGGAGAAGCTCACACATATGCAAGCAATGCAGTTTTTCGGTGTGTAGTCCTGATTTAAGGCGAGGCCTGCATGTCCTCATGGCCATTCCATGTGATAGGGTTAATATACCAGGGGCTTGGCCCCAAATGTAACCCACCCAGAACTAGAACAAATGGGATTTCCCAAGATCGGGCTTCGCATTATCTATAACCTACGTATAACCTACATACAACTTACATCTGCAGGTGATTTGCATTAGTGTCAGTCGTATGTCGCACCCGCCAGAAGGGTGTAATGCCTGTATCCGCCTAGATGCCGAGCCGTTGGCAACCCAACCGCATGTAGGCTGGCACCTATCACGATAGGGCAGCGGGAGCGTCATATGAGTCGAACCAATGTCAGATGACGATGCGATCTAAGTCTTCTGCATGTGGATTGGTGTGGGATGTTCCAACGTGTCGTAGACGGACAGGTTAACATACGCGGGGCTGTTCCCGTATGACGGGTCGTCGATAAAATCCCAAACGATCGCCCCCCTTGGGACCCAGTTCCAAAGTAATGCTTCTCCAAGACTGGGTCGTGATTCTTGGATCCGATTCGTGATACCAAAGTCTGGGGCCATCTTTATGCTTCCGAAATGTCCGCGAACTCTACAGCATTAGCAGTTACCGCGGGTCCAGAGTATTCGAGTGTCATAAGGAGACAAGTCACGTTGACGCAGACTATAACATACCCGGATGCGACATCTACCGCCGTCGTAACTCTCGACCGAGGTGCCACACCGACCGATACTCCGGCTCCGAGCTGGAACGCGGGCGCCGCTTCATCCGACGGTCTCAGTCAACAACAGATTGGCATCATCATAGGGTGTTGCATCGGGGCTGCCGTTCTCGGGATAGTCTTATGGTGCTGCTGTACGAATAGGTGCGGTTGTAGGCCTTACAGCGTCTATAACAACGGCGAGAACGATGTCATCTACTTTTCGGATGATATGGAAGAGGTTACTATTGCCCAGCCGCAAAGAAGCTACTGGCCAAGTTTCCCTCGATCGATATCCCCACCGGCTACCCCGACCTATGTCGCAACGGACACCGGTCCTCAGTGGACGGCGTACGAGGCATCGAGAAGATATCGATCAAGCTATTACGAGGGCTAAAGAACATCGTGACTTTTCGGAGACTTCATTAAAGTCGTTAATGTCCAACTGGTTGCCTGTCATAGTGTTTCTGCCTAAAGTAAAAGACCTACTTACGGGTTCTGGTCTGCTTTACTGGTGGACTATCACGTCACGAATTTCTTTCGTACAGCCTCCAGGCGAACACAGTTAAGGTAAAGCAACCCACAGGCCCCCCCGAACTCTTCCTTTGACGCTAGAGAGCTGACATGATGTAGGGGCTAGTGCGCATACTTTGGATTTTAAATATTAAATAATTTGGACTTTTATTTCTTGGTGCAGGATGATACCCTTTTCAAAGCTTGATGCTATGGCAAGCATTTATGATTGTGGGAAAAGCCTGTGTATGAGCTTGGTGGATTCAACCGCATATATAGGGGCTACGACTGCTAGACAAATATATACCCACATTCCTAAATTTATCGTATACCTACATCTTCAAAAGCACGTTAGAGGTTTATTCAGATACGCCAATTCATTCGTATTAATAGTAGGAACGACACTACAATATCACAACCATATACTTTGCCCACCACCAACCTACTTTCTGGGAAGAACTTCGCTACAGAGCAAGTAACTTAGCCGTGCTATGAAAATACAACATGATGGAGTTGCCGTAACCTACTGTGTAGGTAATATAAGTACGAAGAAACCGAAAATACTAGGTAGTATTTTCGGTTTCTTCGTACTTATATTCGTATCCTAAATGCAACTCCCCGCAACTTGATATTACATTCAACATGGGTCGACATCTATTATCCGCCAGTATGGGATCGTTCAATTCCCACACGAATAAGATAACTTTAGGTACCTCGCCTACATACACGGAGCCTCGATCGTTACGTATTACGAGTTAGGTAGCATTAAAGGGGAAAATAGAACTGAACAAGAAATTATCCGTACGATCTCAACTTACGAGGTCGGTAGGTCCCAGCTTCTCTACGCGGGTAATGTGGGCACCCCAGATAGGGAGGCCACCTGCTGGCCTGCCTTTTCTAAAGTCGCTGGTGAGGGGATGGGTGAAAGGGGAGCATTTGAGGAGAAATGTACGAATAAAGTACAGGGTATGGGAGGAATACAAGGGAGAAAGGAGAGGAAAGGAATGGTATCAAAAAGGAGGGCTAAATGTGGACAGCGACCGATAGAATAGGACAAGGTACACAAATAAAAGACTTTATGCTCGAGAATTTAGGATATATAAGGAGGCAATTACTTATAACTCATTGAACTTCCATTGCTTTCTACCATCAACTAAACCAATGATGCAACTATTTGGCCAACGCCCTTTTCTGGCTGTAGTAACCGGGGTTGGGACTATATCTAATGTATTTGCAACCACACTACAAACCTCAACTAGTAATGTGTTATCTACAGCCTTTCCATGGCCGCCGTATGCGGACCTAGAGTACGCCACGGCTCTGCCGGAGCCATCTAAAACGATAACGTATGCGCGGCCTTACTCGGAACTTGGATCACTCGCCGGACCTCAGAGAACGACAACGTGGGCGAGCGTAGCTAATCCACTCGACCCAGACGATGAGTTTGGCAATGTCGCTTGGTCGTCTCTTTGGGCCCCCTTTTCCGTGGACCCCCCTCCATTTACAACAACAGTTACGCCAACGCCGATCCCAAGCTCTCAGCTTATAAAGCCGACGCCTCTACCTTTCTCGATCGGCAAGGGCGAAACAGATGAGTTCAAGTTTCCAGAAGACTTTGAATGGGGGTTTGCCGGAGCCGCCATGCAGGTCGAAGGTGCGACTAAGACTGAAGGAAGAGGTCCCTCGATTAATGAATTCATAATCGGCCGTGGCCGACCGGTCGCCGGTTCTGGCCCACCAGATATTGCAGTGTTGAATTATTTTTTATATAAGCAGGACATCGCAAGACTCGCTGCCTTGGGAGTCAAGTCATATAGCTTCAGTATCGCTTGGTCGAGGATCCTCCCGTTTGGGCATCCTGGCTCGCCGGTAAATCAAGAAGCAATTTCCCACTATGACGACCTTATCAATACGATCCTAGAATACGGCATGGAACCCATTGTCACCTTAAATCACTTCGATACGCCGTTGTATTACTATAACATCGCTTCTTGGCAGTTAGTTGCATCGGCCCACGCCGGCCTCAGTTCCATATATACACGCTGACTTAACTTTTAGAGGATACGAGCACCCCGAGTTTGTCGAAGGATTTTTTAACTATGCAAAGATTGTATTAACGCACTATTCTGATCGAGTTGGTACCTGGATAACTTTTAACGAGCCGAACGTGGACGCCGCCGCGGCCAAGAATTGGAATGCGAGCTACCATATTGTGATGGCTCACGCCAAAACAGTTCATTTCTATCGAGACCAAATTAAAGGGAATGCTAGATGGGGCATCAAGCTAGCCTTTCCTTCTGGATTCCCACTTCCACTAGACCCCCAAAATCCGGACGATGTTGCACTCACCGAGAGACAGCTGGATTTTTCTATCGGTTATATCGCGAACCCACTATACCTCGGGATCCAAACTCCTTCTAGCGTCATCGAAGCGTTGAAATCCCGTGCGCCTAGATATACCGAAGAGGAACTACAGTATATCAATGGTACTGCAGATTTCTTCGCCGTGGATATATACACTGCGAATTATATCACTGCCCTAGATGAAGGGACGGAGGCATGTATTGAATATAGCTCACATCCGCAGTACCCAGCCTGTACAAATATTACGTCGGTGCGAGCAAACTGGCAAATGGGGGCCGAAAGTAATGGGGCTTCCTATGTAAGCAGAAATATCCTCGTAAGATGAAATACATGTTAACGATTTTCTCTTAGACCTGGTACCAGCATGCCCGTACTATATTTAAGTACTTGCATACGAAATATCCGACTGCTGATGGCATCACCATTGCTGAATTTGGATGGGCTACTTTTCATGAAGCCGAGATGTCTCAAAATCAAGCACGAGCGGATCTCGCGTCAACACTTCTTTACCTGCCAATTCTAAACGAGATACTGAAATCCATTTACGAAGATGGCGTGAAATTTAAAGGTGCATTCGGTTGGGCTTACGTTGATAATTGGGAATGGGGCGAATATAATGATCACTTTGGGGTCCAAACATTCGACAACGTAACACTTGTGCGTGCGTATAAACGATCCATATTTGATTTCGTCGACTTTATCAAGGCACATAGTGAGACTTAGTATAGAAAGAAACTAGGGTGGACTAAGCATGTTCCCTTGACTATTATAAGTCTACGAGATATTTGGTGTTATTTAAGACAATACAAACTTGATGCTGGACATGGACAATACTTTATGCACATGAGATTGTTATAGTATGTACGCACATCACGTCTTATATTTAGATCTACCAATATGTCTTGCCCTCAGTCCTTAACTTCTATAAACCTAGGTTCAGATCTAGTATAGACTGTACAGTATCCCTGACGCTTTTATCGAAAGACGTGTATTCCATTTCCAAGACTCGTTTAGACTTGCTGTTATCGAAACCATAGACTTGATCAGGGAAGTCATCCGGTATGTCTCTGGGCGGAAGGCGTGCTTCAAACTCTGGATATGACTTGCGGATCGAGTCAGCAATCCGCTTATTCGAGAAATGACTGCCTACGATGTAAAAACGGTTTCCACCAGCCTCTGGCACAGTTACGGCCTTGAGATGTGCACGAGCCACATCACGGACATCAACGAAGGTGAAGACTGGCGCCGTGGGAGGCATATCTTTCTTCATCTTTCCCTGTAGCATATCCCGGATACGATGGTTAGACGCGTTCATGACGTCCAAACTCGGAAGGTTGCGTTGCACAGGGCCGAACGTGTAAGTATTGTTAATGACAACGAGGTCAAATTTCGGCTTCTCGGTCTCCATAAAGGCCCACGCAGCTTTTGAGGAAAGCGTCTAAATTCGATTTTAGTTAATGACTCTGATGATAATGATAGGCCTATATGCTATACCTTGCTGACTATATAAGCTCTGTTAGGATCCTTGGCGTCCTCTAAGGTCCACGGAGCCCAACATGTCTCATCATATACCTTTGGGTGGTTGAGAGGGTTAATCATTGCTGCGCTAGAAGACGTAATTACTACGCGCTTTACGGTAGGCGCGTGCGCTGCAACCGACTTCAGAATTCCCGTTGTCCCCTTAATTGCTGGGTCTAAAAAGTCCTTAATCGGATCCTGAACATTGAAATGGTAAGGGGAAGCAGTATGGACAACATAGTCAAAGGTTGTTCCTTGAGTAAATGCCTATAATAGACTATCAGATGTTTCTTTTCTATACTTTGATATGGATTCTCTCAAAACATACGGGGTCAAAAGCGTTCTCCTTTGCAACATCTTCTATGATGATGTAAGAGAGCTTGTTGCGCTGAGCAGGGCTGGCTGATTCTACAATCCTGCGACCCTTTTCATCCGATCTAGCTGTCGTGACAACTCTGAACCTGTATAACGAGTAAGCATGCGGAGTATTAGAGTGAGAAAGAAATAATACCCATTATCCAAAAGTTCGTCGATGATATGAGATGCAATGAACCCACTCCCCCCTAAAACGAATCAATCCATCAGATTACCTGCCTGTATAGGTCTCTAAAGTGTGTATTTAACGATGAAAGATGGTCAGGGTTAACTTACCTGTCACCAGTACTACTCCTTTCGTTGGCCCAATAGTATTGTCCATTTCCTTCATATATAGGGTATAGATACTGCGAAATGAAAATTAATTTTCGTGTAATTGATTAGCTACCTCTACCTGTCATACGACGATGTAAAGCGCCTACATAAATAATTTGGCAAAGGGGGGTTATCCGCCTTCCGTCACGCCCCCTCCGGTGTTCCGATGCATCTACCCCAATCAACGCCGAAAGACGCAGTGTGAAATTGGTTCTCGTATCAAACACCTATAATAACCATTGGAACACTGTGGCTGCTTTGAGACATCGCCCAGTCAAGCCTCCTATTCCTTTATTGGATACTGAGGGTTGGAACTGGCGGTATCCCCTATCTTAAGCCCGGATATGTTTCTTCTTCCTCGTAGTCTGTAGATCACACGGCATTAAACACTTTTACACAAACTTTGACGATAGACTGTTGCCGTAATGTCAGCACCAAGAGACACGAAGCGCATCCATGTTGCCATAATTGGGGGTGGCATCACGGGGGTTATATTAGCATTGGGCCTACAGAAACGAGGTGTTGACTACATTCTTTATGAGAGAGCATCAGCGTTCATGGAAATTGGAGCCGGTATCGGCTTTAGTCCTAACGCAGAGCGTGCTTTGACAGTCGTTGACCCTGAGGTACACCGCATCTACAAACAAGTCACACCGCCAACTAGCGGCGAGGAATACTTCCAATGGATTAATGGCAAAACGAACGAGCTTGAAGCAAGACTCTTAATCGGCGTCGACTGTTTTCGGGGAGGTCGACGTTCCGACTTCCTGGAGGCATGGTCCAACTTGATTGATAAACATAGGGTCAAGTTTGGGAAGTCGATAGTGTCGGCTACCCAAAACGATGACGGCAAGGTTTCGTTGCAATTTGGAGATGGAACTATCGAGAAAACTGACATCGGTAACGACTTTCCAAGAAATTCTCTAGCGATCGATGCTAACAAGAATTCGTAGTTATTGGCTGCGATGGCATCCGTTCACGGGTCCGCCAACTCATATTGGGAGAAGAAAATCCTGCATCCTATCCCTCTTATACCAATAAATATTGTTTTCGGGCTCTGGTTCCTATGGATAAGGCTCGGGCAGCATTGGGAGAGGAGAGGACTACGGGCGCAGAGAGCTCAATGAATAGGCTCATGTACAACGGTCCAGGAGCGCATGTTATTCACTACCCCGTTGCGAAAGGACAATTCATGAATATATTGCTCGTCATGACTGACCCAAACCCTTGGCGTACCAGCGAGGACAAACACACGGCCCCGGGAAGTAAGGCGGACGCTATTCGCGCATACGCGGACTGGCATCCATTTGTGAGAGCAATAATAGACTTGCTACCTGACGAATTACAGAAGTGGGCTATCTTCGACATGTTTGAGCATCCAGCACCACACTACAATCTCGGCTGTATGGCCATTGCAGGGGACGCGGCTCACGCCGCTGGTCCTCATCTCGGCTCGGGTGCTGGCTTCGGAATAGAGGATTCTCTAGTTCTAGCAAGCCTGCTTGAAGCCGTCAACACAAAGCTTGAGGGCCAGACCAACAAGGCAAAGGTCGATCTATGCCGTGCTGCTCTCGTTGCATATAATAATGTTATATACGATCGTACTCAGTGGCTCGTTGGCGCTACCCGGGAGGCTAGTGCGTTGTTTCAATGGCAATATAAGAACGTAGGCGATGACTTTGGGAAGTTCCTCCCCGAAATAAGCAAACGATATCATAAAATATGGGATAACGATGTTGTCGAGATGGTCAGAGAAGCGCTGGTGGAATTTGATCAAACATTAGATGAAAACCCAGATGAGAAGACATCGCTCCCAAATTGAGTTGAAATCAAGAAGGCTATCAGGTATTCACCATAAAACCATCTGCAAACCATCTGCATTAGAAAACTTACTATCACTACAATTCAGCGATTGAGTTAACTTGAAAATGTCCAATTCATTCACCATATCTCTATAACTACCTAGGGTATCACAAAGTATAGCTCTTAATATAAATACTACACTCGGTAGGCCATATGCTATATACGTGCCTCAAATTTTTCGTAAGGATTCCCCAAAGCCGTAACTTGCTAAACCTGCTGTAAAAACACTAAAGATTCAATATCCCCCTAGTTGATGGACTGCTCTTTTCCTACCACAGCGTTGCTTTCAAGATAAGTATAAGTACCACGGGTTGATGTCGAGGCTTATCTGGAGTAGAAGAGCTAAGTACCTAAGGTAAGGGATCAAGGACGAGATTGTGGCGCTGGGAGAATATCATCATTATCGGATATCGCTGTAGTAAATGGTGGTGTCGGATTATGATGCACGCCGGGCGCAGTCGTTTTAAGGGCGATCCCTTCGTCCATCTTTATCCAAGAGTCTCTTTCCAGACGCTCTGGCCGACTTAGCGGTTCATCACTGGCATAACCAGGTGTACTTCTATGTCCAGACCTCTTCCGCCGAGCAACACGCAGAGAGCCGTAGATGGTCGGTGCATTTGCAACAAAACACGAGACAAACATCTGAACTGACGCCCATAAGCTCCGTGTGGTTTGAGAAGAGTCCTCGTTGAATATTAAGACTACCCTGATTATGGTGATAACAATACAGAATGTGCCAAGCGCAAATAGGGAGTAGAGGGAAATATATTCCGATAAAGTCCGTTTCCTTAGGCAAATTAAGGGGTACGCGATGAAGAGAAGCAAGAGATCGATGACGATGTTGGCGATTCCCTGCATAAGCAACTGGACGTAAGCTCGCACACAGTGCCCTGGGTTGGGGTTAATTTGCCAGTATAAGCTGATCGGACGGCATTCAAGGAACGTTGCTAGTACGATGGCGATGAAGGTTAAGACCGCGGTGACCCAAGCTGTCTTGGTAAGACGATCTGCCCATGTTATTCCCGAGGTTATTCTCGAATAGAACAAGAGCAGAAGGCATATCTGAAGCCACAAGCCTACTGTAAGAAGGACTCTAGCTATCAAGACAAGAATGCTTCCAGTTTCTAAGCGACTTGTATCGTGATGATCGGAAAAGTGCGGGTCGTGCAAAACTTCGTTGGTCGTTCCAAATGTCAGGTAAAAGTAGTTGACAATGATCCTCCCAATAATCGCCAGTATCGACAGCACGACGAAGACAAAACTGAGGTCGGCAGGTTCGCGTCGCCATCGAGATATGATTACTCGACTGATTAAGATGATAACCGACAATGCCGCGCACGCATAACCGACATTCTGGGCTTCGCACGAATCGTACTGCATCGTGTCATGTTTTCCGGAAGCAGTTGCTCTAAAGCAGCTTAATTATTATGAATACATCGTATTGGTAAAGGCACGCAGTGCCACGTTCCTGGGGGCGAGCACTTATATTGAGCAGTTGAAGAACAACCCCGACTCTAGACGTAGAAGGCTTAGAGTGAGATGGTGAGATAAAGAACTAGGTTACAGTCCTTTATACCTACAGTTCTTTATAACCCCAGGCCTCTCCGCATGAACATCCGCATGAACAATGACGAGCTAAAATTATCAACAGCGTTAAACTCGAGCCATTCTGACTAATTTTTGGTCGAGCCTAGTCAAATCCATGTCCACCCTCAAGAGAGCCGTTCTCAAGGCTAACTACTAGTCTTATTAGTATAGGTAGGTACCTAATGTATTGTCGGAACTGAATGCAACCGAAGCAGCATAAGGTAGAGAATAAAGACAGTACCCTTGTTCGATCCATAGTGTCGGAGCCCGGGGGCGAAAGGAACATACAAGGTATTCTGCGACTCACATGTACGCCATCGAGGATCACGGAAGTCATCATGAGTGTGGAGACGATGATGAATCCTACCTCTACTGGTCGGATAGGGCAACTCACGCTGACCTCTATGCATGCTGTTAGCTCTTCGCAATCGCTGATTGGAACCAGACATGCTCTTCTTACCACTAGAGGCGGTCTATAAGTAGGTAAATTCTAGCAATCTTAGGTCATCCCAGCCATACATGAAGGAAAATCTCTTCGTCAGCATTCGTACTCTACCAGTCTATTAGTCTGGAAGGTCGGGGAAGAGCTGAGCGAAGGTAGTGGTGGCTGGACAAGCTAAAAAAAAAAAAAGCAAATACGACGCTGGTCAGGGGCTGTTCACCCCCTGACGCTGAATAGGTACATCGTCTATTCCCCAAAGTCCAACTATGCCTGCTAGCCTCATGCTAGGGGAACGTAGCCGAAATACCGGGCTCGCTAAATAAGTTAGATTTCCTAGCAACATGATACTATTAACTTTCGATGTCTTCGCTTCTCACATCGTAGGAAAGATATAGTCTTAAGAGTTTTACAAGCATTTTACATATCAGAATAACGGTTAACCTCCCCCTGAGACCGTAACCCTGATTTTGAAAAACTGATCAGCTCATAGCCCAAGCTCTGGGTATAAGGTAAACCCCATTTAAAACCTAAGAATACTTTTATGACGAAAAAAAAAAACACACACAAGAATTAACATTCGTCTCGCCATATTTCGCTTCGAATAGCTTTCTAATTTGACCGTAAGGTCTAAATTTTAGATCGTTTCGCATTATCCCGGAGATTTCGGAGTCCGTCACGAACTTCGACTAAGACATATACTACTCTACTTCAGCCCAATGTTCTTAATGCCTTATAAAGCTAGGCGACTATTTTGTGTCTTTCACTAATATCTATCGGAACTAGCCGTGATCGTTGAAGTTACTTTCGACATATTTTTAAGGGGCAGCGATATTTACAAGATTCAAACTAGGGAACGAGAACAGATGTACCGTCATCATAAATCTTCAGTCCCTACATGCACTTTTTATCCCTCGATACACGATATAATCTAATATGCAAGGTTGTGGTTTGAATATCCAAGCATCAAATTTCAACACATATTTATTCTCTAACTACCTTTAAAAATAATACACTACTCGTGGCGAAGACCTACCTAAGGTAGAATATTTACATACCCCATCCAACTACCCATTTTCCTGTATAAATAACCCCTGTTGACAAGCGATATAGTCTTAGTAAACGGTTAGGAAGTACCTGTGTCTGAATTATCAGTGATAAAGAAAGCGGCCTGAGGGTATATGCCTTTCTAAGGCTGGGAGGCACAAAGTCATTCCATACCACACAATAGATCTACTTCGGGGATCTACGTGGTTTACGTTAACTTTCTTTGTTAATACAGGATTTAATACATAAATCACATGGCTTGACACCTCCTTTGACAAAATGATACGTACAGCCGCACTTACAACCGCACTGAAACAGCGGCTTACAATGACCACACCGGCGATGCCCGCAACCATAAGGCCCATCGCACTTCATAGCGGCACCAGGTGTGGAAAGCATGCGAGAGCAATTATGGCAACGCCAGTGGAGTATTGGCGCGGTCCTACGAGGTTGTAGATAAGAATCTGCCTGTGAGACCGGATCACATTCTCTTTGACACGTATTACAAAGTGCACTACCCGGCTTTCCATGAGTAAGCTCGAGGCAGTTGTGCTTGCGACATCCGCATTCGATAAACACTTTCGTGTCGGGATTTCGCATACAGTTACACCGCGAGCATATCCATCCGAGTTGCTTGGAGGCACCACAGTTACTACACTGGAAGGGTCTGGCCAGACACAACAAACCACAACTCTCCTGAAGGTCGGGTGGGATTTGTGTACTCTTATGCCCGTCGCAGGGAACAGGTGGCCCTCGCTTAAGAATGTTTTTAGCCTTTGCCTTACTGCAATACTCCCATGTTGACCGTTTGTGAGAACATGGGTAAATAGCGAATAATTCGGTACACATACTGGCCTCTTTTTACAGATGCTCAGTGCTGGCTAGTATCCTGGTAAATGTTCAGCGGCTGGTGGAAAGGTTTGACGGTTTAGATTCGATGATTTGTCAATTTATGAAAAGAGAAACAGTTTCGATGACCTTATATAACTACCCAAATGTTTGAATCGTATTGTTCTAGAATGATTAGGCATGTTTAGAAACAAGTTCTTCTTCAAGAACAATCAATCCTGGGGCCTTTCTCTTTGTGAGTCAGGAAATGAAACAAAGGTTACTTAGCATTGACCTTAATTGTAAACACATTATTTAGAAAAAATGGTGGCTTAATCACATGTGCTATAGAGGATGGTGATGTATCTCAGCAAATATAGCCTAGTAACTTAGGGGTAACATTATTAGAACACTACTGAAGGTGACGGGCTGGTTTTGAGAGTTAGCTGCCTATATGACTTAAACACCTAAGAAACCTACCTACCTTAGTAGGTATATAATGCCTTGAATCTGCTGTCTACCAAGGTTGGATAGAACTTGATCTAATAACCTTCCCAGTGTCTTCATCCCGTTTCCCTTGTATAACGTCCCTGACGAACTGACCACCGACAGATGGATCAAGCGCACCCATCTATGACAACAGTTAGCAACACGAGATATACTCCAAGTTCAGTAGGATAAAGAGCAATAGAGCTCCTGTGGTAAGAAACTTACCTTCTTTAAAGTCTCGGAGCCGACCCCTCCTAATCCCGTCGCAAGGAATCCAGGAGATACAGCCCATACCTTGACGCCGTCGTTCTTGAGAATGCGATGCCATTCACGCATCAACACTATATAAATATAGATTAGTAGCAACTTCCCGGAGTAGAGAGGAAAATTCACTGCGTAATAACTGCTAAAAGCCCTTGAATACCCGGGGAAGAATGAAACTTAACGGTACTTACTATTCAGACCCGTCTTCGCGGAACGGTACGCCGTCACGGTCAATCCAACCTTCGGCTTCGGCCATCCGGCAGGCGGGCTAGCGTTGAGGCGCGCGAGGTTGGGATGAGTCGTGTTCTCAGTCTCTGTGAGTGTGCTTGTGCCGCTGGTGATAAACAAGATACGAGGATCAGCAGACTTAAGCAGCAGAGGGACCGCAAGCGACGTAAGCACATGGGTGCCAGACACGTTGAGATCCCAAGTAGCGTTGAAGCCCTCGCGTAGAGTCATTTTGCCATCTTGTATATCCGAATCGAAACTACCGCCGCCGTTATTGACTAATGAGTCCAGTCTTCCATGTTGCGAGCTGATGGATTCGATGGCCTTCTCAAGTGACGTATCGGAGTTGAGGTCTACTTGTACAAGGCTGAGCGAGGAGGCAGACTGCGGGATTTCCTTGCGCAGCGTTGCGATGGCATCCTCGCCCTTGGATATAGTCCGGGTCCCGATGATGACCTCGTAGGGAATTTCAGACTGGTACAAAGCCTTCGCAATTTCGAAGCCGAGGCCAGTGTTACCTGATGCGAATTATAAATATATGTATATATATACTAAAGAATAAGGGGGACCACCTTACCACCTGTGATTAAAACAACCTTCTTATCCGATGCCATGATTGATACCTATTATGACTGAAGCTGGTTTGGTTGGGGAATTTTCGTATGAGTCTTAGGGGTATGGATAGGTATCTTAGATGTTCTCGTAAAGATCTATTGACTTGTGTGTAAAGACTACTGTTACTTTTATATACTTCCCAGCTACCTAGATACCTACCTATGTTACTTGTATTCGCCAATTCTAGAATGTTGATATAATGCTGGATCACACTTATTCGTAGAAGCGAACTATTGATGAACCTAGGCACCTAGTTCGCCCGAGTCAATGTTACACTTTATCTCCGAATCGCGAATCGCGACTAAAATCATGTGTCTAGACCAGGACAAGTAGTATAGTACCTAGATCATCACTTTTCATATTTCACTTACTATACGCTTGTCCAGTCCTTGAACATGTGGTCGAAGTTGAATAACTCGGCCTTCCATCTCCTCGCTGTTTCGGGCCAATACCAATAAACCCCGATTAGACCCCTGAAAAGAGAGTACTGATTTAAATCAACGGGTTACGGGGTAATGCCTATCTTATTTCTATTACTTGATCAGCATGGGTCGCAGTACGACGATATGCAGATGACACGCAACATCCGATGTTACGCTTGGTAAGGATTACTGATGTTACTGTGCTATTGTCGAGTCCGGATTACAGCTTACCTCCGGTAATATCGGTCCTATCGGATATATTGAACTTTAAGGAGATAAAATCCTACCTTATTTAGCGGATCGAACTTGCATAAAACCGGTTAATGCGCGAATCGTTTCTGTAATTTGGACGCCAAATATAATAAAAAAAATCAATCTCATTCAACAGTTGTAATGCCAATACTCTAGCGACAGCATGCAATAATGCCCTCCATTTGACCAATCCGCCCAAGAACATTCAAGATAGAGGAGTACCGTACAGAAACTTGGGCCGGGTAAAAACCCTACACTTGGCAAAGGAATATTGTCTCCTATAGGCGGTGTCTCGCAAAATCTAACTACCTCCTTGACTTCCTTCCCTATGGGCTTCCTGACCATATTGAGTATCCATATCCGACTACTTTGATGGTGCTTGAAGCGGTCCTTTGTTCTCCTAACTCCAGAATGATTCCGAGACATAGTTTTGGGTATGTTGGTACAATTTTAACGCGGTGGAATGCAATCGTAGCCCCGACCACGGTGGGTCGGCGCGGTGTAGGGCCCTGTGAATAGATGCGAATTAGAGGATGCGGAAAGGAAAATGCAAGTCGTAAGCGTCGTGAAAATCCATGACTGGTCTTCGTAGCGAGAAAAAGGAGTGAGACGGTGCAAAATGCTATATTGAGTGATTGACTAGAATAGGTCTAAGCTTGGCATTGCTGCAATTATAGGTATTTATCGGGTTACGTGGTGGCGCGTGAGTCCCGTATAGAGGTACTTCTAGATGTCGGCGTCGTTGACGGTCCAGGATGCGTGTGCGAATGGGTTTGCGAAAGCGACGAATGGATGCGTCCACGCTTGGTGTGTGATAAGGTTCCAACATCATGTTTCCCTGCGCTCTCAAATTAGTACGTGCAACCTGGAAGGAACACTTCGTTAAACTTACCATCACAGCAAGCTCTGACATTCTCGAGCCTGTCAGACGCTCGATCCTGTTCCTCGAGTATTTGCCTTAAATCCTCAGCGCTGTCAGGGACCTCGCTTGCTTCGTATATAGCGCCCTCTTGAGGGATATGCGTTTTGCTTCTCAAGCTGCTCAACGTGCTATTCATCGAACTCGATTTCCAATACCCGCTCAATCTTCCCAGAGTGCCACTTCGAGAGGCTTCTTTCTCACGCGTAGGAGTAAGTGTCGGGATACTCATGGACACTTCCACCAGTGGCGAACCAGCACGTGTAGCCCCTGAATTGAATGAAGACAAGGATGGAGGAGCTCGCGGGCGGTTGCCGTTAGCTGGGCGTCGGTTGATTGAAGGATTGAACTCGTCAACATCTTCTTGCGTGATTTGGCCGGCCAAGTCTTCGGCATCCGCTTGACTTTCATCGCCTGTCCGAAGTAGGAGGTACGACAACGCATTGAACCAAGTCTCATGTCGCTGACCTGTAGTGCATGTGAACTTGACCGTTCGGCCGGGAGAAACGATAATAAGACTCTTTCTGTGAAGCCCGGGTGGCATTGGGTTGTCATCACCGACTATGCGTACAGCCTCGATTGGAATACTCTTTGCCTTTAATTCGGTTTTGCCACCGGTAGACGGGTCACGATCGCTCCAGTATAATGTCCTAGTGTAGGGATGCACCCAGAAATACCGCCTATGTCTGTTCTCGGACATTTCTCCGCGACCAGTCTTGCGCGTGTACTTCCAAAGATATTCACCGATCATGGTCTGTGTGATGGCTTGGATCATGCGAGGATCGGTACTAGGACCAAAAGCCGAAGCATCAACACCCATTTCACCACGAATATTAAATCTTGTATCGATCTCGGATGCAAAGGACGACACGGATGACTGCCTGCTGCGCAGGAGCATTCTTGGCACGGAGTGGACATCTGCGTAACCTGGGGTTGAACTTCGGCCTGCCTTGGGTGTCGGAGTGCCTTTGACAATCGAGCTTGGGGACAATGGACGTCTACTACTTGGTGTTTCCGGTCTCGAGCCTGAATTGTTGTATGCGGACGCAGGGAGTGCTGGAGGTCCCATTGACCCCTTTCCACCGCTGGATGAGTGCGTACGTGCGGCTTCGATTGCTTCTCGATGATTAGGAGGTAAAGGCAGCCTAGGTAAAATCGAAGCTTGAGCACTGGCAGAATCACCACCTCTTTGCCTTGCCTCTGCTTCATCGAAGGGTTTTACAATAACCTCACCTCGAGAAGTGGTAATTGTGAACGAGTCTGGAGATACATAGCCTTGCTGCTTCAGTAATTGATCAAGCCCGTCTGATGTCAGAGTAGTTTGACAACCTTGGTTGCTAGTATGGAATGCTGGCTTCTGCGAAGGACGGGCATTTGTGTTGGCAGATAACTCTTTCAACGGCCTCTTCGATTCTGGCGTCTCGGGGGCAGGTGTGCCACTTGGAGACTGACGAGTATCGTCTTCTGCAATATCTGGTGTTGAAGCTCTCTCACCTCTGCGCCCAAGCAGTCCGAGTCCAGTAGTATCAGTTGATGCGTGTGCCGAGCGATCTTCATGGGGAATGATAAACGCCTCGCGCTTAGGGCTTCTGAGTTCGGGTATTTCAACCGGTTCGGTTTCGGTTGAGTTGATTGTGGAGAAGCCTAGGCTAGGAGGTGTGATTTGAAGAGAATTTCGTAAAGCCTCGAGTTCTGCGGCGTGATCGGCCAAAAGTTTCTCTTTTTCTGCGGCGTTGTCGTTCTGGTACAACTCAAGGGCGCTCGCATGCTCAGCGTTGAGAGCCGCTAGTTCTCTGGTGAGTGCGGCGTCGGCGTCATTCTTGACCCGAGTCAACTCCAGGGAGTGGCTTGCACGAAGAGCTTCAAGGGCTTCGGCCTGGGCAGCGTCATGTTGCTTCTTAAGTTGCTCAAGCTCATTGACATGGTCGTCCTTAAGTGTTTCTAATGCATTGCTAAGAGTAGATTGATGCTCAGCATGTTGGGTCTCCAGTGCTTGAATATGTGCAGCCTTGAGCTCTTCCAATTCTTGCACGCGTGTTGCTTCATTATCGCGTTTCAGTGACTCTAACTCTGCCGCATGAACTGCCGCTAAGGCTGCTAATGCTTTGGATTTCTCACTATCGCTTTCGGTTCGAAGATTCTCCAACTCGCGGGCATGACTTTCTGCCAATTCTTGCAACTTTTGGGATTGCGCATCACCGTGAACCTCCTTGAGTCTTTCCATCTCGTCTGCGTGAGTTGCTGCTAAGGCTGATAATGCTTCAGACTTCGCATGATCACTAGTCTGACGAACATTTTCCAATTCATGTAAATGAGCGTTTGTCAGTTCTTGTAACTTCCGTGCCTCAGTCGCATCACGTTCAGTCTTGATATCTTCTAATATTTGAGAGTGGGCGTCGGCCAGCTCCTGTAGTTTCTGGGACTCCGCTGCTTCGTGCTCTATCTTGAGTACGTTTAAGGCCTTTGCGTGACTGTCACTTAATGCGGCTATTTCGGCGGCCTTCGATGATTCAAGGTTTCGACGAAGCTCGACAAGTTCCTCTGAATGTGCACCAGCAAGTTCTTCTTCGAGCTTAGTCTTAGCGGACTCGTGCTGAGAATTCAACGCTGCCAATTGATCGAGGTGACTCTGGCGAAGATTCTCCAACTGCTGCGAATGAGTAGCGGCAAGATCTTCAAGAGCTTTGGTTTTAGAAGACTCGAGTTCTTGTCTCAATGCATCCAACTCCTCCAGATGACCCGAAGTAACATCTTCCAGCTCTTTTGACCTTGCGGTTGCGTTCTCACTCATTAGGGCCGCAATATTCCTTTCGTGTGAAGCCTTTAGAGACTCTAAGGCTTGTGACTGAGACTTTTCGTTATCGCGTCTTTGAGCTTCAAGGACCTCCGCATGGGCAGCATTGAGGGCTTCGATCTGTTGAGAGTGCGCCGCATCGCCTTCGGTCTTGGATGACTCCACTTGCTTGTCGATAGCTGCCTTGAAGGTTTCTAGCTCCCTAGTACGAGTGGCAGCATGTTGACTGTTCAGATTGTCTATCTCCTGTGCATGAACCTCCCTTAGAGCTGCGAGTTCTTTCACCAATGTCGCTTGGCTATCAGCCCTGATTGAATCGATTTGTTTCTCATGAGATGCTACAAGCGAGGCAATTTCTGCACCGCGTTGGGCGTCGGCGTCGTTCTTAAGGTCTTCGACGTGCTTGGTATGCGCTGCCTTGACGAGATCCAATTCTTTGCTATGAGCCGCAACCAGGGTTTTCTTTACTTCCTCTAGTTGTGCTAAATGGGCTGCCTTCAACGACGCAAGCTCTTCCGAGTGGGTTGCATCGGATTGCTGTTTCGCTTTCTCAAGCTGCTCGGCGTATTCGGTTTGGAGGGCTTGTACTTGTTTCGAATGAGCGTCGACCAGTTCATTCTTCAGCTGATTGATCTGGCTTGAATGTGCGGCCACCAAGGTAGCAATTTCTGCTGCATGACGGTTGTCGTTCTCGAGCTTCATATTCCTTAACTCATCAGCATGTTTGACTTTCAGGTTGTGCAATTCAGTAGCATGTGTAGCCTTGATCTCGGCCTCCC